CGGCAGGCCCTTCAACTTCGTTTCCGCAATCGATCGCGCCTCAGGCTTTTGGACCAAAACAAGGTCACATCCAAGCTCATGGCCGTAGCCACAGCCATAGTATTGGCCACGTGCCAAGTCCAATGATGTACGAAGCGTCCGCAATGCGCTCAACAGTCCCACCAGGCCCATCGATAAATGACGAAAGACGCGATTTCCCAAGTCGAAGTATGCCTGGTCCTAGTCCTGCTGCTGTCGCCGGTCCCGGTCCCAACATGCGCGAGCTGCCCCGACCAACAGAAATGGGTCATCACCTCCCAGCACCACGTATCCTCCAACTAGGTCCCCCAGATGCCTTCCCCAGGCTCAGCAACCCAGCCGAACGGCCCTACAGCTCTATCGCAAGCAATGATAGGTACTCCCCGTCGGATAGTGACCGTCGCGACTCAGTAACTAGCCGGCCTGATCAACATCAACCACCGTACCCGGAAGGACGGATAGGTACGCCAGCGGAGAAACCCCCACGATGATATTTTCATTCTATCTATGATATGTTATTTGAATTTCTTTTATACTGTCATTTTCTTTCGCCTTCGACTGCACTTCCAGCACTGTTTGACTTTGACTTTGACGTTGATCTTTTGCTTTGCTGCCAACCGCCATGAATGAATGATCTAGCACCATTGATGACAATAGACAGCGTTTGTGTTGCGTTTATTGTGTGGTTCTTTGCTCTTCTGCTCTTCTGCTCTTCCTCTTCAAGCGACATCACCCTGCTCTTACCCTTTTCCAACAATTACACCCCTACTCGACAACCTCTCCTCTCGACAAATTACGATGTCTCCCCGTTTTGATTTACCCTGCCTTCCTACCTACGCATAAAGGTGTATAGGGTATAGGAATAGGTGCCAGGACGGGAAATACCCTCTTACAACAGTGACCTTCATAAAAAGATTGATGCGTCTATGTTTCCCATGTTCAATGAAGATAACGGCTATTTTGCTTTTTCGACCCTTGATATTTCGTTCTCATGATTGAACGTTTGCAATTCTGCGCCCAAGCAAGCCTGTCCTTTTTGCTGCTTCCAGTCGTCTCTCGGGCAATTTCAATTTCAATTTCAGTTTCAATGTCCACCTTTCTAATGCGAACTGTGACTTGATTATGATATGTGAAGCCCATGATCAAAGACAAGACATTTATGCCAACTGATGCCTTATATGCCTCGCATCTTTCTTTTTATTTTCGATTTCTTATTCGCTGTTATACTTCCTCTGCCTTTTCTTGACATTCTGCTTCTGCTTTTGCTTCTGTTCTTGCTGCTGCTTCTGGTTCTTATTTATCTACATTTCTTTGCCAGCCAGTGTCAAGTCTAGCGTGCTATGCATATAACGACGCAGATGCCTCTTGCTCTTGCTCTTGCTACAACATGACGATGGTGGTCCTCTGAGCCTTGAGTCGTATGATGTGATATGATTCTTATTCCAGGCCTCTTTACTGTGTATTATTTTATTTGACCTTGTTATACTTTTGATCTGATTCTTATCTTGATTTTGGTTTCCGTTTGTGGTTACTGATTCTTGCTTTTTGTTTCTATTCAATCTTGACTTTGACTTATTTATTGACTCCTTGGATGCTATCTTCCGTTCTGAGGCTGTTAATTCATATTTATCTTCTATCTTCCATAGTCTTTCTTGTTCCTCACATAGATGATAATCCATCAGCCTCTAGGCTAGGCTTCACTTTAGTGACTCCATTTGTGTAACCCTCAGCCTCCCTGCTTACTAGGATAGATGTAGAGCATGGCCAATCAGAACAAAAGACCGAAAACTGGTTTACTCCCCGTAACTCAAATGCCCAAACAAGAAAGATGTGCAGCTGATGAGAAACTCAGAATGTGAGAATATAAAGCGGACTAGAGCCGGGAACCGTTCTTGTCCTCGATCAGTTTAATATATCCCTACAATGCAAACATATACTATAATCCCTTACAACCCCAGCATTCCAACCCATCATTCCGCACCATCAGCCTTCCCCCTCACCCGACCAAGAAGCCGTCGCAGCTGAGCCTTAGAATTCTCCGTCCCATCCTTAGCAGACACACCCGTCGCCTCAAGCGAAGAAGCCTCAGTATCAGGAACAGCCTGTGAAGAAAGAGAAAGACGCTTGGCAGGGTGAGGATGAGGAACAGTCTGACTACCCTGAGAACCCTGCTCCACGCCATCACCACCCCCATTCCCATCACCGCCCTCGCCCTCCCCACCAGCCCTCTTCTTCTTCTGCATCTGCGCGCGCAACGCACCAGCAACAGAAGTGAATGCTGACGGCGCAGACTTAGCAGGCGAATACGCGAACCGCTGCCCGATCTGCAAATCAAGCGCCTTCTCTTTGGCCAATCGCATGACCTCCTCTTTATTCTCGACGCGACGGGTTAGGTAGACCTTTGGTCCGGATTGGCGGTTGTCACGGTCTGATTCAGAGAGACTGTGTTTGATGCGATCGAGTTCCATTCTATACGCTGTTTCGTAGATATTGAAGTCTGCTGCGCCGGGTGATTCGCTGACGATTTGGACCGGTTCTTCTTCTGTTTCCATCTCGCTGGTGGGCTCCAGGGTGCTCTCTGGTTCTTCGAAGATCGGTGCTTCCGAAGCTGCTGTTATGGGGTCGGTGCGAGGTTCTGTGTGCGAGGTTCCCGTGTATGTTGATGGTCCGATGAAGAGGTACGGGAATTCTTCTTCTAGGGGGTCTCGTGCGTGCCCTCTTGTTCCTTCTAGACTGCGCTTTGTTGTTGCTGAGCTGGCGCGAGAAGGGATGTGAGGAGATGCTGATTGGGGGTAGGCTGCTTCTTGAGTGTCTGCTTGGCCTGGAGATCGACCGGTGCGGGAGCTGGAGTCTTTTCGCTCGGGTTCGAAGACTCCGCTTGGTCTTTGGCTGCTGCTTGGGCTATGGTCTGGTCTTGATGAGAGACTGGCTGAGTCGCTGGACCCTATGGTACCTGAATCTTCACGGAACCCTGCGAAAGGGTGTCGTCCAAAGACCTTTCTTATACCAGCACTTAGACCATGGCTGTGAGCTTGTGGTTCTCCTCCTACTGTTGGGAAGGCCTCATCTGGGTCCATCTCCATTGGCGGTTCGACGAAGTAAGCTTCGTGGTCTCCGCCAAGGATGCTCTGCATGGGAGTTTGCGGTTTGGTAGGATCCATGAGTCGTTTGAATTTCTTGACTGCTTTCATCTGGGTCTTGTTAATGATGTTCAGGATGCACGGATCAAATCACTTACCACAGTCATGAGGCTACCCATATTAGTTGTAATGGCCGAGTTCATCTCCTCCTCCGTCGGAGGTGCAATGATCTGTGAGGTATTTTCCTCAAACGACAGCAGAGGCTCTGTCCCATCCTTTGTTACCCAAGGGTGTTCCTGTACATCTGGTCAGCATTGGCAAATAATGTACGACTCAAGTCACTCACCCGTAACCCAAACATATCGATCCGTTTCTCCGGATCTTTCTCCAGGATTCGTCGCATCAAATCCTTGAATCCTTCGTCCGCCTCGTCTTCGCATACAGGTGAATCCCCTCTGATGCTATCATACAGTTCGAAGATACTCTGTTTCTCGAATGGCAGCTTGCCATATCGAAGACAATATAGAGTCACTCCCATGGACCAGATATCCGTTGCTTTCCCGGAGACATCACCGTGTTTAACAACACACAGCTCTGGCGGCAGAAACGCTGGAGAACCAGCAGACTTGGCTGTGAACATATCAGAGTCCTTTTCAAACATTTCCGATACACCAAAGTCGACTACTTTCAGCACATCATCATTGGTCAACAGGCAATTGTCCGGCTTGATGTCTCGGTGGACGATGCCCTGAGCATGAAGATACTCGATTCCCAGGATCAGATCGCGGAACCAGCACCGACAGTGCTCGTCGTCATATGGATCCGCCCTCTCTTCCAGTCCAACCTTCATGATCACGCCTTTCTTGCACATTTCCATCACCATATATAACGAGTCCTCAGTCGGGTCATCCAGTACCTCGATCAAGGACACCAGGTTATGATGGTTGAGCTTCTTCATGATCGCAATCTCCTCCTTGATCAAATACAGAGAATTTTTGGCAGTCTCATCATCATCCCCAGAAGGATGACGATGTAACGGCGAGTTAAAACCTGTGCCTGGTCTCCTCGGGCCTCTGGGTCTTCGCAGTAAATGCGACTGTGCACGTTTTCTTAAACGGGACTTGGAGAACTCTTTCACAGCCTGAATTTACAAATCACCGTCTGACAGTTAGCACGGTTTCACCCCCAGATGTACCAGTGTGCAAGAGCTCATACATATTCATTCCCAAACTGGTCGGCAGCCAGATGGACCGCGCCGAACGACCCACGCCCGATCTCCTGCTTGATCACATATTGGTTGATACGGTGCTCGGCCGTCCCATCATCCTGACTTGTAGTATACGCGGAGCGGGCGTCCAGTGTTTCCTATTCCCCGGTATCAGTTCTCCAAGTCTATCACGGCATCGAGAAACCGACCTTCACCGGACGCCTAGCTCTTGGATTTCGACAGCGATGTCTCTGCGGACTATCATATGATGCAGCAGAGCTAGATGCATGCGTCAGTATGATATATCATATTAGGCGAGACAGTCTCGGGTTTTGCAGGATACTCACGCAACTCTGCTAGGTCCCGGTCTTGCATTGCTGTCTAAGGAGTCGATCGAGGGCTCTGCAGAGACATCCGAGACGGGGATTTCCACATTCTCATCCATTGAAGTACTGTAAGTACTGTAGGTGCAGACGTTGAAGGTGTGGGGTAAAAACGACGTTGGAGCGGGGGGTTTGATAACGTGAGATGCGGGTTGTCAGCCTTACGAGCCCAGAAGTACGGAGTCCAGCAGAATTTATATATAAAAATACAAAGAAAAGAAAAGGACGAATGAGCGTAGATTTCTAGGCAGCTCCTTTTCTGATATGTTGTCGGGGACTACTTTCACCGCCCCAGCCAGCTACTCCCCTGAACATCAATCAACACTTGAGACAGCCAAGCTACACCATGGTCGTCTACTCGTTCTACATCTTCGATCGCCACGGTAAATACATATTACCTCCATTGCAAGAACTCAACTAATCATTCTTCCAGCCGAATGCATCTACAAGCGCCGGTGGCTACCGCGTCCAACCTCCACCGTGGGGAAATCCCGGTCTGACACTACCTCCGGACAAGCACCGACCGGCCTCGGCCAAACAGTACGATCAACAGACGATGACTCGAAGCTGGTATTCGGGACGGTCTTTTCGCTGCGGAACATGGTGCGCAAGCTAGGCGGAGACGATGACAAGTGAGACCCCTGGGATCAGCCAGCAGACCAGACCGGACAGCTGGTACTTTGGATAAACCCGGCTGACCCAAGGTGCATTGCTTAGTTTTGTGTCGTTCACCACTAGCCAGTACAAGCTGCACTACTACGAGACGCCGACGAATACCAAGTTCGTCATGCTGACGGACCTGAAGAGTCCTAGTATGCGCATCGCACTGCAGCAGATTTATATCAATCTCTTTGTGGAATATGGTTCGTATGCGAGAATTTGCCGATGGGATATGGGCTTATCCTTTTTTCTGTTAGTGGTCAAGAACCCCCTCTCTCCGACCGAGCATCCTGGCGGTGTAGGTGTCAACAATGAGCTTTTCGAGGAATCATTGGAGCAGTTCGTGGTACGTATCATTTTGTTCGGCATGTTGCCATAGTTGTTGACATGTTTTCTGATATGGTAGCAGACTCGAGTTTTGTCATGATGTCGAACCGCAAGCTACGATCCGATCCTGTGTTCGAGACTGAGGCTGTGAGGTCGCTGCATAGTCCATGAGATCAAGTCCATGGGAGGCCGGGAGAGGGATAGAGAGAGAAAAAGGAAAGAGAAGAGGTGGTAACTCTTACCGCTGGAACATACGAGCCAGTACCAGCATGGGCACACACCCGGGATCCTTCCAGGCTACGAAGATGACATATCTGTAATTGAGGGCACACCGCCACGGTCTCGCCGTCTTTCACAGACACCTGTCGAGCACCACTGACAATCTGGTGATCAAAGCCGAGTGCAACAGGGTAGCATCCATACCGCCTTTTCAGATGGCAACACTCAATGAGACGAGCTCTCTCCCCACGTGGGAAAACCGGCGCCACTGTCGGGTCCACGCAGGCACCGGGGACCGGCCCGCAATAGCTCATCCGGTTATTTCAACCAGGAACTATAAACAGAGACCAAAAAACGTTAACCTTCGTGTCTGTTTCAGAGTCCGTGTGCGTATCTATCAAATCCGAGTCCCAGGATCCAGTGCGGGATGACTCGGGATGAAGAATCCCTGGTATAACGCAATCCGAGCCAATTGTTGCACTCCCTCGATCAAATCCCGATATCAACTTCCTCCCCCTGCAATTACCTCTAGCCATAATCCCCGCTGTCTCCCTCCAGGGTCGTAGATAACAGAACAAGCCAACCCGAGCCCAGACCCAGCGGATTGTTGGCTGAAAGCTGGAGGCTGAAGCTAGAGCCCTGACCACCCTCTTACTCGAGGTATAATAGCCAAGCTATGCTGCCAAGAAGCCCATTTCCAAATTCGGCCAGCGTGGCTTGTGCAGGCGCATGGGCGTGCATTTTCCGTTGTACATGTACATGCAGTAATCTGTGCAGTAACCTGTGTGCAGTGACCCGACGAACCGATAGGTTGAGTGCTTTGGATAGGAGAGGGAGTGAGAATTGAAAGTAGGAATTAGATGATGGATCATATGCTAGAACTGACACTGGTGATTGCTATTGGATGGATGGCGTATAAGGTAGTAGACATGCTACAGAAACAAAACTAGTCATGCAAGCCGCACTATAGCCACAGCCAGCTCTTCAGCTCCTCAGCTTCCCGTCAGCCTCGGGGAATGTTAGCTCTTACATATACGGAGTACATTGTACCTATACAATGACCAGCTACCTTCCTAGCTAGGGAAAGTCCAACCGAGTCCATTAACAAAAACAAGATCAGACCACAGCTTATCTAAAGCTCAGACCATATCTACCTGGCAATAATATGCAATCCTGCCTTCCAGTTCCAGTCTGCCAGAGTTCCAAGCAGAGATAACCCTCCTGCACGGCAGTTCCAACCCAACCAATCCCCCAATCCCTGGCGTATGAGTTGTCCCAGATGCAAGCTGCAGGCGAACTGGCGGTCAAGCGCGGTTGAAGTCGGGATCGGATTGCAATTTAGATTGGATGAGATTTAGATTTGGGCTGGTTGATGGCTTTATGTGATCTACATACTTCTGTAATATGTGCTACATAAGAATCATTTGTGTGGATTAAGTGCGAGAGGAGGTTGTACAGTGTAGATCGGGTTAATACATCCTATACTGTAGTAGTGTGGTGCTATACTATAGAGGATACAGTTCGAGGGGTACGTGAGTACACTTCAGAGCAAATAACTAACAGTTATCCCTGTGTACTTGTTGTGGTCTACCGGAAATTAAGAGGATTCCGGCTAGCTACATGATTGGACCATGAAAATCCCTCGTAGTGGTAACGGAAGCTTGTGTAGGAAAGTGGACTCCAGCTGCATGTGGTATTACTGTAAGTATCCTGAATCTTGAGCCGAGGTCAATATATCATTGGCTTTGAGAAACCCGGGGTAATTGTAAGTTAGTTGCCTAGCTAATAGGTACTCTGTACTATACGAAACCAAAGACTGTACCGTGCCCCCACAGGAAATTAATTCGACCCGAAGAGACGGTGAAGATATATGCGAATCAAGTGCAGAGATAGGCTAGTCTCTTCTCTGTCATCTGTCTGTCCATCTGTCCGGTCTTAACATTCAAACTTTCATCTACATGAATGACGCTAGTAGAAGCTCCTTAACTGTCTCCACGACCCCAATGGGGGGATGTGCAGGATGACTGTTACGTAGCGGGGATCGTCCGGTAATAGAAGCAGTGAATAGGAAATGGTGTTCAGAAAGGGCAATGCCAATGAGAATGTTCCAATACGACGTGAGCACGGATATAAGCGGCAGGTGACAATGGGAAGGTTTCCAGTTCAGGATTGTACTCTCCAGGATGCTGTACAGAGTCAAGAGTACTCTGTACACTAGAAATGTAAGGCCACCCCAGATTGCATCTCCATTTCCTGTAGACCCATACCTATCCCCCACCTACCGTACACAGTAATGAAGCACGTCTGGGAATCATATGCGGCTAATAGCTCAACAGAATCTGTACCCCTCTTCATAGAGAACCGCCACACGGCGCTCCCAGCGCGAATGGAAGCGGGGGCGCTCGAATCATAAGTTATAGGAGAAGTGAAGTGAAGTGCACAGCCTCCAGTGGCGGATTGGGATATACAGAGGCGACGTCACGTACGGAACGTCATCGGGTCAGGAAATCCAGCTCTTTCCGAAAAAAACATGTACCGAGTATGTACCGTTTCATTAAATCTTGTCACCACTTGCGAAGTATCATTTAGCCCGTAACCCCATACTAATGCTACCTTGGACCTGCGCCACTTTGCATTTGTAATTAATTTCAGCAAAAGAGTAGAATAGATTTAATTAATCAAAAATCGAACAGAATAGAATGGAATGAATACATTTGTAGGATGAATAGAATAGAAATAAAATAGAATGGGAATAATGTACGTCTCACAGGCTGCAGCCCTGGAGGCTGCAGGTTTTGCCATGCTGAGCGAGCATTAATAAGATCCCACACCCGTGGACGTTCCCTCAGCCCTGTAATTACACATACACTCTGGTATTTCATCTCAAAATTATCCCATCCCACTTCTCTTTTTCCCTCTCATATACCTGGGGCTTGCCTGGCTGCGCGGAGTCGTTCTCATCTCTTTGTTTGAGTCAGTCTTGCCTCGGGCCCTTTTGCTGGTTCACTGGCGCACTCTCGCACTTTCGCACTTTCGGAGTTTTGCACTTCCTCATATATCCTTACTTTCCTACCCTCACGTCTTCTTGGGGACGACGTGGAATTTTGTAATTTCACCTCTCCAACACCTCTCGATCCACCGCACATGACTCCACCTTCTCCTTCACCTGTGCCTTCCGCAGTCTCCTCCGCCGCAGCTTCACAACATTCGCAGGACCCTCGGGATGGTGACCCTTCGGTAACACGCGCCTTCGCGGGCATGAATCTGTCCGCCCATCCAAACGGGGATGTTCTCCCCTCGCCTGCTCTCTCCCCCGGCAAACCGACCAAAGCAACCATGGCCTCTCGCCTGACTCGCATGTTCTCCGGCACGGGGAAATCCACTCCTACCCGCGAGCACGATGTGCACCGGGATCTATCCGACAGCAGCTTAGAAAGCATTCACCCAGCCAACGGCAAAGAGAAGCCGTCTTCAAAACCTCCCTCCCAACCAAACTCCCGACCTCCTTCTAGACCTCCTTCACGAGGTGCAAACTCCCGCACCCCATCCCGGAACCCATCGCTCAAGAGCGAACCTGTGGCGCAATCTGATAAGAAGAAGACTGACGACAAGAAGTCAAAAGAGGGAGCTGCTCCCGCTCACAAGCGGTTCGAGCTCTTGCCTGAAAACCACGGCAACCATTCGCATCATCTCCGCAGTGCCAGGCGGCAAGAGAAGTTGACTGACCTCCTGCGCGATATGCTGGGTGGCCGGAAAAAGGACGACCAGGTGGATGAGCAGCAGCTGTCGCTCATGTCGACCTGGATTGACCAGTTCAAGACCGAGCGTGATAAGCTGGCAGCTGATAAGAAGGGTGGTCCAAACGCCACTGCTTCGTTGGTCGACAAGTACGGCAAGTGCCAGGAGATTGTCGGCCGTGGTGCGTTCGGTATCGTTCGCATCTCGCACAAGGTCGATCCTCAAGATTCCAAGTGCGAACAGCTCTACGCGGTGAAAGAGTTCCGCCGTCGGCCACAGGAAACCACCAAGAAGTACCAAAAGCGACTCACTTCTGAATTCTGCATCTCATCGTCGCTTCGTCACCCTAATGTCATTCACACCTTGGACCTCCTGCAAGACGCCAAGGGCGATTACTGTGAAGTCATGGAATACTGCGCTGGTGGTGACCTCTACACTTTGGTCCTTGCTGCCGGCAAGCTCGAAGTTGCCGAAGCAGACTGCTTCTTTAAGCAGTTGATGCGAGGTGTGGAATATATGCACGAGATGGGAGTCGCACACCGTGATCTCAAACCGGAAAATCTGCTCTTAACCACTCACGGTGCCCTCAAGATCACCGATTTCGGCAACGGCGAATGCTTCCGCATGGCTTGGGAAAAGGAAGCCCACATGACGGCCGGACTCTGCGGATCAGCACCTTACATCGCCCCCGAAGAGTACGTTGAGCGGGAATTCGACCCTCGAGCAGTTGATCTCTGGGCTACAGGTGTTATCTACATGGCCATGCGAACAGGTCGCCACCTCTGGCGTGTAGCGCGCAAGGACGAAGATGAATTCTACCAGCGCTACCTCGACGGCCGTAAACACGAGGATGGATACGCTCCTATTGAGACGTTGCATCGAGTAAGAACTGATTCCCCTGACCAGGCCGTGCCAAAACTCATGAAATCTCAGGCTCGTTGCCGTAACGTGATCTACTCCATTCTCGACCCTAACCCTTCCCGCCGCATCAATGCCTCGCAGGTCCTCAAATCAGAATGGGTCCGCCAGATCAAGCTGTGCAAGGCCGGCGAGGAGGGTTTCTGAGTGATGAGTGATCCATCAAAAAATTGATTGGACTCGGTACCTCCAAGGTTGTGTATCCGCTCCTCTCAGGGTTTGGAAGTTCTCTTACATTCCCCTATATTTACACTGGGTGGTTATCTGTTCCTAGGCCCATTCGAAGTGAAGTTCGGCGAGGCTGTCTGTTTTATCCTTTGGATGCTCCTGAAATAGAAAGGAGGCCCGTTTTTCATTTTCATTCCACTATGTCCCAACGACAGCTAGCTTGTTTTTCCCGTTTTAGCTGTTCTTTTTGTTTCTGCTTTTGGCTCCGGCGCATATTGTCTCCAGCCTCTTCAGCCTGTATCTTTGTCTCTGTTTTTGTCTATGTTTTATTCCATTTAGCTGTGGGGGTGTACCGGATTATTCATGTGCTCAACGTTCAACTCAATGCAACGAAGAATCATGACCCATTTCATTCAGTCCGATTTCTCGCTTTCTCTCTCTTCTTTCTTTTCCAAAGATTCAATCTTCCGTGTTGCTGCTTACTATTTCACCTTTCTTGCAGATACCTCTTTCATTTCGGCGTTGGCATTCTTGACTTTTCTTCATTCCCTCCCCCCTTGTACTACTATCAACGAGCCATCGTTTGATGGGTTGCAGGTGGACATTCCTATCGGAGTCTGGATTCAGTTCTGGATCCTACTCTGTTATCTGAAGCAGAACAGAGCGGGGTTCGCATAGCCACGCAGATCAACCCGGGATTTGCATTTTTATCTGGTCCTGGTGGGATGTCCACCTGATGTTGGAACTCTTTTCGGTTTGTCTTTCGGTCTCTCACTTTTATTCTCGTTAAGCTTCTAGTATATATATCCATGCATTTGTATATATCGCCTTAGGCAATGAATTATATTTTGTCAATATCGCACAGCAGAGCAATCATGTTTAATCTATTTACTATCATACAATACAACAATACCGACAAAAGATACAAAATACTGGAAGCAAAAAGATATGCAAGCGATGGGATTCGAACCCATGCAACTTTCGTTACCAGGATTTCCGTTGACGGATATCAAGTGTGGATGCTTGAATCTGGCGCCTTAACCAACTCGGCCACACTTGCACAGTTTGATTTGTTTGTCTGAATTTGGGATCCGTGACCGTATGGAGGGCATGGTGTTGGGTTTGATAGAACGTTAATGGATGATGTAATTGACTAACAGTATCAAGGAAAATATAGTTACTATCAGGGCAATACCAAGTCAATCTCAATCTTACAATACTGGAGCTAGTACTCCGTATGTGGACTGCATCATGAAATATCCAAAAATCACTCAAGAATCCACAATACTATACTGTATAGTCGGCACCCAAGTTATATCCGACGAAGCCGAATGTTACAACATATATCCACATAGAAAATACCTGGATCAGGAAAGCCAAACCAAAACCTACTTACTAACGCTATAAGTTACAAGCAAACATTCAATGATATCCACCACCAAACCCATTTCTTTAGGCATCACCATTTCAGTCTGGGCAAAGTGGATATCTGCAATACATGTCTGCATATGCAGCTTGGACAACGCAGAATAGTGTCCTCCGTCTTCGGGTTCCGCGGGTTATGTGGCGGATTTTTCTCGCCCTATGGGGCTGTTGGCTGTTGGGGCTTGAGGTTATGGCTTCGGTTTTGGACTTCCTATTCTGGTTGTCGCCATCTTTTTGAGGGGCGGTGTCGGATGATATTTGGTAAATTTTTGATACGGGTTCGGATGGGGGGTTGTGTATGCCGGTGTATTGTATCTAATGTATGTTGGTGCTTGGGTGGGCTGTTTACACTGAAGTATTTTCGGATGTAAGTTGGGTGATATTTAGATGGAAATGACGGAAGAATTTGGTTGTGTATTTGCGTATCTTGGTTCAAACGCTGATATACTATAGCAGTGTGACTTCTATCTCGATATCAGTAGAGTACTGCGGAAACAAGTCTTGCCATATCCCAATCTTCATTCTTATTCCCATCCTACCTGCTGGCAAACCCATCCTACAGAACTAATCAGGGCCAAAGCAACTGCTTCCCCCATTTACCATCATCCTTACTCCAAACATACTGCAACCGCTGGTGAAGCCGACTAACATTCCCCTGCCAAAACTCAACGGCATGAGCATCAACAGCATAAACCCTCCACTTCTCAACCCCAGCCATAGAGTCCCTCCTCAAAGCCTCCTCAGTAGCAACCAACTTCCTCTCCAAATCCCCCGGATCAACAAGAACCTCACTCTGCTCAGACGCAATAGCACTAACCTTCGAAGCAACAGGTCTAGCCGCATAATCCATGGCACTCTCCTCACCGGGCAACGCAACAGCCCGCCCCTTCACCCGAACCTGTCTAGCGAGCAAAGGCCAGTAGAACGTCAATGCAGCAGACCCATTGCCAACCAACTGTTTTCCTTTAGGGCTATCAGCCTTCACGGCGAAATGCCATCCGCGACTATCGACGTTCTTGAGGATTAAAACGCGCGCGTCTGGGCATCCTTCTTCATCGACAGTTGAGACTGTCATTGCGTGTGGTTCGCGCACGCCTGCCGCTACCGCTTCGTGGAACCAGTTCTTGAAGGCATCTTGTGGGTTTGGGGGGAATGTGTCGAAGTTTAGGTCTGGGAACGGTCCTTCCAGTACTTTTGTAGTGCGGAGTTCTGTTCTGAAGGAGGTGTCGTCGATGGACATTCTGATACAGCACTTTGTTTATGGCCTTTATGTTGTCGATGAGTATCTGGTTGTTGTATGTAGGTTGAACCATGGATAGGGAGTATGTTACCTTGAGGGGAGTATCTTGTAGATATCTGTTTGAGAATTGAATCTTTTGTCTATATATTCAGGAGTTACATCCCTTTATATGTCGGTAGACCGACTTCGGTCCAGGATGTGTTCGTGAGTCATTACGAGTGTCGCACCCCGGACTTCCTGCCGTCGGTGTCCGATCTCGATTTCCATTCAGTTTGATGAAAACTCATATGAACGTGATATGTGAAGCTTATAATTTATTGTATACGTAGATTAACGTGTTTTAGTGAGGTGACAAGTAGATAATAGATCAGACTGCTTAGATTGGGTATAGTAAGAGGTATTGTATTGAAAGTAGGGCAACGTCACAAATAGCGTGCAAATTCTGCAAACTCATGAACACCTACACTGTAGATGCTGTCGAGTGCAACTTCGCAGCCCTGTAGCCCTACCGGGTGTGGTTACGTCACTTTACATAAGCACCCAGCCACGGAGCCAAGCCACATCGCAAGGCAGAAAGTCATCTTGGCTCAGTGTCTCTGACCAGGTACTCAACAGTACTTTGCGATACTTGTCCCGGTTCATCTGCCTCACTATTGCCATTTACGTACGCCATACAATCCTACTCTACTCTACTTTACATTGACAGTTCCATCCTCCAACCACCGCTGCCATGTCTTGGGCAGGTACGCCACCACTCCCCCACCGGAGTCATTCTCCGACACTGGCACGATCTAATAGAACTGGATAGGGTTCAAGAAGAATGTCAACCGTGCGACGACACAGGTGATGATGAAGACGGGTGAGTGATGGGTCAAATTTTGCCCCGCAATGGAGTGGCCGATCGACAATATCTGCCCGTCGGGGTCTGTGGCCATGAAAGCAGGCGCTGACTGGAAATTGGATAGGGCATGTTGAGAGGACGAATGATCGCGACTATGAGATTGAGGAACGGTATGTCGCTGTCTTGTTGGCTATGTGGATGGGACTGACTCGGCCACGTTTAGACGATACCGGACTATGGAGACTGCGGCGAATCGGTTGCAGAAGGAAGCTAAAGGATATCTGGACTCACTACGAGGTGGGTTGTGATCTGACATGGGTGGGTTGGCAGGTGCTGACTCTTCGCAGCCATGACGGCGTCTCAAATGCGTATTGCAGAGACCATCGATGCATTCTACGGCGACGCAGGCACAAGAGACGGGGTGAGCCGGAGCTACAAGCAAGCCGTCGAGGACCTCGACGCCGAGACAATCAAGGCTTTGGACGGACCATACCGGTAGGATCAGCCACCATAACTGTCCAGCATGACACTGACACGATTAGAACCACCGTCCTTGACCCCATCTCTCGATTCTGCGCCTATTTCCCCGACGTCAATGAATGCATAAAGAAACGCAACCACAAGCTGCTAGACTATGACGCCATGCGTGCCAAGGTCAAGAAGCTCGCCGAAAAGCCCGACAAGGACGTGACCAAGCTGCCGCGGACCGAGCGCGAAGCCGAAATGGCCAAGCAGGCCTACGAACAGCTGAATGAGCAGCTCTTCAACGAACTCCCGCAGCTGATCGACCTTCGTGTTCCCTACCTCGACCCCAGTTTCGAAGCTCTCGTTAAGATCCAGTTGCGTTTCTGTGCCGAGGCGTACTCGCGCATGGCACAGGTGCAGCAGTATCTCGATGCGGAGACGCGCGACCAATATGCCAAGGGTGATCTGGATAATCGAGTTGAGGAGGTTTTGCAGGAGATTCGGGATTTGAGCATTGCTGGGACTGTTTAAGGTCTTGGTTTGGAGTTTATGAGCATAATGCCTTATTGCGGGATTGTTATTCGCTTTTGTCGCCCTTATTTCTTGTCCCTGTTTACGTGTTCATGCTTGATAGGAGTCCATACTTCACTCTATTCAAGTCAATGCAATGCATGCAAATGCAACATATAATCACAAAGGTATAATCACAAAGGGTATCACAATATCCAACATATCATACATTTACCCACACCAGTCCTCAATATAGACAAGACAGACACACACTTCATCAAGACTCAACTCGATAAAGCTCCTCAGCCAAAACCTTCACAACAGGCTCCGCAGCCCGATGATAAGCCGCCAACTCCGTCGGAGTCACATTCGAAAGCACATAATCCGACACAGCACCCTTCTCCCGACTATCGGGCCTCCCAATCCCAACCCCAATCCTCAAAATCGACAAATCAAGCTTCGCACCTCGCCGCGTAGGGTACAATCCTTTCCCGCGCAACGTCTCGCAGATACTAATCAACCCACGATGCCCGCGCAAACTGGCAGACTCAGGTCCACCGCGTTTAATGCGGACTTTACCGAGTGGTGATTCGAGTTCGTCGTGGAGAATAACAAGAGTTGTGGGGAAGGTGGATGTGTTTGCGCTGGTTGTAGAGGTAGAAGTTGGAGAGATTCCATTCCCTCGGAGCATCTCGTTTTGGGAAACAGCCCATTTCTCAAGTTGGCGCACGAGTTTCGGCCCGGTTATGTTCATGTAGGTTGGGCTGTACCATGTTTCGTGGAAAGCGCCTGTGTTGGGGAGGGTTGTTGGGAGGAGGGGTGCTACTGCGTCTAGGAGGAGGTGGCCGGCGCTATGGCGGGTTTGTCTGTAGGGGGCTTTGTTGCCGATGGAGGCGATGAAGAGGAGGCGACGGGGTTCCATCGTAGGGTGGGAGGTGTGGGAGGAGAGAGAGAAGAAAGTATTGATATAATTGTAGATATAAAATTCTAAATGTAGGCTATAGTAATAAAAAAGTCTGAAATTGATAATCTGTTATGGATAACCTAGTGGGAGGCTCACCGCCAAGCCAGTAACCTTGCTTAGAGGAAACTCAGCTCGTACTGGTGCCTGGTACGAATCCCGGGGTCGGCAATTTCACTCGTGCGAGTAATCCACGACGCTGGAGGCCGCTAAGCAATGGAGATGACCCTTGAGGGAAGCAATTCTGCAGAGACATCTCCACCCCAGGATGGCGTCGCCAGATTACACCGTCCCGTTACAGGGAAGTTGGCTATTTGGTGTGACAACTACTTTTTTGCCCAGCTATCATGCGACACACATTCGTCTTCTTATTATAACACATTTCATCCTATTAATCTACCTAGGTGACTTGTTTTATTCTTTTCTCCTTTCGTGGTGTAGATGTCTGACTTGCTTGATAGATCTGGTCCCCTTTCTCTGGTATAAGTACGTACAAATGGTTTTAGTCCGACAAGCTAGGTTATCATACTGCAAGTTGCTTCAGGTTGAGGCATTAGGTGATAAGGTTTCGGCGGAGTATGATACTAGATCCAGGTACTATCATTTGAAAGAATGATTTCCAAGCTTGTTCAAATCATGAGTTTGGTAGAATAACATTAGTCATTCAAATAACATGCCGTGAGTAAACATGCGCTGGAGTACTAGATACTTACTACTTACGCGCGGCTTCTCATCCGCAGAGTATGAAGGGCCGAACATGCCCCAAATGAAGAAAGCCAACATAGCCAGATTAACAATTAGGCACTTAAATAACTTATAATCGTATGAGAGTTTCATAAATTGAAGTTGAGGCTGATCTATAAATACCCCGAGCGGTAAACAGGGCAGAATATCGATAAGGACATTTTCCGATAGCCAACTCTTCCCAAACACTCGACTACATGCCATTAGTTCAGCCTCTTGGGGGTCTACAGGCGTATAACACCGCTTCCCTGTGATATCCTTCTCCTCCTGAACTCACCCATGCACCGTGCGACACCCACCCCTCGGTCATTCCATGGGACGACAATACAACGCGCTGCAGTGCTATCTAACTGCAATAATTAGCGCGCTTCTCTTATTATTCACAGTCTGCGATTCAACAGTCTTTGCATATACCGATACCCCTAATGACCTCAATGCCGAAAACAGTCCGAACCTCCGAGGAGCGATCGTGAGCGACGGGGTTGGACTCCCACTTGCGCTGGACTCGTTCAATGGACTGGAGATCCGAGACAGTGTAGAAGAAGACGGGGAGTCCAATGGCCTCGATTTGGTGCGCCGATACCCGAATGCCGCGAAATCGTTGGGGAACAATCAATTCGTGAATACCTCGCTCGAGATCGGTGATGTGCAGTGGTTCTACCTGCCTTCCGCCGTGGTGAATGGCAAACACGCCAGCAAGGGCGTAGGACTTCCTGCATATGTGAATGCCACCGATGATGATGACACAAAGGACGAGTTACGGAAACGAGATGGTCTTGAGAAGCGATCGACCACGGTGTACCTGTCGCTTACGACGTGCAGCAAGCCCCATGCCAACAAAACGAATACCGAGGATGGATTCCCGCAGTTGCAGGTGTACGTCTCCAAGTCGGAGACGCTACAGGAGCCAGGACCGGGCCATGACGACTCGGATCAAGATGTATACACGGCTGTGGGAGGGTACGTGGGGATTGAGAAAGACGCAGATAGCGACGTCTTCATTGGTGTTGCTGCGCCCAACTCGACTGATTACTCGGGAAGCTATACATACCAGCTTGCAGCCTCGATCGATACATATTTCCACAATGTCGTGGACGACGACCCTTTCCTATACTTTGTCGACGCAGATATGTCTGCCGCGTTACTGGTGACCAATAACCTGACGCAGGCTGAGAAAGGCTCGGAGAATTATCAGCAGTGGATGAATATGACGCCTCCATATACCATGTTTGCTCATAACATCAACAACACAGCCTTGGTAGGCTTGGAGCGATCATTCTGTGCACTTGATGCGCTTTCGCAGGTCGGACGGATCAGCAAGTCAGTTGAAGTTGGCATGACTAGCCGTGGACTTGGGAATAAACCGAAAGAGCAGTTCTACATTACTGGACTGAACCAGAGCTCGTCTTATAATGGCATTCTAGCAATGGTGGGCAACTCCACCACGTCAGGAAATGGCATTGTCGGCGGCGGAGGGCAGGTGTGGAAAGCAATGAATTTCACAACCAAAGCAGGTAAGAGACTCGCTCCAAACAAAAATGAAGTATCTCTGCTAACACAATCAGACGACAACTGCGCTGTCCTCTTCAACCTAACCTTCTGCTCAGAAGTAGCGTACGCCGTCCCCTCAAACCCCGAACTAAGCGTCGCCAAACTGCGCGAAATCTACGACACCTACGCAGCAAACTACTACCAAAACTTCAGCTACAGCCTCCAACAGGTCCAATGCAAAACAGACCAAGAAGGCATGTTCTCCCTCGCCGTCGACTGCGACGACTGCGCAACAGCCTACAAGCAATGGCTCTGCGGCGTATCAATCCCCCGCTGCGCAGACTTCAGCAACAACGCCTCCTACCTAGCCGTCCGCAACGCAGGCCAGGATTTTATCAACGGGTCTTCCCTACCAGCGGATAGTCCATACAGACAACACGTTGCATCCAACACGTCCAGAAACACAATCATCGATACAAAGATCAGACCAGGTCCTTATAAAGAGATCCTGCCGTGTGAAGATATCTGCTCGACGCTTGTTAAGGATTGTCCTTCTAAACTTGGGTTCAAGTGTCCCAGTGGGCGATGGTTGAATGCTTCTTATGGTTATCGCAATTCCGATGGTGATATTACTTGTTCGTATCTTGGTGCGGCTTATCATTTGAGTCTTGGGGTGAGACTTGGGGCTGGTTGGGTTGGATTTTTTAGTTTGGTTGCTATGGGTGTTATGTATTCGTTATAGTGTATAGGAATAACATTGGTGATTTGGTCAACTATTCTTGCAAGACTGTATGTACTTGGGGTGTGTTGTGTCTGTTTGGGTGTGGAAAACTTGCTCTATAATTCCTTTTCATACGCAAATCTATAACAATAGCTCGCATAGCTCAGTTGGTAGAGCGCGTGACTAGTAAGAGTATCCACCCTCGGTCAATCACGAGGTCTGCGGTTCAAATCCGCATGTGAGCATTTCTTTTTTGCCATTTCTTTTTATTTCCTAATTGATTTCTTCTTTTTTACGATTAATTGTATTTGGATAACATGGATCAATTGTCTATTGTTTCTCTTCAGGGTTGCTATCTTCGTCTACCCTTAGTGGGCGGGGCATACGCTGCTGTTTTGTCCAACCTATATTATGTACGCCGTCCAAGACCTATACACCGCCATCAGAATGTTGGCCTTCCAGTTCTTGCCAGAGGGCACAGTCCACGTCCAGCAGTTTTTGGCCAGACTTGAGACGCTCAAGAATCTCGGGATAGATCGCATTTCGGGGGATAGTCATATCCGGGAAATGGAAAGCGCCGACGCAGGGGTAGGGAAGCTAGTACTGATATAAAAGGGCTCTGGCCTACCACGCAAAAAACTACGAGCACCCTGATGCCTGCTTCCTTGTTCCCACCCTGAGCTTGTGCGACTTCGACCTGGGTCTGACATTTATATGTAATTGTGACTTTGGTAAGTGCATCTGCTTCAATGCAAGATGACAATTCTAGATCCAATGAAGCGTACGTGAGGTATCCATCACATAGACTTGAAAGAATCACTGATCTTCTCTCTCTAGATACACACTCGTGATCTCATGCGAAACCCCATCTATGTGTCAAGTCGATGCTAGACCCACCTTGGTTCCATTTCGAGATCTTAACGTCAACGAAAGGCTCTCCTCCCACTCCCCCGGATCACGACTCTCGAGCTTACGGAATCGCTGCGCCAGCCGAACGGTCACGTATCCAGCCTCTGCCAAAGCATACTGCTGGCCTAGACAGATTCGTGGACCACCATTGAAAGGAAGATAGCCCCATCCCGGCCGAATGGAGACCCACCGCTCAGGCCAGAATTCATTGGAATTGGGTCCGTATAGATCATCTTGTCGATGCATTGAATACACACTGTATATGACCATGGTGTCTTTGGGAACAAATACCGGTGATTGTGCATCGGGACCACCGCCGACGGGGAGGCATGTATCATTTTTTGCGAGCCTGGCATTAATTGGCACCACAGGATATAGTCGGAGGGCTATTGTGAGATGTTAATCTTTATACGTGTAGTTCCTGGGTCTAAAGGAGCAAAAACGGACCCTCGTTCAAGCAATATCGGAGATATTTCATCTGGCGCAGATCTTCATAGTAGGGAAGGCGGCCATTGAGTGCACTGTTGACCTCATCCTGCAGTTTTGTCCATGCCTCTTGGTGTTTGGCCAGCAAGAAAAATAGGTTGCTCAGGAGACCGGCGGTGGTGTCTCTACCGGCAACTAGGCCATTGATTAGCTCGTCCCGGATTTGACGCCTGTCGTTGGCCTGGCGAACTAGCTCGTTGACGACCCGATACTTTTGTTTCTGTCCAGAGCCACTGGTAGCAATGGGATCTGCGTCTCTCCGTTGCACTGCATAATCAATGATCCTCTCGGCAAACTGATGACAGATCTTAAAGCTTTGCGTTGCTTTACGATCAAAATGGAGGACGCGCAGGGGACCCAACCGGGACCGCATGGTAATTGCCTCCATGGCATAGTTGAACGCCTTCGCAACCTCAACCCCCGAATCGCTGTCAGGGTGTGATCTTCTCAGTGTATGAAGGGAATGTCCGAACAAGAACTCCGTTGCAGAGTCCAAGGTATACGAGAAAAACAGCTCTTGTAGGTCAACTGTGGCACCGTTTGGGGGGATGAGGGCGAAAAGGTCTTGTATCTTCTCCTCGAATAGGGTAAGGTCCGATATCTGAGCGCGCGTGAAATTAGGTCGGAGTAGAGCACGAGAACGAGCCCACCGGTCGCCATCCGATGTGAAAATACCATGTCCAAGGAGTGGCCCTTGTGCGTGAATACGATGTCCAACTGTGAAGTCCTGAAACTGTTGCGAAACGATGGCCTTCACATTCTCAGGCTCGCAGGTGATGATGACCGAGCGTCCAAGTCGTTTGTCAGCTACCGTGTTGCCGAATTGTTGGAAGGTACTGTGGTTTGTTTCAAGGATTCGGTGTTGTTTGGCCGTTCGAATATTGGAGAGAATTCGCCTAAGGTTGCTGAATATGCCCTTTGAGGGAACCTTTGCCGCTGGTTGACAGCCATGAAGGCTTATAAAACGGCGTTGGGTGAGATTGCGTCGGATGAGTCTATACGCACTATGAATGACTAGTGATACCGCAACTCCAACAGGGAAGACGAGATAATTGAAGTATTGCATGGTCTTAACAAGGCAATGACATTGATCGCACAACGATGGAATCTAGAGTAAGGAACCATTTCCCAACATATTATTTTAAGAGGTGGTAGGATTTGACCTAAAACGAGATAAATTATCGCAAATCTAGCAGGTTGATATCATCGGTCACGTACACTGACAGCCAGCCTGGTGTGAAGTGCTTGCAGGGAAACCAGAATATGATGAATCAATTTATGCTTCCCGTGGGAATAATTGTACGGCGCATTTACGCCCTCTATCAGCATCGTACATACGAATGAAGCAAGGGGTGATTAGTACCCCGTCCGCTTACTGGCCAGGAGATATACCTTATATTAAATACAAAACATTACAGCCGCTTTTATACAGTGACAGGAGTGACTGTACTGAGCCTGTATTGACAGCCAAAGCGCGATGATTCGAAATCCAATGTAATATGTCGACGGGTCTCAGTCGACCTTCTATCACTCAAACACTGTACCACTTCCACCAAAGTAAGTTGAAATAATACAATAACCTAGTACTGATATGGGGGGGTAACATAATCCGAGACTACTACCAACGATATCCTTCAATCTATCCTTGCACAGACTGTCAACACATAGTAGGACATTAACCTATAACAAGCAAAGGCAAGGCAAACTCGATCTTTCGACCTAGGTCAGACGGATTTTGGGTTGGAAATAAACAATACTCTACCACAAAATTAAGACGTAACATGCTGAGAGCAAGCGCAGGTGTATAGTCTGTAAGGAGACATGACCTTGGGCAAGTGGGTATCGAAAGCCTGAACATCCGCTGGGAATGCATTATCTGGCATGCTTGATAAAGGGTAAAAGTATTCTTTGAGTATGTCGGACATATCATTGTACCGGAGGGATTTCGTGAGATTCTCATCGATGTACAGGAAATAGGATCTCTCAATCTCGTTTTGCCATTTAAGACGCCAGGTGGAAAAAATTGACATAAAACCTGCCGAAGAAAAGACAAAGACACGTCTTGCAATAGCTGGCTGTATTCAGCTTGGACATTACGCGAAGGGTTGCTGATGACAATGGAGTTAGTTCGGCCGTATTTCGGCAATGTAGAGTAGCCGTGAAAAATGGGGATCATTCGGAAAGAGCCCATATACTCCTGGACATTCCATGTTGTCAAAGGTATGGGAATGGCAGTAGAAAGGAATTGGAACTCAATAGGTAAAGTCTTCAGTGGTTGATTCTCCGGGAAATGTGACACTGACCAATAATTGAAACTATGGTATTATCTATCGCATTACAAACCAAAGTATGGAATGGTTTTGAAAATTGAGAAGAGTATAAATATCCCTTGTAAAGATCCATTTCGAGGCCCGTTTCTATCTAATATTTCTTGTACGGCATTAAGAACAATACCTGCTTTTCTGTGAAATGAGGAGGCCTCTGGCGTGGCCTGCCTGTAGGCTAGGTATTGAAATAAGGACGGCACGATGGCGGTCTGGCAAAACAGACAGGTCGATATCAATGAAGCGAGCACACAACAACCACTCCCATGGCGCGTAGTAGAGAGCGAGGGTAGTCTCCGAAGGCGTAGATCGTACTGGTCTTAAAGCTATACCATGAATGAAGAATTTGGTGAGAAACTGTAGTCATACTGGATGGTTGGATGATGCCAAAATCCCATGTCCGCGAAGACTGCATATCTCCTGAGGCATTTTACACATCTCGAGCAGCTAATGTACTACTGTCACTGGATCCACCACGACAGTATCTTACATACTGCTATAGCTCATTCCTGCAGCAGAAGGATTGCTGATCTTTCCCCAATTCCCGTTATGCAGCTGCTAGCAAAATAGATGTCCAGGTGCCTCTGGATGCGGTATAAATGCCGTATCTCGTGCCCCTAATTTCATTTTCTGCAATGTCTTGAAGACGGTCTAGGCTTGGCAATAATCTATTACTCCTTGGCACGAGTAGTGTTGACTTTATACTGGTGAGGCTGAACTCTACTCCTATCGCAATATGCTAGCCATCTCACATTTATTGTATTTTTCGGACGTCTAAGTCCCGTTAGGCCAGGAGGTGTACCCAACAATACGTTTTACATGCACATATGAGGGATATCACGGAATTCTCAATGTTGATGTGGCGCCAGCTGCTGTATCTTAAGGAATTGGTATAAGAAGAGCGTACTCGTTGTGGCTTACAGATCTTATGCTTTTCCAGTCAATTGATTTCTCCATTTGTTGGGCTGCCACTGAACTTCAATCCATTCTGTCTTTCTAGATTCTCATCAAATTGTACACTGTCATGGGAGCCCCAAATGAATATGAACCACCAACTCAAGGCATCTTCGCCCTTCTACCCTCCGCATTGACTCCGTATGCTGAGCTTATGCGACTGCATCGACTGGCAGGATGTTATTTCTACTACTGCCACTATGCCATCGGCCTGAGCTTTGCTGCCTGTGTGGCTCCATCCCCTCCGAAACCTTCGCTACTCGTCGTCCAGGCCTTATACTTCATGGCCTGGGTATTGATCCTGCGTGGGGCTATGTGCACTTGGAACGATAACATTGATCACGGCTTTGACCGTCAGGTAGCTCGAACTCGGCTGCGACCTATTGCCCGAGGTTCCGTGAGCACCGTTCAGGGTCATGTCTTCCTTTTACTGCAGCTCGTCGTTGGCATCATGATACTCCAAGTTTTCCCCCCATCCTGCCTCTTCTACGCAGCCATCACCACTTTAGCGGCACTTTTCTATCCGTTTTGCAAACGTGTAACACATTTACCGCAAGTATTTCTGGGTCTTGGCTTCGGCCTAGCTATCTTTATGACCGGCGCAGCCCTCAACGTGGACTTCATACTACAGCATTCATCAAATGGTGGCGATGGCCATCGCCATCGACTCGCAGCTCTGTGCCTCTACGCTGTCAGCGTTCTATACACTGTTCTTGTGGATACTCTGTATGCTTACCAAGACATGGAGGATGATATGAAGGCTGGCGTGGGCTCGCTAGCGGTTCGCCTTGGAAAATCTCCGAAATTGGTCTTTTCGTTCATGGCGGCCGCGCAAGTCATATTTTTGGTCGCTGTTGGCATTCTCAGCCAGTTTTCAGCCATTTACTTTGTGGGATCATGTAGCACAACGGCTCTTGTTCTGGTTTCTATGGTCTCTCTGGTCAATTTGACCGACCCTGCCAGTTGTGCTTGGTGGTTTGGTCCGGGTTCCTGCCTTTTAGGGGCTTCGATGACGATAGGGATGATTGGGGAGTATGCTAAACGACAAGTATCCAGTGCGTATTTATGAGCCAATATTGGCAAGCAAGCATGTTTGCCCTGTGTTTCAGACCTCTTTCTTTGAGCTCTTCCTATAAGACCTCTCTCGTAGGTAGAAAGAATAAAGAATCCATCATCCTTCATACGTTTCTCTATGTGCTCTATCAAATATGTGGGTTCTCAAAAGAAATAACTTGTAGGATATATGGTTCAGGGGCTGTTGCCCTCAGAGCTCAGCGCCTACCAGTATCAATCCGAACAATATGAAGTATTTAATGTAACAACATAAGGACCCAGGCTCCAATATATCCTAATATGTAATTTTGTTGAGATGGCATACCCAGTTGCGTCACGCGCCCTAGATAGATCTGAGCCCTAGTAGCATGGAAGAAGTGAAGCACTTCAATGCTTCTTTCTCTCCATCTCTCTCATCCGACCGAATATCAATCTATTGCCATACATTGCTCTTCGTCTCACCACTAGAAATTTCCATATCGCTGTCTTTGCGCTTGCCTCAAAGCATGTCTTTAACCGTCTCAAATGCTTTCTCTCCTTGCTCCTGTGCCAGTCTAACCTTGACTCTCAGCGGGCACCGATCCCAGACCATGTAGGTGCGTTGCGCTTCCCACTCCTCGCGGCTAGTGAGAAGCTCCATATCGAAATTCCACACCAAACGCGCAAATATCAGACGGAGCTCAACCTTGGCAAAGCTGGACCAGAATTAATCAGTGCAAACGTTGTCACCAAAACAGGGGAAATACGCACCTCATCCCAAGACAGTTCCGCGGGCCCACAGCAAACGGCTGAAACGCGGCTTTGTTGTCATCCTTGAACTGCTGACTCTCTCCTTCCAGCCATCTTTCAGGCAGGAACTCTTCTGGACGGGTGAAATTCACCTCTGACCGATACGCTGACCACTGGTGCACTCCGACTTTGGCCCCATTAGGAACCCAGTTTCCATCGATGAAGCAGCCGTGGCTTGTGCGTGGAAGGCTTGATGGGATTGCTGGCCAGATCCGCATTGTTTCTTGCAGTACGGCAACCATGTACTTGCAGTTGTTGACCGCTATGCTGTTGATGTCCTCTTCTCTCTCGAAGCTCGCTCTCACCTCTTTTTTCAACTGAGCGTATACCTGTGGGTGGGAAAGAACAAAGTAATGAGCGGACGTCAGGACACTGGCAGTAGTTTCGGACCCAGCAATCATGAGTGATCCAACTGTTGAGCGAAGCTGCCCCATTGAGAAGCCTTCGGGTTCGTCTAAATGAGGCACTACGGGAGTGAGGAGATCAGGTCGCTTGTCATCAGCACTCGAACCAAGACGGCGATCCAAGGCAGCGATGTTGCTCTGGTGGAATTTCACTGCAGCACTCGGGAATAACACCGGGAAAAGCGAACTGATTGTGGTAATGAAGAAAGAGACCTGTTATATCTATCAATGAATGCCTTTTTTCTTTGTTCACCGAAGAGCCGGCTGACTTACATATTTAGTGGCAACGTGGGAAGCAATGCGTGCTTTTACCATTGGCATGACGAAACTGATCCAGTCGGTCTCCTGCTCAAGCGTGTTGGCGCTCTCGCCAAAAGTCAGATCAGTTATGATATCGTAGGTTGTAGCGTTCAACAGGAGTGCCATATTGGCCTCTTTAGTTCCTGGTCCTTCTTTCTGAATATCAAGGGCCCGTTCCCTGATCTTTACCACCAGCTGGCTGATATGTCGTGTTAAAAGGCCCTCTTGCATCCTGACGCTTCTCTCGCTGAAGCCTGAAACCAGCTCGCGCCTCATCTGGGCATGGTCCGTATCACTGGGGGTGTTGGCCATCCCATTCACACCCCCTGCTGGGCTCGCAGTAATATCAGCGTGCTTCTTCAGCTGAGGATTCCTGCGTCCGTATATATCATTCCACGCCTGGGCGCTGATGTACGAGAGCTGGTCTGGTGACACTCGGACTACTGGTCCATAGTGGCGATGAAACTCGGCATGCCAGAGATGGGTTGTTCCCTTCAAAAGAGCAATTTTGTAAGGAATGAAAGTTGAGGTCCAGATAAGTGGGCCAGGGTAACGAGCCAGTGGATGGAAAAATGCGTTGTAAATGGATCGTAGCACCGTGAGGATTAAAATCTAGTTAGTTGTGTCTAATTAGCATTGGCAACACTATGGATCGAATCGAATCGCTTTCACTTACACTTCCTAGTAGCACAAAGCCCATAAACCCCCAGGAAAGACCAAAAACAACCACAAGTGTCTCTTCAAGAGACTTCATATCGAACGTCCAAGAAACCACTGTCATCGTGGTCTGACTTAGTCCGAGGGTTGCGTTGATGGAAAACTTCCCATTTGAGCACGGGCTAGAATGTGACCTGGCGAGTTTCTGACAAGCACTTTATAGTCGAATAAGCTGAACACCTATTTTTGAAAATTACAGTCCTAATACGTTTTTGGAAAGCAATCATTCTTGATCATCGTGCATGGAGTCAAAGCGTTCCTTTTTGCTGTGGATCCATACAATAGTGACCGATCATATAGATCAACTCTGACAATACAGAGTACACCGTTTTCGTTCCTGTATGCAGCATGGTATTGTGTAATACCTTATCTTCCTGTGAGCTGTGTACAACCTACCAGGAGTCGGCTGCAATGTGCCTAATAGGAAGAGATTATCTCTCTGGGTTGCTGTGTGTGCAATGAATCGACTCCCCAAGCCTATTTAATCGCTGATTTACCGACCGGCAGTCATTGCATCGAATCGTGCAGCGCAGTCTCGTTAGGATGTCTGACCATTGGCAAAGCACAGTCTTTCCCAACGAGCCAATTTTCAAACTGTTGCTAGAAGCTGCGCAAGAGAACCGACATGTCGCCGTTTCCGATTCCATTCGGGGAGTGAATGCCAGCTATGCTCAACTTCTGGTGGATATTTGCACCATGCGCGAGGAGATTAGAAAGCTGATCCCACACTCCATGTTTGACGCAAGAGGACTGATGCCACTCGAAGCAACGTGCATTTTCATTCTTGGCCCAGCGAGCTATTTGTTTATTCTGGCTTCCTTCACCGCTCTCTCTCTAGGCGGTGCAATTTTCCCACTGAGTAGGTCCAACGAAGAGGAGCTGTCTACTACTAGTATTAATGCATCTCCGTGTGTACAGGTACTGGAGCAAGTCCGCCAGATGCGTACCGACTCTTACAAAAAGCGCGGTCCTCATTAATCTTAGCAGACCCTCTTTACCTCAACCATGCTCTAGAGATCAAAAAATACGCCGATGGGGAAGGGACTGATCTCTATGTAGTACCGACCACCTTCAATATTGCCTCCCCAGGAACTCTCCTGAAGGCCAATGTCAAGATCAATCAGGACTTGATGGTCGAACAGACTCGGCCGGGGTTAATCATCTCGACTTCTGGCACAACAGGACCCCCTAAGCTGGTCGTACATGGGCGAGGTCTCTTTGCCTCTGGCGCACATTACCAGAGTGGTGATGTCTTTTTGTGTCATCGCTCTCCAGTATGGTTTGGTGGGTTGTGGCCGCTCATCTCCGTTGTTCTCGCTCGGGCAAAGCTGAGAATCGTGGCAAGAGATGCGTCCGTCATTTGGGAATCCCTTCGCAGTGACCAAATTACTTTCCTGAGTACGGTCCCGGCCGTTTGGACACAACTTATGGAATATTATCAGAGCCATATCAGCAATTTAGCGCACGAACAAGCGGAAGCCTACCGGCAAGGAGTCCAGAAACTGCGCAGGGCTATTGTCAGCTCGAGCTCGCTGCTGCCGTCTGTTCAGAAATTCTGGGCAGACAAGATGCAAAGGCCACTGATGGTCGTTTATGCGGCAACAGAGCTAGGTGGTGCCGCACTTGTGAGGGCTCCAGCTGCGTTCCCAGACGAAGCGGTGAGCTGCAGTTCTTTCCCTTTTGTTATTGTGGGACATACTGATGATCCATTTTGGTAGCGCCGCATTGGGAAGCCACCACCTGGAGTTTTAGTGAAGTTGTCCGAAGGAGACCATGGCCAGCTGCTAATCAAGAGTCCATCCGCTTTTCTACGGTATGCTTCGAGGGGATGCTGTATACGCAAAGGCTAAATTAACTTCGCCAGATACCTTGGGAATCCAGAAGCAACAGAAAATGCCTTTGACGAGGACGGTTACTACAAATCTGACGACTTTGCGCATCGGGTGGGGGATGAATACGTACTCGACGGTAGGATAATAGATTGTAAGTTATGATAGTGCACACGATAATTTCCGCATTCTCAACCCATAAGTTCAAAGACAAGTGAGGGCCTGACAAACATGACTATGCAGACATACGATACTACGGGTATAAGGTAATGACCCACGAAGTTGAAGCCCGCATGGCTGTCCTCCCGTATATCTCCGAGGCATGCGTTCTAGCAGTTCCCGTCGCCAACGATGCGTTTACCACGGAAAGAGTTGGAGCTCTTGTGCGCCTTCAATCTTCTCATCTACCGTCCAATGGCCCGTGTTGGGATTGTCGTTCGACACTGGAGAGGTTGAGAGCAGACCTCTCTAGAGATTTGGCATTCCATATGCTTCCCACCGTCCTTTGCCTGCTCCATGACAGCGAGCAGATCCCGAGGACAGTATCCGAGAAGTTTAACAGACGAGACGCTGTGGAAAGGTACTTCAAGCCAGGAAGCTTTGACCTACCGCAGGACATAAAGGTGTGGGATTTCAAGTGCCAGAATTCTTAGATTCCTATGGTTGGGGAACGTTCTGCATATGTGCTATAAATTTAGAGCTTTAGGTCTATAGGAAGTCAAACACAATTTACAGACATACAAATCTCTCCCCAGTAAACGAGTCGCTTACAACTATAACGGGATCGTTGCGCAATATGTATGAGCCGCAAAGTAAAGTAGATTGATCCACTCACTAGATTCGTGATACTAAAGTAAACCCAGCTCCTACTCTCACCGCCACGCTGCCTCCAATCCTGTCCTTTAAAATACGCAACCCACAGCATCGATGATGACATAGACCACAAACCTGCAATGATCGTTCCTAGCCAGCCAAACCCAATAGCTTGAATAAGGAGCGGTACGATGGCAACAACCCCAGCCCCGGGAAGGAATCTACATAACGACATGGCTGCTCGTGCCATCCCTGGCAAGTGTGCGTGTAAGTCCATGATCAATGCCCCAGCCGTGTTAGTTACATCAGCAATGCACGTCGAATAAAGCCATGTTGAAGCGGTAACGACTGAATGAGGCAGGAAGAAGGTGTCCGTAACTGCATAATAGATTTACCTACCTAGATAATGTCTAAAATCCATCTGGCTATCCAGCATGACATTCTTTAGGTCTTGCCATCAATCTAGTTGTTTAATGTCTATTCTGGAGCTATGTAGATATACGGAGGAAGAACAAGATACCAACCACTACGCCGATGACAAGATATAAAATAACCTCCAATGGTAGCTATACGATGAAGTAGACAGTCAGATATGATAGTGCCATCCATACTCCAGTGTAAAACACAGTAACTATGTACATCAAGATTTGACGTTAACGTCAATATAAACAAAAGAACCAAATCACCACTCCAAATCCTTCCTCCCTTTATTCCCGTTTCCATTCACTTTAACCTTCACATCATTTCCTTCCCTATTTCCATTCTTATAGCCTGCACCCTTCAACTTGTCTTCCCCTTTCTCATTCTCAGCACTTTCAACACCCCGATCCCCCCACCTCCCCCTCCAAACCCCAATCTCCTCCCCCCACAAATCCCTCACACAAGGATCACAAGAACTCCCACAACAATCACCAAGCCCAGGCGGCGGAGGCGGATCATTATAGTCACGCTCTGCAGCGCGGAGGAGTTGTTTCTCGCGTGTGCGCGTGAGGCGGCGCCTTTGGAGGGTTTTGAAAAGGGGGGTTTCTGCTGGGGTGTAGTATGGTTCTGGGGGTGGAGGTGCAGGTGAGAGTGAGGATGAGGATGAGGGTGTTGATGAGAAGGTGAATGGGGAGAGGAGAGTTGTTAGAAGGGTTGTTGGATTGTAAGCTGATGGTTTCGGGTCTTCTGTTGCCTTTTCTTTGTCTTGATCTGTGGTTGGGGTGGGTGATATAACTCGTGTCTCTGAGTCTGGATCTTTCTCTTTAGAGGTATCTCCTGATTTGGGGATAGGAGCAGTGGATGAGGTTGAAGTTGAAGTTGGAGCCGGTGGGACAACCTGAGGTTGTGTATCGATGCTCATTTGATATATGGTCAAAATAGAATTTGATATAGATATCGCAGCGTAGAAGCGTAGATCATATAAAGAGCAATTGATCCAATCTATCAATCATTAGCATCAAATCCTCATTTGATATCATATTGAATCGGACAAACCACAAGCCCAGAGTCAAGAACCATGTCATTCAAAATATTCGAAGAATAGACAGTATCGCTTTGTAGTTTTCTTGCGTTTCAGCGAAATAACTGGACAAAGTGAAGAAGTTAAATGTGAAGCCGATTCTCGGGGCCGGGTAAGAACTTCTCGGGCGGATAATCCCCGTTTCCTGTTCGTTCCGATGTTTATACTGTACTGGGCGTCATACTTAACTTGACTTTATACTGCTTACACCCTCTCCAAGGTAGCTGTTCAAATCTAATTCGTGCTTTAAGTTCTGTGTAAAGTAATACACATAGCAATGATACAGCCTTATAAAGGTAACCTGTGAGGTAACTCAGAAAGATAACGCCCGTAATAAAATCCCATGGTATAATGCAAGAAACACGAATCAAAGAATCAAATCACTTCTTCTTCGGCGTCAACTTCGGCGACCAAACGTTCCCAAGTCCAGACCTCCTAGACCCATTCCCAGAGGATCCAAACCTCGGTGTCCCCCCACCCTGATTCAACAACCGATGCGCCGCAGGCGTAAGCATCTTCCCCTGCTTCCCAGTTCCACCAGAAGTAGAAGCAGAAGTAACAGAGCCAGGAGTCCCAGAACCCAACATGGGACTACTAGCGAAACGCGGCGTATTCGAAACAGGCGTTTTGGTCACCCGCGCAGCCTTCTCGGCGCGTTTATTGCGCGCAACACGATCGACCATGCGATGATGGAGGGCTTCGCGTTTACCGGTTTCGGATAGTTGGAATGGGTTTGGTGTTTTATCTGCTTGGCCTAGGAGGCGCCAGTCTGCTTCGTAGTCCGACGATCTGGGGTTGGAGGATGAAATGTAGCTGAATGGTTCAGGTTCAGGTTCGTCTTCGTCGACGAAGGCATAGCCGTTTACACGGGGTGTTTCGCCTCCTGCCGTGGACATGGCTTCCGATTCATTCAGGCGGGGTCGACCGGCTATGGCGTCTTGAATTGCGGAGAGAGAGGGGGATTGTGGGATTGAATCTGCTGCAGCTGCGGCTTCGGTGTCTAGGAGTCTTGTGTTTTGGTAGAGGGTTCGTTTTGGGCCAGCGCGGGACGAGAGTTCTGCCTTCTGGGGGAGGGTTTCGTGTGTATCCTCTACCGACGAGGGAAGGAACATGAGGGTATTATCCGGGCGGGTCTTCCACGAGTCTGGTTTCGCAGGGCGAGCATCTAAGTCTGTTTTTATGGCCGGGCCGTCTTGCTTGATCAGGGCCGTTTCGGGATTCCCGCCTTGTGCTGTGATGCGCTTTGTTTCTTGGTTGTGGTGGGCGATTTGGCGGGCCGAGGGGACTTTGTTGCCGGTCCAAAGCCAGGGGTATTTTTCTCTGCGTTTGATATTTTGCTTGTCAATGACTTTGTTGAAGGACTCGTTATCTTCGCTGGTGTATTTTGCCTGGAAGGCGAGGAGGCCAATGTTCGATACGTCGGGGACGTTTTGCTCCTGGGCATCTGTCGTTGATGTTGATGTCGACGCCACAGACATGGGTGTATCGCCTCCCCAGCCATGGGGTGTTTCATCAGGTCGACTGGACGGGAAATGCTGTGGCGTGCCCGCGGAGTCCGTCTTTCGCCTTGCGTTTGAGCCTGGTGTGGGCGTGCGCATAACATCTGCCAACTTCTTCTTCGAACTTGCGATCCACGCTTTATCTTTTGATTCTAGCGCATCCAGGTACTCTTGCTTGCTTTGGGTTTCGAGTAATCCTGGGAAGAAGTCGCGAGCGATGATGTGGGATAGTGTACTGGTGTAGACATCTTCGTCGAGGACAGTCGCGGGGCGTTTAATCCGTTTCGGAGGTGGAGGAGGGGGCATGAGCTGGCCATCTGGGCGCTTGACCAGCTCCTGCGAAGACGACATGATTGTTCAGTTGAGTTGAAGTTGAGGAATAGAAAGGTGAGATAAGATAGGGATCAGATGACATCTGGGCTAACCGCTTTGGGTTATACGTGTCTACTACTCTACGTTCACCGCAAGTCAATGCCAATGGCTGCATTGGAGCTTGAGCTCCTCTAAAAGAAAATCTATAGCGAATGTTCCCAATCCATATTCCCTCCAGTTCCTTTTTCTCTCTTTTCCCGAATCCCCTCCAAGATACCATATCGCTGATCGCCGAGAAATGCAGATGAAAGAACGACCACAGCTGAAACCAAAACAAACGGAAAATATGGCACACAGACATGTTAAACAGACAGATTAAAAAACACAAGGAAAACACGGATCGTGACTCGTAGACCACAAAGGGTCAGGGGAAGCGAGAGTTGATACCCTCGATAAGACGCAAGGGGTGAAATGACCAAGAAACAGGAGCGAGAGATAAACCATCACTTCTAGTGAGCAGTGGTTGGGAAGAGAGAGTAAGATGGAGTTCTGCTCTTCTTTCGGTTGGGGTTTTTAGGAGGAAGACGAGGCAGCGGGGCTGCGACTGGGATCGATCGGACTTCCACCTCCGAGGTGGATTTGGTCCGGTCGTGAACGGATGGAGACATGGAGTCTGCATACTCGGCATTTTCAAGGAGGTGCGCCTCGGCCAAACTCTTAGTTTGGCGATGGTTGGAAGATGAAGCAGGGCGGGCCAGAGCTTCGGCGGCAGTCAAACGGTCAGTCGGCATCAGCTCGCGGCTGCTGGACAGGCTGTGAATGAGCTCCGGTACGCTGGTGGTTGACACCGAGGAGCGGTGCTTGCGTGCGATGGAGGCCGCGCGGGAGAGCATCAAGCTCTCCTGGGAGTTGCACTTGCTGATGGGGGAGAAGCTACTACGGGGAGAGATGGGGTTGCCCATCATGCCCGAGAAGGGATAGTGACGATCTGATTCTCCATCAGTTGCCAGGTACTCCTCATACAACGGTTCGTGGGAGAGTTGTTTGCCAAGGGATGATGGCAGGATCGAGGAACTGACTGGGAAATAGTCACCGGGCCGAGCAATGTACTCTTGTTCATAATCGCAAGGAGTGGCGACCGAGTGCGGCGGTACCGACTGGGCAGGACTAGGATCCAGATCCGGCGTAGGTAAAGCTGAAGTGCTCAACGGGCTGGGCTGGAGGTTTCGGGTCTTCGGTGACAGCCAGGGACCGTCACTGCAGGCAACACCGATCTGTGGACGGGCTTCGTCCAGGGATGTGCGCGACCAATCAAAGTTGGAGGTGGATTCGGCTGCATGCTCATAGCAGTAGTCGATATCTGCATCCCACGAGTCGTACATTTCATCATCATACGAGAATTGACGCACGCTGGAGGTCGGGGGCGATGTCACCTGCACCCGGGCTTCAGGAGTATGTTGAAGATGCTGGGGCAGAGTTGGCGAACCAAGTGCCTCGGAAAACTTTCTGGACAACTCCTCGGCCACATTGATCGACAGTGGAGCCTTGGGCTCACTAGACCGGGTCTTGGTCCGAGGACTGGCCTGGGAAGTTGAGCAGGAGGGAGGACATCCCATACTAGACTCAGGGCTGTCCCAGTACCGGGTTCCTTCCTCCTCCTCTTCCTGGACGTCCTCCAGATCATAGTGGCTGCTCATGGACGAGGTTCTGGCACTATCATCCGTGGGCTCGGGGCTGAAGAACCGGGTTGGCTGTGCAGATTGCAGGCATTCCGGATATGTCATGGCAGTGGACAAGCCTAGGATCTCATCAATGGCCCGAGGAGCCGGCTCGGCAGTTTCAGGTGGAGGAGTCTCTGGAACCGCAGGCGGCGGGGGAGTGGTAGGGCATGAACGGGGATATCGAGAGACGGGCCGGGAAAAGTTCTCGGTGACACGAGATTCTCTACGTGCATGGCCACGGTACCCATCTGGAGAAGCCGGTGGGCTGACACTGGGAACATCCACAGTGGTAGCAGTTCCAAACGCGGCCAGGTCTTCCGTGGAGAAATTGCGGAAATGAATGTCCTCGGCGCGGATGCCTTTAAGATCAGTCTGGGGCCGTTGAGATGCACGGATGGCGGAGAATTCGGTGACGAGATCGTTCTCACGGGTTTGATCCAAAGACTGGAATTGCGACGGGTTGGTATGAGTCAAGTGGTGGAAGTCGAATGGGTCTGAGATGATGCTCTTCAGACGTTCATCTGCATTGGGTCAATTGAGTTCACATGCTTGATAGCTCGGCACTTACGATTGTCGGTATGGCGGGCGCGACGGCCAAATAGCTCTTTCTCAGTCCTTGGCCTCTCCCGATCCACCTCGTCTTCCTCGTCCAGCGTGGCGACGATGTTGATCTTGCTACCTTGACGGCGCAGAATGCGACTTCCGCGCGCCAATAAGGACCGTGAGGGCTTATCCTTATCAGCACGCATGCCCAGCGATGAGACGGTTCGCTCATCAGACATTGACCCTTCCGAGGTCATGGATGAACCTGGGGATCGGCGTGAGGTTGTCGAGGTCGAGGTAGTGGTGTTGCTTCTCGAACGGCCACTGAAGACTGATAGACGCTTCGGGCTATTCACATGAGCTGTTGACCTCGACCGGATATGAGCCGCATGCTCTGGATGCTCATTAGAAGAACGAGTGGATGGACGGTCAATATCATCGTCCCATTGGCCCTTGGCCGGGAAGGGAGCAAAGGTCGACATTGTGAAGACCAAACATCTGGAGATCCCCCGTGGGTAAAAAGGAGGGAGAGCCGGGAGATAAATGAAGAGAGACTCGATACACGGCTGGTTCAGGGGTATTTTATGATCTGGTATTGTATTGTATTTATTCTATATTTATTTTTACCTTTTTGTTTATTTTCATATTTCCTCCTTTTTTACATTTTATTTGCTCTTTGTTATATATTTGCTAGATATACAATGCGAGTTACCGCCATACATTAGACAGAGTCGACCAGTGCAGACTAGACAGAAGGCTGGAGGGGTATAGGTAGACCAGTAGACCACGGAACAAGAATCCCAGCATCACGGAGCCGAAACACAACGGTTCTAGTGCCCTTCAGGGCCCAAGTGAACGTGTGAGATTGTGGGGAACAAGACTTGCATTAGGCCGCTTTTGGCAGGTATCAACGGATTGATACGCCCGGTACGTGTATCCCAATTCACCGCGTCGATATACTTGTAGACAGTAGACTGTTATGATCCTACTTGTAGATGATATAGATGTAGAGATATAGATATAGAAGAGTATCCTTCATTTCTACACGTACTGTACACTGTTCTTTCATGTAATCAACTCAAGTGGAGTGTGCCGGTCTCTCATATCCCACAGAGCATAATTCACATTTATATTCCACTTTTCCACTGTCAATTCTTTTCCTGTTTCAATTTCGGACAATATTCCTTCCAATTTCCATATCCTTGCGTAAAGCCCGAGACCAGCCACGAAGCGCCTTTTCCCCGCGTCCCAGCGGAGCCTCGGTCAACGGTTTTTCATCTCATGATAGTCTAGTGTTTTAGTTCGCTTTTTGAGTAGGGCTTGGAAAGACCGATCGCAATCTACGGAATTCGGCAGTGGAGATCCATAATGTCTTTGTATTACACTTACCCATGTGCTCGGCATATGTTCTTCCATACATCCCTGTCGAAGCACGAGCAAGGATCTGATCGTATTCCTGTCCGTTCCTGTCTTTTCCTGTTCCTGTTCCTGTAGGGGATGATCGGTGGGGGCTGCCGCCTCGGAGGGTGCCGTTCCCCTATCTCTCTGTACATGTAAATATAAGTTAGTGGGAAGGTAAAACAACTTTCAAACTTCTGAAAGCTGAAGAATGTGAAATGTGTTTCCCTTACATGAACTTACATGAAGTTGAAACGTTGTCTCAGTATATGGTATGTGCATGTACATATACCTGAGGTAGTATTCCGTACTACGTCTACTCACCATCACTGCACACTGCTTGTATGTATACTGTATTGTACTGTAAATCCAGTGGGGAGACTCGAAACAAAAGACGGGACTGGTATTGCGCTAGTATTGCGGGACTCCTGACGATCTCGTCTAGAAGTGTCTGCGAGTACCACGAAGTACACCACGTAGTGCTGACAGTGACCAGGTACATGTGTGTACCAGTACATGCAGGTACCACAATACATATAACTTAGGCTATATGCCTCAAATGCTTACTACTAGGTACGTACTGTAGTTACTCCTATACTCTTATACTTTCACTATCATCCCAATTTAGAAGGTCCAAATCTCCACCGGCGGTTCGCGTCCACGATGATCATCTCGTCATCGGCGAACAACCGAGTTCTCAGGTCCAAGCGTCTCACGCCCCATTCCCACAAGTCCAGGCCAGATCTGCAGAAATAGAAGATGCCCCGAAATTGGAGGAAGGATAAGCATTCCGAGACAGAGAGTACAGCTCCGTAGTTTTACTTTCCATATTTTTAGGGATTCAGCCCTAGTATCTCCAGATCAAAAATGAGAAAACCTTAACTCAATCCATAACAGTCTATGTTAGAGCCTAAAAGCCGAAGCTAGAATACCCCCTGGAACTCTCGATACACCCAAGGTTCGAGGCACGTTTCGCTTTGACTTTGGGACTATGTATCAGGTCTAAGCTAATTGTTGGTTCGAGCTCAAAACACGAACGCGTTCGGTGTGCTCCCCTGGCCACTTCCCGAGATCGACATGTCTTCGCTTGGATGGTTTTTATTTTACAGTGCAATATGACTACAGCATTATTACGACAGTCGATTGATCAATGTCGCCAAGCAGTTCTTTAATGTTCCGTATGTAACCTGCCACAAGGCAGGATCACTCTAGGCACTAGGTCATACAATCGCTGCCTAGTGCTAACTAGTAGAATTTAATTAAATTATTGGACAGCTAACGGTCGCTTATCTGGGTAAAGTATAGTGTATCGCCCGTTAGAACCACCTGTGGAGTTTTGATGGGGGCAAAATAACACTATCGACGTAAGTGCTGGGGCTAATCCCATTAATAGCCGCAATAGTCGTCATGCTTTTGAACTAGTCGGCTGTTCACTATTTATGCCACTATGTGCGACTATGGAAGATCCTGTTGAATGTCGAATGTAACCTGGCATTGATCGGTGGACTGGCAGGGATTGTACGGCTGTGTGCCCCTGTTGTTTGTGCAGGGATCCCTTTCAATGTTTGGGTTTCTTTGAACTGGTCATTTTCCTGTATTGATACATCGGATCGGACTATTGCATCTACTAGTTGTGCCATCGCCTAATCTACTGTGAGATTAAAGAAGTTCTTTCCATTAGAGGTATAGCCTATACTGGGTATTAGACATTAAGCTTAACGTAAATCATATCCTTTCCATAACGCCAATTCCTTTTGTCTCACTCCCATCAAATAAGCCGCTCAGTTGCTAGCTTGTACATTCGCGTTGTTTGCTTGATGATGAAAGGGAACATACTCAAATCTGAGCCCTTAGATGTGTCGTTTAGATGTTGACAGCGTCCAAGACAGGAGTGCCAATATCAACTCCACTAACTCCTCCAATGTCGCTGTCCTGCTCACGCTTGCCAAGGTTAACCAAGCCAAGAACACCGCCGTCACCATTCTTGTTACCGTTCTCGTCACCGTCGGTGATCAGGGTTTCATCACGCTTTTTAACCGCGTCAAGAAGCCCGCCAAGGAGGTCGTCATCGTCGTCGTTGTCAAGACCGAGCAGAGCTTCCTCACGCTTGCGAAGAAGTCCGCCAAGGATGTTGTCATCAAACAGGGAGTCATCACGCTTTACAACCCCCTTAGACGTCTTAATAACCTCGCCAATTTCCTTGTCAATGTCGTCATCCGCGATATCTTCACGCTTGCGAAGACCAAGGTCGAGCGGGCCACTGTCGCTGTCATCGACCGTCTCACCGTTGCCATCACCACGCTTACGAAGGTCAATGATGTCAAGGAGGTCGCCATCGCCGTTACTTCCATCGGTCAGGGTTTCCTCGCGCTTGCTAAAACCAAGGAAGCCCAAACCGAGTTCACCGGCATTGCTTTCCTCTTGCTGCTCATCGTCACCATCCCTGTCGATCAGGGTCTTTTCACGCTTGACATCATCACCATCTTCCCGGGGGATGAGGAGGGTAGGGACGCCGATACCAGGAGTGATACCGTCAATACTGATATCCTCAGAACGCTTGGGGATGTCGTTGACTGAAACCTGAGGGAGAACATCGAGGTTATCGACGCCCAAGTTGTTGATATTCACGTCTTCGTCGCGCTTAGAGACAGGTGCAGCGACGACTGTCACGGCCAGCAGAGCGGGAGCTGCGAATGCGTAACGCATTTTGATAGAATGCGACTAGTGTATATGTTAGATGTTGGACTGGATTGGGTTGCTGTATAGGCCGAGCTAGTCTCTACGGCCTCCTATATACTGGGCTGCACTCACCGACAAGGAACTGGGGTCTAACGTAACTTGCCCTAGTCTGGCAGGGAGAATGGAGGAGGGGGTGGATAATCTCCACGAAAGACGGCCAGGGTGTTAAGTACCTGGGTTCTGGTGTGATGTTTGCGGCATGGTAACTGACGTGCTGCAGGAATTGTCATGATCAGGACTGGTTGTGCCCACTTAGCGCTAGTTGAGTAGGCATTTTTAAAAAGTGTCGTGGCTAGATGTCCGGTCGATGACATATGAGTAGATGCGCTAGATTGGATGTCCACTTGCGGTAATTTAGTTCAATTGGATGTTGCAGTAGGGATGGTGGGGTTATCTGAAGAGACTTTAAAATATAGGCTCCGTCGACTGAACTTGTACTGTAGTGTTTTCCAAATGCAGATGGAAGAGAGGTGCTGTAGAGATTGGTGTTGACGATCACTAACTGTTTTGGCGGTGAACCAACCCTTGGCGACATCCGTTGATATCATCTGTTCACTCGATCCTACGCTGGCCCTGGCCGTCGATTACCCCTTGATTTACACGGGATAGGTAAATGCAGAATTTAAAGTAGAGAATTATATATTTGTTCAACCCCATTCGTTGGATAGAATAAAAATTACAACGTAACTGGCCGGTGTTTGTAGATATATATACTCCTACAAATCAAGCTTAACCGTAACAAGGTTACGTCGCATCCTTGAAGAACCAGGGAATCCTCAAACTGTAAAAATTCTAAACTAATTAGAAAATATTGCAAGTTATACTGTTTGGTCTAGATTTATAAGCATACCATGCGATGGGATCTTATTCTTCTTGCCTGAAGAGAAAATCTAGATTAGTCCCTCCCTTGTTTTAAGAGTGAGAAGATGACCTACCTGATGAGCAGATGGTAACTAGTGACAACATCTGGTGCAGACAATGTAAGACCAGTGCCTAGGCAAATCCCAACGATAGTAATGTCCTCCGCCATGACCAACAAAATAGTGGGATTTGCGTGGTGATCATGTTGAATTTCGATTTCATCCGAGAAAGCCGCCAAGAGCGAGTAGACATTGCGAATGAATAGAAGAGGAGCTGACAGTCCCACAAAAGGACTAGTCTATGTTCCCTATTTTCGATTTGACGGTAGCGCATTCCAATCAAAAATAGTAAAAAGACTAGGCCGGCCCAAGCAACTAGGATTATAACCACCCCGACCTTGGACAGTGAATTTGTTGGACCAGCGTGGACACCGTTGGAGCTCTTTGTTGCACCGATAATGCTTAGATTCACTGCTACTAGAGTGGCGAGTTTGACTAAAGAGAACAAGCGCCGATGAACCTCTTTTCCGGACCTTTGCTTCAAAGTTTCGTTTCTAGAAGAGAAAATAGTTAGACTTCGTAATTACAGAGAGAAAGATACTGAATTACTTATGCACGGGATAAGGGATCAGCACATGCCACAGTCAATGGCGACAATCCAGTCGAGTTGCAGACAGCCCATATGATGTTGAGTTTCGTCGAGGTTGGGTTGGATATCGTAGCCAGATAGCAACAGGAATCTATCACGCGAAAAAGAGAAGAAATAACCAAAGCTACCCACCCTGACTTTTGCTGAATCCATGTCCGGGTGATACCCAAAGAGCAATGCAAAAGGTAGGTAGGATAACAAGGACCTCCAATAGGAGATACCGTGCCGACAATCGAGCCTCATCACTGAAAAATATGTAGGTATGAGAGCATCAAAAGTATCTCTGTCACTGCAATCAGACAATCAAAACGAAAAAGCAAACACCGTTTATATCCTCATACTGCGAAGCAATTTCTATAGAAGAGAGTGGATTTAACGACACATCTGAGCAAGCCAGTATTTCTATAGTTACGCTCTGAATCTCCAATGCAGTAGCCTGATCACGATACTATAAGGTCTTATTTACCAGACAGCTGCATTGCTCTTCGACTATATCTCTGTCTATGATCTCGCTCAGATATAATCCATGGACATACACACGGTGCTGCTGCATTGCTTGAGCTCAGTGGAGTAGAGCAGGTCCAATGCCAAGGTGGTTTTAACATGTTCAACACACTCAGAAATATAGTGGCAAGAAGCGGATTCATCCTGTTGGTTAATACTATAGCTAATACATATAAGCTTTTGGATTGTCTTAGAAAGAACAGTTTCTAGAGGTTATGATCAACTCCCATGATCGGATGACTCCTACACTTTTGACAGATCTTCTCGGGGTTTATAAAAATCAACTAGTGAAAATGACCGCGAGGTTTTGCAATCTATAGTCTGACATTAAGAACGCTGTTATTTAGAATGATCCAAAGGTATTACAATGGCCATGGAAATTGACTCAAACTCGAGGAATTTGCTCGCGGACTTTTCGCTAACTTTCCCTTTAACATTGGAACATGGAACGGAAGGAATAGGACACATGTCAATGCGAGTCGGCACATCCCTCACTACGATGGATATTTCCATATCTATACCTCCATCGAAGCATGCAATGTTTGAAACAACTATCGCTGCACTCACACTCTGGTCAACAGTATCCCGCTGTCACACCTGAAATCTTCTACGAACCAAACGGCCATCTCTAGTGAAAGATACCCAGAAGACCAATACTACAAGATCCAATCTCTAACCAAACAACTGGCCATCGACGTCTGCCAATCCATCTCATTCAAGCTCGGTCTCGCAGGACATGGGAAGAAATGCAACCAAATCATTGAAACCGTCCAAACAGGTGCTGGACTCACTGTACTATACCCTCTCTGTCTAGCTGCAGTGGTAGGTGGATACCCGAGTCCAGTGTGCGTCTGGGCTATGAGGTGTTTGAATATCCTTGGTATATCCTTGGTCCATATTTGGGAATTGGTGCTGCGCTGTTCCTTGTGGGTTTGTTACCTAAACAGAAGGGTCTGGTGCATTAGGGCAAACATTAGACATTGTCTCACTTGCTGAATGGACTGGTATTTTACATGTCGACATATCCGCTATGGATGATGTATTCTTATTACTATTGAATTGTGATCTGTGGGATTTGGTCTAGAATGTATTGTAGGGCTACGTGGACTCAACTTGGTGCATGTTTAACCTACCATAGATTAACCCCTCTACACACAACAGAGGCATACTAAGCAACAAATAAACACAGAATAAGCACAGAATATTACACAGCATTACGATATTATAACATTATAATACCGGAAATAATTAAATCTCCCTTAGCACACTACAAAAGTAAGACCAGAGGCCCAATCCCACGCTGACATCTCCCTAGTCCTGCACAGCCCGCATCGCGCATCAACCTGCATAACACCCATGTCGCACCGAGGTAAGTTAACTTAGAAGTTAGTTAGGTAGCCCCATAGACTAGTCTAGGGTTAGTTATAGTACAGAATAAATCCGACCATTGAGCACACGAGCAAAACCAACACCAACATAGCCAGCCCTTCTGTCTGGCCCGTACATAGTATAGTACAGTATACCCTACCAGGATGACTGGGACCATAAGATATCAGCGTTACATCTACTACAGCTGAAATCTATTAAGCTCTCTTATCTCGGTAAACATTTGCACGGACATCCACCAGATCTGGCGCATGTGCGGTTAACCGTCATTTGGCGTTTCTCGCTTGTGGGCTCGGACATTTAATTTGCGGGTTTAATATATTGATCCTTGTCCATGTAGTGTGCCTAGATCTGGTCTCAGGATCTTCCGATGGAAGTCCGACAGTGTTTCCTTTCTGCGGATAGGGGTTGTTTCTGTTTCTGTTTCGTTATGGGTTTAGATGTACAAGCTCGGTACCGAGGTCCTGTGGCTTTGTGGCGTTGGGATTTGTTGCATCGTTCTACAGGGATGTAGGGTATGTAATGTTCGAGTAATGTTTTTAATTTTGCATACTGTCTTAGACGGTCTGGTGCGAGGGAAAAAAATGCATTTTTGTAGAACGATCAGGCTAATAATTACACATGGAAGAAACCCCGTCTGCTGAACAAATATCGGAGGTAAGTATCAAATGAGATTGAATGCCATCCCTCCCTAACGCCTGGGAAATTGGAAATTGGAAATCAAGACGGAAAGAAAACAGAAGTAAATGTAATATGGCAATTCAATCCTGCATCTCGGTGTCCTCGGCAGGCTTGGGCTCTTCCTCGCCGAACAAGTCATCGTCGTTGTCAGCAGGTGCCTCCTCGTCCTCATCATCGTCATCCGCAATGCGACGAGAAGCCTTGCCCCGACGACGGGGAGCAGAGTCTTCCTGTGCAGGCTCATCATCGCCAAACAGGTCATCCTTGTCTGCGCCCGGTGATGCAGGCTCATCGTCCGAGTCCACAACCATCTCACTGCTCTTATACTTGCTCTGATTCTGAGTTTGAGCCTTTCCACTCTGAGCCTTGCCCTCAGAGCGACGTCCCAGACGACGACGCTTCTTGGGTGCCGCCTCACCCTCGCTCTCAGCGGCGCTGCGAGCAGCCTCGCCATCCTCATCATCGGCAATAAAGTCGTCTCCACCCTTCTTCTTGCGTTTGGCGGCGGGCTTCTTCTTGCGCTTGACTTGCTCACCGGTCTCGGAGTCGGCGGTCAATTCGGCTTCCTCACGAGCGCGTTCATCTTCGGCGCGCTTGGCGGCATGGCGCTGGACCTCTTCTACCATCAATGCACGCTCCTCGGCGATGCGCTTCTTGCGCTCCGTCTCAACTTCTTGTGCCTTGCGCAGCTCCTCTTCGCGGATGCGCTGTGCTTCTTCGCGGGCTTCACGTGCTTGCTGGAGCTTTGCGGCGTTCTTCTCCTCGTACTCCTTCTGGCTCTGCATGGCTCGGTCGAGTTGCTTGCTGATTGTGCGACCCATGTTTGCTCGCTGCTCTAATGCGGCGCTGGGGTATGGCGGGTTCTTCTCCTTGGAAAGACGCTCGAAGGTTTCAATGGCCTCCTTGAGACCATCTGCGGCTTCCTGGACGTCCTGGAGGGTCTTCTGGGTAGATTGAAGACCGTAAGCGAGAGAGGCGATCTGGTTCTGGACGAAAGCGACGTTGAACTGCAAGTGAAGTTGGTCGGGAGAGACGGTGCGGGCACGCTGAGCGTAGTCCAGTGCTGTCTTCATGGCTGCCAAGTTCGCTTCTTGCTTGCCTCGTAGCCACCATACACGGCCGAGACAGGCCAGGATTTGCACATCGCGGGCACGATCCTTGGCTAATGCGGTTTCGTAGTGTTCAATTGACCGCGAGAACTGTCGAAGCTCCGCAAACACATGGCCCAGGTTGAGGTAGACGCTGGGGTCTTTGATTGTGTCGCGGATCTTGGACAAGATTTGCACAGCAGCACTGTGGTCTTTCCTGTCGTCGATGAGAGCGATTGCAATACCTTGAGCAGCGTACGCATTCTTGGGGTCCAACTGCAGAGCCTTATCGAAGAATTCAACCGCACGCTGGTAGATCTTGCGGCGCTTTTCCTTCTCCTGGTCAGTGCCACGGCGCATGTCACGAGCGGCAACGAGATGCACATTGCCCATTCCAGTCAACGCATACCGGTCATGCTTGTCGTAATACTGCAGCGTGTGCTTAAAGTGACGTTGCTCGCCATCTTCAGCAATGTTGGCAACTCGCTTCTTTGATTTGCTGAGGTACCATCCAAACAGTGCACGAACTTCCACGTCTGTATTTTCAGCTTCGTAAAGCTGGGCAATCCTCTTGGGGCCCTCTTCCGTGGGGCTTTCACGCAGAGCGATATAAGTCAGGCGCGCGCTGGCCTCCGTGTAATCACTGTGACGTTCCAGAACACCTTCGTAGACCTTCTTGGCTTCGTCCCACATATCAGCTGACTCGTATGTTCGACCCAGGTTATAGCTGATTGTCGTGATGAGCGCGTCGGTGTCAGTGCCATCTTCTTTGCCCTCGGATTGCACACAAGCGTTCAGCGCGGACTGGAACATGCCACGGGCCAATGCAATTTTTTCGTTCTGGTACAGGAAACATCCCATGTTGTTGAGAAGCTGTGGCGGCAAACTCTCTCTGAGAGCAGCATTCATTGAGTCCTCATCTTCGATGCCCTCCGGTCGAGCGTCTTCGGGAATGCTAGCAATTTGGATCTGCTCCAGTTGGGTCAGGCACTGCATGCTCTTATCTGGAGCCGTGCTCTCATAGAGACGAGAAAGGTAGACCAAAACGGACTCATCAGGCGAAAGCTTTTGCTTCTCATCCTTCCACATGGAGCGCACAGACTCCAAGAGAGTGGTGGCCCGCTTGATCTCAGTCGACTTGTCTTCCTTGCTACCAGCTTTCTGAGCGGCGAAGACCTCTTCCGCATGAATTGCACCTAGAAGAATCATCGCCTCCGGGTTCTTCGATTGCTGGACAATCTTCTCCAGTCGGAACTTGGCACCATCGAAGTCCTTGTTCGAAATCTGCATCTGCACAGCGCCGAACTTGGCAGGAAGGTAGCCCTTGTCACCTCCACCACGGGCCTGGTCGGAACGGTTGTAGAACTCGGCAGCACGGGCAGCATCGCCTTCGTAGTGCGACTTGCGGCCAAGGAGGTACCAACCGTCACTTGCAATAGGCATAACATCTGTATGTTCAATTGCCTTGCGTGCCAATGTCTCGACAGTTGGGTATTGTTTGCGCAGGAGGAAGTAACTGGCGAACAAGGAGCAGGTCATCGGGTATTCCTTGTCCAATTTGAATGCCTTTTGGGTGTATTGGGTCATGGCCACCTTGTATAATGAGCCAAACATAGGGTCGGTGGTGGCTCGGCGGGAGCTGTCGTAGAGGTAATATTCTGCGAGGAGGATGTTGGCAACCTTGGACTCGGGGTTCTGCATAGCAATTGTCAGTTACTGTATATCAACCCAAGGCTGACAGTCGCAAGCTTACCAGAGACAGTGATCTCTCCCAAGCTGTCTTGGCTTGATCCTTGAAGCCAAGTTGCCACAAGCAACATCCAATACCAATACGTGGGTCTGGATCTGTGATGTTAGGCATCTTAACCAGAGCCTTCTGGTATCCTTCGAGTGCTTCCGCGTATCTTCCCAGCATGTAATGAGCCCGAGCACGTCCCATGACAGCCATGATGTTCCGGCCACCGAAGGCCTTGGATGATTCCTCGAAGCATTTCAGAGCCTGGCGCAGGGATTCGACTCGTTCGGAGGTATCGATGGCGCCCGGTCGAACGGCACGGGGAGGGTATAGCGATGCGCGGAGGAGACAGAGGACGCCACGCGCCAGGAAGAGAGGTGGATAAGCCGGGTTCAGACGCGATGCCTCGTTCAACGTTGAAGTCGCCAGTTGGAGGTAGTGATCCTTTGTCTTTGCTTCTGAATACAATTCGCCATCTGGTGCGACTCGCGGAGCATATCGGCTCTTCAGCATGAGGAGCCAGCAGACCCAGCCCAGCAAGCCGAGTTTCTCCTTTGTTGCTCCGTGGGCTACAGAGGCTAGACCCTTGTTTAGGATATCGATAGCATGATCGAATTGCTTTCGCTTCGCATAAGCGAGCGCAATTATCACCCAGAAGTTTTTGGCCGCTTTTTCATTTTCCAGAAGAGTGCAAAGCTCGGTCGGGTCGTCGGGGAGCTCAAGCAAGCTGACTTCGACTTCACTGTCGAAACTGGATGCGGGAATATCGATGGCATCGGGGATATCGGAAAAGCGAATGTTGCTCAGGGGGCTCGCGGAGGAAATGGGGTCTCCGTTCAGGCCATTGGAATGGCCATTTTCGAGAGGCGCCATCTTGAAGGCGTTGGGAGGGATGAGGCCACTTTGCGAATGAATGTAGAATCGTTGGAGCTCAACTCATGATCAGGTGAAGCGGTCCATCAAAATAAGGTCAAGTTTGGGTCGAACGAGGTTAGCGACCCCTAAGTCGGAGAAAACGCGAAAGTGAGGCTCGGAGGTTAACAGCGCGGCGATGGAGAAGTTGAGAATTGAATCGGAGTGGCTGGCCCGCACCGCCACATCAGCCACATTTCAACAATAAATGCCATCCTCAATAGCGACATCAAAAGGGACAATAGAAATGAATATGAATATAAATGAGAGCTAATAGAATTGTCCTTTACTGATTCTAGGGGGATATCTAGGTACGGCAAGTCCAAAATGTCCAACTCACAGCCAGCTGGTGATGAATCTGCAAATGAGAGCAAGGCTGAGCAGAACCGCAAAGATCAAACCAAGCTCGATCCAACGGTGTAGACGAACGTAGGACTCTACATAGCCAGCCGATGCAGCAACTGCCTGTCCATCCACTGCGTTGTCGGCCTTGATCGAACCAGCCAGTTCAGATGGGAAACGACCAGTTTCGAAGTACTGATCCAGGAGTTCATCCTTCTCGGCCCAGCGCTCTGTCAGCCAGGCCTCAAAGTCTTTCTGGTCATCGAGAGGGATCTTGGAAACAGCGAGACGCCTCCAATGCATGTTGACCGACGTTGGCGGTCGTCCTTGGAGGAATGTGGAGCGGAGTGTGAAGTATTTATCGGGGTAGCTTCCCTTACTGCAAGCAACCAACTGTGAGTAATAATGGCGAGAAGGTTAGAGGAAGGAACATACGGTGGCCCTTCATAGGCGATAGTGCAATCATACACCCAATCTACGGTTCCTCGTAATTGCTGGAGACAGAAGAACAGCCCCGTAGAACGCGGAAGAATCTGATGCTTGAAGGACGGCAGATCCATTTTCTTTCCGAATGCGTCACTGCGGCCCTTTGTATTGGTGGACAAGTTTGTTCCCTCGGGGAAGATTAGAAGCCACATTGGATCAAACTGTGGGCGGGCTGAGTTAGATCCAGTAAGGCGTGTCTTCAACTTTTCCAAACGATGCTGAAGCCTTGGTTTGTCAGATTGCCACTTGCGAGCCATGAAGATGAAACCGTAGAACATCATGCCCGTGCCCACGATGGGAATATACTTAAGCGACTCCTTTAGAATGATGAAGATGCGGCCGTGCATCATGTTTGTATATGCAACCCACCAAAGGTAGATCCAGTCGGTATAGACCTGGTGGTTCGAGATCATGACTAGGCGTTCTGGGAAACATGTCTCTAGCAGTCCATCTTTTGAGAGATGAATTTGACCACGGACACTGGCATCACCACTGACCCGGAAGAGCGTTGGAGAGGCCCAATGAGTAGCAGCCGTGATGACCAGCCCAAAGCATTGTTTTGTGTATGCCATATATGAATAGTACCAATATTTGTTGATGAAATATAGCGGCGAGCCGATCACCTGTGTCACGCAGATGGCCACACAACAACAGTTGAACCATGTTGCCAGCAACAGGGAGCGCAGGACCTGCATGGGAACGCCATGCTTGAGACGGGGCTCCGAGGGCGGTTTGGTGGAGAGTCTTTGAAGCTCGTTGGTATCTGTGACTGGGTGCCGCTGTCGACTCTCGGCTGATTCCATGGTAGAGAGATCTGGGATCTGGAGATCCGGAGATCCTTGAAGCTGGAGGAGTCAGATCAGAGTTCTGAGAGCTGAGGTTTCCGATGCGAGGGAAGCTCCGAGCCCACGCGATATGAAGGGGTCAGATGTGGATAAAGGGACGACCAACGCGTCAGATAAAGACTAGAGACTAGAAATTAGAGGACAAAATGATCCATGACCGGAAGGCCGGGAGTGAGAATACAATGTGGGCTCGGACTTAGTAGATCAGGACCCGTGACGACCCAACCCTCGTAACGTCACTCCCAAGGCGGTCAACTATTTACTCCGCCTAGCTCTCCATAGCTCTCTCTCCTCAGTGTTGGATCCTTTACTTTACCAACCTTACACTTGCATCCCATCTGGACAGCCGGGCTGAAAGATGGCGCATTGATGTGAGCGCCAATAAACCCAACTCGAGGTCTTCTGGCTGATACGTATGACTTCGGTAGCCCTACCTTCTTTACAATGCAGCGCATCTTCCGCACTTCTTTTCGCTGCTTCTCCACATCCATTCCGCGTCACGAGATCAAAGACATCGGCGCTTTATCTCAGCGCCTGATACCAAAATACCAAGGTGTGGGTCTTTTAAGGTGACCTGAATGGTCATCTGCTTGATTCGAGGCTGATTCTCTTAGAATCTTGTGATGGGGAGCTCCTATCTCTTCAGTGGCCGGCACCGCCACGCAACATCTTCCTGGTGCGCAAGGATTGCGCCCCAGCTGTGACCGATTCTTTGATTGAATTCGTCAAGTAAGCCATAGCTCCTTTGAGTGATTGCATAGGCTCATTTTCTCAGTCATATTTCCTCCGCATACCCATCCATCCGAGTTATTCTCGAGTCGAAGACCGCCGCTGAAGTACATTCGTCACTCTCTTTTCCGGTCTATTCAGCCTGCCTCGACAAGAATCCAACCGCATTACATGAGAAAGTTGACCTTACGGTGACTTTAGGCGGGGATGGCACCATATTACATGCCTCCTCGCTTTTCGCAACCTGCTCAAATGTCCCCCCCGTCTTGTCATTTAGCATGGGCACACTAGGGTTTCTGAGTGAATGGAAATTCTCAGAATTCAAAAGAGCCTTCCGAGAGGTCTACATGTCTGGGGCTGGGGCAGGAGACCGCACTCCTGTGCTTGAGAAGCCCACAGGAACGGAGTTGTCAGGGCATGAATCCGAGATGGGCCCAACTGGATGGTCCTCTGTTCGGGGCAAATCTATGGGCTCAACACGCGGTGCACGCATTCTTATGCGCAATCGGCTGAAAGTTGGGCTCTTTACCGCCGACGGCGCCGAGACTACCCCAATCCGAACTAAAACAGACCAGGGTCAGGGGGTTTATGTGATGAACGAGCTCCTCATTCACCGTGGCAAGGAACCACACTTGGCAGTGGTGGATGTGTTTGTTGGTGGGCGCTTCCTGACCGAAGCAGTGGCTGATGGCATTATCATCTCCACCCCGACCGGGAGTACTGCATACAGCCTCAGCAGTGGGGGGAGCATTGTGCATCCGCTAGTCCCAGCTATTCTCTTGACGCCGATCTGTGCTCGTAGCCTCAGCTTCCGTCCATTGGTCCTCCCCTCCAGCACGCCTATCACACTGCGACTCAGCGAGAAGAACCGCGGGCGCGAACTTGAAGTCAGTCTGGACGGGGTCAATCTGGGCCAAGGGATGGCAGTTGGCATGGAAGTTCGAGTTTGGAATGAGGAGATGCGTCATGGCGAGAATGAATGGCAGGGTGGTATACCCAGCGTTATGCGGAGAAGTGTGGGCTGTGAGGCCCACGAAGGGTGGGTTGGAGGACTGAATGGATTATTGAAGTTCAACCATCCCTTTGGAGAGCCATAGACACAATAAGACAATCATTGTAGCATATGCGATCACTATGAAAAATATCAACATTCATCTCCCATGTTCCTGTTCCGTGAATCTCTCCCGTGATTGGCAGAGGCTTGTTTTCTGTAGATGAACGTCTCCATCTCAGGGGACCCCTTTCACCTTCTTCCCCCCACCAACTTCACCTTTCTCTTTCGCTTTGATCACTGCGTTTCGTTGAGCATCCTCGCAGTGCGAGGACGGCTCCTGATTATTTCTCTGGTATGATCCTTGTCTTTCTACCCCTCCCATTGCAATGCACTCGATGCCTTGTTTGTATATGCATCAGACCAAAGCTGGGCCTGTGCCTGTGCCTGTACTTGTGAAACCATCCCCTGGACTAACTGTGTACTATACTAGTCCTGACCTCAGGAGGTCTCGGCGCATTCGTTCCCCCTTGAATCATGACTTCGTATGGAAAGTTGGTCACTCCATTCCTCTACTCTAGACATGCCACTCACAATGCATAGCAACATGTACACTCCGGATCAGTTCATGAATCCGGGGCCCGCTCCCCGTCCCCCGACCGATCGTCCTCCCAAGTTGACTCTGCCGACCAACAATACCACTGCTTCTTTTGGCCAGATGACCCTGGACTCGCCAAGTACACCGGCGCCGGGATCCGCCAATCTTTCGCTGTTCCCCAATACCAGTAGCCCGTCTCTCGCTATGAGTCGGAGCAATACCCAAAGTGGAATCACTATTATCAAGGAGGGCCATGTGCGCTGCAAAGAAGACAAGTTCTTGGCCACATGGAACTCGCGATACTTGATCTTGCGCGAGTACAAACTCGAATTCTTGAAGAATGACTCGAGCAAGGTGGTAATCTCCTTCCCACTTTCATCTGTTACCGCAGTGGCTCGTTCAGAGGAGTCTAAGATGGCTTTCGAGGTCACTCGTCTGGCCAACCCGAAGGATGCCTCGTCCAAATCTGCCCTCCTTACTCGCGACCTGCCGACCAAAACCATCACTTGTGAAGTCAAGTCCGACGATGAAATCTACGAATGGATCGACAAGATCTACGAGCGATGCCCTGGTATGGGTGGAGTCAGCAACCCGACCAACTTCAGTCACCGTGTTCATGTCGGATTCGACCCCAAGACTGGTGCCTTTGTAGGCTTGCCTCCAGAGTGGGAGAAGCTTCTGACTGCCTCAGCCATTACCAAGGAGGATTACAAGAAGAACCCACAAGCCGTCATCGAGGTCCTCGAATTCTACTCGGATATTAAGATGCGTGAGCAGAACCCGCAATATTACGCTGGTATGAACACACCCTCCGGCAATGGATCCAAGTCATACGGCAGCAGTGTCGGAAATTCTATCGCGCCCCCACGACCTCCCCCACCAGGGCCTATGCAGCGTCTGGATAGCGGCCAGTCGAAGCAATCTGACGGTTCTATGCGCTCGGCTTCCTCCCCATCGCAAGGCAGAGAGTCTGAGCGTGCCGCCGAACAGCAGAAACAAGCCGATCACCTCAAGGAGCTGGCTGAGCAGGAGCGTCGCCGATTGGAGGATATCCGTCGCAAGGAGGAACAAGATGCCTACAACCAATCCATCCCCCAAACCCGCACACCTATGGCCAAGCAGGAGCTAGGTGGCTATGGCGGAGAGGATCCATCCACAAACGGCCGCTACCAGCCAAGTCGCCCAGCCCCTCAGGCTCCAGGAGCTGGTGCTCGTCCCCAGCAAGACCCACGACAGCTGACTGCACAGCGACCCGCACCGGCGCCACCCTCGCAGAGTCCTTATGGCCAAGGCGCTCCACGAGCCCCTGGTGCTCCCAGAACCGAAGATCGTCAGGGCTCTCCAAGCTCGCGCTATCCTCCCAACGATGCTCGCGCCCCCGGCTCCGCAAACCGTCCTCAGCAGAATGGCTCGAAGGGCCAACAGGCTCAAGGACCCCCTCCAACGCGTCTGCCCGCCCCTGTTCAGGCTGTGAAGCCTCTGAACATTGCCAACAAGCAAAATGGAAACAAGCAGAACGTCCCCGATGGCGTTCGCCAGGCCGAAGCTGCCTTGACCAAGAAGCCGGAGCCGCGCCAGAAGGAGGTGCGCATGTCCGCCATGTCCGAGAACGAGGTCATGGATCGACTTCGGTCAGTCGTTTCCAAGGACAACCCCAACGATTCATACAGCAAGCAACGCAAGATTGGTCAGGGCGCCTCTGGATCCGTGTATGTGGCACGTGTTAAGGAGGGTGCCACCTCGAGCGTTGCTCACGAGCTTTACCGCACGTACGGTCCCCGATGCCAGGTTGCTATCAAGCAGATGGATTTGCGTAGCCAGCCCCGTAAGGAGTTGATCGTCAACGAGATCATTGTCATGAAGGACAGCCAGCATGCCAACATTGTCAACTTCCTCGACTCGTTCTTGCAGGAATCGAGCAATGAGCTCTGGGTTGTTATGGAGTTCATGGAGGGTGGTGCTTTGACCGATGTGATTGACAATAACCAAGTCATTTCGGAACACCAAATCGCGACCATTTGTGCCGAGGTAAGTCGGATATAATAGTTGTTTTACTCGCAATTACTGACCTTTCCTCGCAAAGACCTGTAAGGGATTGGCTCACCTACACAGCCAGAACATCATCCACCGTGATATCAAGAGTGACAACGTCCTTCTCGACCGCGTCGGCCACGTCAAGATCACCGATTTCGGTTTCTGCGCCAAGCTGACCGAGTCCAAGAGCAAGCGTGCCACCATGGTTGGTACTCCTTACTGGATGGCTCCCGAGGTAGTCAAGCAAAAGGAGTACGGCCCCAAGGTCGACTGTTGGTCACTGGGAATCATGGCCATCGAAATGATTGAATCTGAACCTCCGTACCTGAACGAAGAGCCCCTCAAGGCCCTCTACCTCATCGCAACCAACGGAACCCCGCGTCTCAAGAAGCCCGAGAAGCTCAGCAAGGAACTCAAAGCCTTCCTGAGCGTCTGTCTCTGCGTCGATGTCCGCAGCCGCGCCACGGCTGACGAGCTCTTGGCTCACGAGTTCCTGCAGATGGGCTGCAGCTTGGCTAGCTTGGCGGAGCTGCTCCGCTGGAAGAAGGCTAATGGCCAGTAATTCATTTACCGCAACCCGGAGCACATATGGGTCCCATTTACGCGCGCCTTCGTTTAGATATTCACGTTCATGTTACTTCACGATCTCAACAGGAACAACGGTATCGGTCTCTTCCCTGTTTTCCCTCTCCTCCTGTTGTGTGCTTGTTTCTCTCCAATTTCCTTGGAGACGCTCTGCTACTTTCATACACAATCCTGGGCGATAATCCACGGCGTTCGATCTGTTTTCAATTTTCATTTTCCCTCTTTTGTTTTTGCTGATCTTTCTGTTTTCGATCCCTGCACAAAGACATACCATGTTTCCCCCATGACGTTCACGATCCTGCACTTGCACTGTATTTTGTGCGCTGCTCTCGCAGACACGGATTCAGTCCGTTTTTTTCTGGTCTCTTAAGGAATTAAAAGCTCTTATTCGTAATAGGAGGTTTTTGAGGCAACAAAATTTGAGTTTCATTTCATACATTCTCCCTCCAAGTACCGAAAAGTATGCCCTAGAGCACAGGCATATCAACCCATAGTAACCTCGTGAATGGTAGAAGTGCAGGCACTAATTCAACCATATATGCGCGTTACAACAGGAGCCATAAATGTGTACACAGTGCCATGAAGTATTCGACGTCTCCACGCGGAAGCCTCGAAGCGAGTATACCATTTCACGCATTGCTTTCGCCCTACTTTGGCCCTACTTTGGCCTCTCTTTTTACACCTATTTTTTGCTCATTTTCGAGTGCCTCGGGTTAATCATAAGATTATATGAAGGTGCGGATGTGAAAGGGGTATTGGCCCAATAAATGCTCTCATATATGAACTACACCCCAACTCCATGATCAGACTTGAATATAAATCCAATAAGTCATTCAGACGTGAAGTAAACCAATATGTAAACCAAGAGATACAAACCCAAGAAGCGTACCATCCAGTCACTCAACAGCAGAATACAGCAATCCCACCCAGCCCTAAATTGAACCACATTTTCTTCTCCAACCAGTATCAAAATCAAGGCAATTCAGTCCTAACAGCACCATCCAATACCCGGCAAGCCGTCCCGAACAAAACACCTAGAAGAATACTCTCACCCTCAGCAGCGGTCCACCGTCCGGCATCAACAAGTCTCTGCTTCCAGATATTCCGATCATCATCGGACAGATCGGTCCAAGCGCGTAACTTCTCCTCATCGGAGATGCCATTATGACGTGCCGACACGGCCGTTTCAACGAAGATGCTCTCTTCAGCGCCGTGGCCTGCTTCGTTGCACCGGACGATCACTGAAAGTGCGTGTGGCGTGGCGGTTTCCAGGTCTGCAGGTGCAGCTCCGGCGTTGTGGACGCGGTCGAGGATTGAGCGGAGGGATTCAAGTTGCTCTGTTGAGTCCGGGTGCCTTTGGACGATGGGGATATCCGTGGTACCCTTTGAGCGTGGCGCAAGCAGGGTATCGAGGTATGTCAGACGATCCTGTGGAGGCGGGACGTATTGACCAGCGATGATATCGCGGAGACCGACTGGAAGCCACTCGGCGGCGCCTAAGAAGGGAGGTGTGCCGCCGCGGATTTCGGCGAATGCCAGCATTGCGAAGCAGATCGCTGAGATGGAGAAGAGTAGGATGAGGATGCTGTAGATGAGTTCCCAGATCTCGGCCGGGCCGGGCATGACCAGGACATAGCGGGGAGTACGGGAGGAGGTTGGGAATGGGGAGAGGGGGAATGTATGCACGACAACTGTGTTGCCCATGCTGACGGAGGCGAGCTTCACGTTCTGGGGTCCGACTTCTGGGCCTATGGGGTGTGACGGTGCGGTGAAGGTTGAGAAAGTGAGTTTTGTCATTGAGAAGGGGTGTACATCGCGGATGGTTGAGTAGGGGCGGAAGTTGCTATACCCGCGCTTTGGCCCATATTCCAGTGTGAATAGAGCAATGGAGTTGTCACTGCCACTGACTGCGATGATGGTCTGTTGCTGGCCTTGAGGATTGGTTCCCAGCTGGCATATATCCAGACCCAGACCGATCTTCACGGTCCGAGGAAGCTTGCGGCGTCGTAGGATTTGTGACTTGCTCTGGTTGGCTGCTGGGAGTTGAAGAAGGATGAGCTCGCTGCCACCACGGTCTGGTGCGTTTTGCAGGAGGAGGAGGGATCGAGGAGAGAGGAAGCGCAGCGCGCGAATCTTGGGGCGTGCCGTGCGAGCTCCACTGGCTGGTAGAGGGATGGTGTAGATGCAGCGGACCTCGGGGGAGCTACTGGAGCTGTTGGATGAGGAAATCTCGCCAACCATGACATCCACTCCATTCGTATAAGCCACAAGGAACCGGCCGTGGGCATCTTCGGTCTGTTCGGGGTCGTGTTCGAGACTGGCAAAGTCGAGATCCTCGGCCTCCTCATTGTCGCTCAATTGGATACGGCCAATGATATCTGTCTCGCTCGGAGTTTCGGTGGCGCGGAAGAACACGATTTCACCAGATGTTGCCAGACCAGTTGCAATAGCTCCAATTCGTGTGTGTTGCTCCTTATCCTTCCCCTTCGGCCACGGGGAGAGTCTGATCACGCGCTGGTACGTATCGGAGGAGCCTGGCCTGTTCTTCGTGCGGAAGAGTGATGCTTGCGACAGAGCTGTTGCTCTTCCGGGTGTCACCTCTTCCTCAGGTTTAGCATCTTTATCGTCCTTTGTTTTATTTTCGTCGTTCGATTGCTCCGTATCCTGCGGAGCAGCCACAGCCCGATTATTTCGCGGCGCCTCAAAACGGAACGCGCGCATGTGCTGGTTGTTGTTCTTCTTTTGCTCTGACACAGAGCTATTGATTCCAGCTAAAGCAACAAGCGAGCCCGCCACATCACCACCCAGCGGCGCGGCAGCCAGCGACGTCACTGAATCTTCATCACGCGATAGGCTCAGCTCGACGGCCTCGGTGATCTCATTGCGACGCGAGGTGTCAAGAAGAAACTATAGAGGATACCACAGTTAGCATTGGCATACAGAGACGGCTATTCTTCTCTTCAAGGTGGGACTTGCGATCTTGTTTCCGACTCCGCTGCGCCCCTCGCCGCCTCCGCCGCCGACGAGCAGTAGACCGTTGTTGCGCGGGTCGAAGTCGGCGGCGAAGAGCGGACACGAGAGTGTCAATTTGGCGGAGTGTATTGTGGGCGCCATTTTTGGTTCTCTTGGAGAGTCGGAGAATGGAAAGAGGACAGATGGATGACGGAGGTGCAGTGCCCCAGATTCTTGGCGCGGTGGCCCGGATCGAGCATTCTTATTTAGCGTATAGATTGAGATATATCCATCGATCTATAGACAGTCTACGTAAAAATTGAAAATGTATCAAATAAATAGAAATAGAAATGGTTTTTTATGTACTTCTAGCACTCTATTCGATCTCTTGGGAAGTGAACTCGGGCAGGCGCTTGCGGATATCCTCCCAGGTCTCGTCGCCATCGACAAGTGACTTGATGGCCTGGAGAATATCTTCCTCGCTAGCGCGGACCTGCTTGGTGGTATCGCGGTCACGGAGAGTGAAGGTGCCATCCTGAACGGACTGGAAGTCGACAGTGACACCGAAGGGTGTGCCTAGCTCGTCGTTACGGGAGTAACGCTTACCAATACTGGCAGAGGAGTCGTCAACACGGTTGGAGATACCCAGCTTGCGCAGCTTGTTGGTCAGACGCTGGGTCAGGGGCTTGAAGGAGGCGTGGGTAGAGAGGGGAACCAGCAGGACCTTAGTAGGGGCGACAGCAGGGGGGAAAGAAAGGACCTGCAATAGTTAGTATAAACGTGATATGAAAAGTGACATATGAAATCCTTTCATGACTTACACCGCGGGACTCATCGCCGGCTCGGGACCAGTAAGAGTGCTCGATCATGCTGTACAAGATACGGCCAATACCGAACGAAGGCTCGATAACGTTGGGGGTGTACTCGCGGACGTTCTCAACGCGGGTACGCTTCTCGATCTTGATGAGGTCCTTCTCCAGCTCAACCTTGCCGGATCCGACACCCTCAACATCGACCTCAATCTTGCCGTTCTTCTCGAGGTCCAGGGACAGCTTCTCGCGCAGTTCCTGGGACAGAGCATCGATGGCAGTCTCAACGGTCTTAGCATCCTTCTTAAAGCGAGGACCGAACTTCTTCTTTTCGAGGTCGATCTGGTACTCCTCAATGCGCAGAGGCTCAGCGCGAGTCTGGCGCACGACGAGAGGGGCTCCAGTCTTGTTCTTGTGAACAGTCAGATCATAAGCACTGCGGTCAGCACAGCCGACACACTCAATCCATCCGTAACTGGTCTGCAACTCGGCATCCCAGCAGTCGGTGGCGTAGTGAGCCATCTCGTTGGCCATGTGCTGGCGGAAGCGCAGCTTAGTGGGGTCGACACCAAGCTTCATCAGGAAGGACTGGATACGGGCCAAGAAGTAACCCAGGGTCTCGTTGTCGACCAGGCCAGTCTCAACGGCCTTGCCGATGGTCATCTTGGTCAGCTGGGTGCTGCCGGAAAGCTGCACGTTGCGGTCGAGTAGGGCCATCTCAACGTCCTTGACCTCCTCGAAGCGGTGGTGCTTCTTGCCACCCTCGGGGTCGACGTAGTGCTCAATCTCGGCCATCAGGAACTCACGCACACGCAGGAGACCGGCACGAGGGGAGATCTCGTTACGGAACGACTTGCCAATGGAAGCAGAGGCGAAGGGCATGGACTGCTGGTTGAACTCCAACAGCTTTGCGAAGTTCAAGAACTGACCCTGAGCGGTCTCAGGGCGCAGGTAACCGGGCATGTTGCTGCTAGGACCAATAGAGGTCTGGAACATGAGGTTGAAGGAGACGGGAGGGAGAACCTCGCCGCCGGTAACGGGGTTGCGGATATCGTGCTTCTTGATGAGCTCCTCCAACTCTGGGCCACCGTAGTTGTCAATCTGCGCGAGAGTCTCCTCGTACTCCTTGACAAGGGCATCGTCCAACTTCTTGGCCTCGGTGCCCTTGGCCTTTCTCTTCTTCTTGGCTTCCTTCTCCTCGTCCACGACAATTTTCTGGCCACGCGCCTCCTTGTCACCCTTAAGGCGGTTCTCCAACACCTCCTCAACCAAGTGGTCGGCACGGAAAATCTCGCCAGTCTTGGGGTCCTTGCACATCCAGTCGGCGAACTTGTCCACGTGCCCACTGGTCTTGAGAATCTCGTGGGGGGTCAACATGGTGGTGTCGACCTCGAGCATGTCCTCCTCGAGCACGAAGTGCTTGCGCCACAAGTCGGTCATGTTGGCGATCAGGGCGGTTCCTGGTGGACCATAATCGAACAGACCAGACACTCCACCATAAATTTCGAAGGAGGGGGTGTAGAACATGCGGCGACGGAGCATGGAGTCCAGGACCGTCCGGTCAACGGACTGGCCCGTCTTAGTGTTGACAGTGGCCATCTTGGGGGTTCGTTTCGACTTCGGGGGAGAGGTGAAAGTCCTAATTTGAGAACGAAGGAGGGACGGAGGGGAAAGAAAAGAGCGGGGGGAAATCGCAGGCGCGGCAATTGAGTCATCCACCATGCAGTCCCTCACCACCGAGAGGACAATGAACAATGAATGAAGAGGGAGAGAGATGGAGCAATTGGCTATGAGCTTTTCCTTTTTATCTATTTTCCTAGGGAGATCTCCCGCTGCTAAGGCAATAAATGGCCGAATCGCAGATTGTCGCTCCGGCGAAACGATTGTCCGAGATAATTTATTTCTCAACGATCTTGACATTTTTTACTGACCTTCTACAGCAGCACTCCACACTCGCCAGCTTGCAATTATGGGTCTTAAAGGTCAAGGGAAACCGCCTCCAGGCGTCATGGGCGATGAGAAGACCGGCAACAAGCTCCGGCGCAAGATGAATCATGTCAAGCGCAAGCGTGCTAAGGATGCTGCGCGCCGAGAAGAGCGCTATGCTTTCAAGAAGGAAGAAGCCAAGAATCCCAAGCTCAAGGAGGAGCGTCTGAAGCGCAACATTCCTCTGACCCTCGAACGAAAGCGTATTTGGAACGAAGCCGACAACGACACCGAGGAAACTGGCCTGGGATTAAGCGTTGACGTTGAGCGCATCAAGCGCGCCAAGAAGGAAGAAGAAGACGAACTCAACCGGCCATTTGAAGAGGGCGAGGATGACAGCGAGGCTCCCGAATCAGACAACGAGTCCGTGGACAGTATGCTTGCATCAGACGACGAAGGCGAGGAGGAAGAAAAGGACGGCGAAGAAAAAGAGAGCCACGGCCGCAAGAAGACCTCGCTCCCAACGGCCACAGAGCGTGCCACAGAGCCTACCCAGTCCACACGCAGCACAAACCTGAGCCTTGCCCCTGAAGCATTGGCCGCCAAATTCCCTACGCTCTTCACCTCGGGCCCGCCGCCCACTCCCAAAATCCTCATCACCACCGCTATCAACTCCAATCTCCACAACGAAGCCGAGATCCTGACTGATCTCTTCCCGAACAGCGTGTATATTCGTCGCACAGCGCACAGATACTCGCACAAGTTCTCGATCCGCGAGATCTCCAAATTTGCTACAAACCGCAACTTCACGACGGTGGTCGTGTTGCAAGAAGACCAGAAGAAGCCTAGTGGACTGACAATGGTTCACCTGCCAGTGGGCCCGACCTTCCACTTCACCATCAGCAACTGGGTCGAGGGAAAGCGACTCCCTGGTCACGGTCGAGCCACCGAGCATTGGCCTGAGCTGATCCTCAACAATTTCCGCACTCCTCTTGGTCTCCTCACAGCGCATTTGTTCCGCACTCTTTTCCCGCCTCAGCCAGAGTTCGAGGGAAGACAGGTCGTCACTCTGCACAACCAGCGTGATTACATCTTCGTCCGTCGTCATCGCTACGTCTTCCGTGAAAAACGTGAGACTGAGAAGGCTGTTGTTGGTGCTGATGGTAAGGAGATGGAGGGTGCCGAGGGTATCCGTACAGGTCTGCAGGAACTGGGTCCCCGGTTCACCTTGAAGCTGCGCCGTGTTGACAAGGGCATCCAGCGTGCCAGTGGACAGGAGTGGGAGTGGAAGGGTGGAATGGAGAAGCAGAGAACTTTGTTCCAGCTGTAAATCTTGTTTCTTTATGTCATTTCAGGTTTTGCATGGGGTTCGGAGAGGAGTTATATATTCAAAAGCTGTCTTTCTTTCATGAACAAATATACTTTTATAGGGTCACATCGAAGGTTGTCCCAAGGGTACACAATTCAAGCTATTAGACTCATTGCTACTTCTGCCATTCTTAATCAAGCCCAGCTAGTACTCTCCGAACGCTCAATCGCCCTCTTAGTTGCCTCATCAAGATCCTCTTCTGGCATCCCAAGCATACTATTCAGTGTCCCCTTACCACTGAAATCGCCAGACCCATCATCATAAAAGACCCTCGTATAAAGCATCTTAACAAACCCAACAAGATCACCCTTCTGCATAGCCTCCACACCACCCTCATACCTTTCCTTAGCTGATTCCTTGGTAATATTCCAATCCGCCTCCGTCGTACCGGTAACTCTGTAAACCGAGTCCAGCATATCCCGCTGGCTAACAGTAAAGGAATCAACATAAACGGCCTGATCTTTCAACTTCTCAAGACAAGACCCTTCAGCTGTAATAGGGAGACTGAGGAGATTGGCAACAGCCCGACCAACCTGTGGCCATGTCGAGGTTGAGATCTTGACATTTCCTTCGTCAAAGAGTGTGGCTGATCGGTTGGCAAAGTCTACTCCGAAGGCTGGTGCTATTGCCAGGCTCCATTCGTACCAGAATCCGGTATTTACGGCTATGTAGGAGCTTTTGCCGAGATCTGTGATTGCTTTGCGGATTTCTCCTATATAGGTGGAATTGTTAGTGGGAATCAAATGCATCACCGGATGTAAACTCCTTACCCTTTGGTTGGAAGACTACCACGTCCTTGACTAGATCTTCATTTGCTGTGTCTGGACCCCATTCATTCGGTAGAATCCAGGGTACACCAGCCTCGCCGGCTGCATTGATGAGCTGTAGATTGATTTCATTGGGTGCTCTACCACCTAGAGTTATGACAAGCGCGTGTTGACCCTCGAGTGCCTCGACGACGGTCTCTGGCTTGCTGTAGTCGATTGTCTTTTCGATCACTCCTTCTGGTAACTTGCTCTGGCTGCCAGCTCGTGCTAGGGCTGTGACAGTGTGCTTTCCTGTGCGGAGGAGGGCTTCGGTCATGAAGCGGCCGCTATTACCGCCAGCCTAAGGAGGTTGTTAGTTGGTGTTTTGTAGATGATGGATGATGTCACGCACTCCGACAATGGCAACGTTGGTGATATGGTTTGAGGCCATTATGTATACTGTTCAGATAGTTGGATTAATGGTTTAATAAAACAGGCGTACTTTATATTCCAACCAAATGGAATTAAGAGGTCAAAAGGCCGAGGCGTATAGATCTCGGAGGTTATGGAAGCCGAGCCCTCAACGGAGATATGAAAGACTAAGTCCGTGGACCAGGTTCTGTCTTGGAGAAAAATGTTTATGTTTGGCAAAATTTCTATTGTACGATTAATGAGGTGAGGGTATTGCATTGGACATGTATCTGGGAACTAAACTTATACCTAGGATTTTATCTTCCAAATCTACATTTGCAAGTCTCTACTCCGTATAACTCGGGCATTCCTCGCTCTCCGAGCACAAGACCTCCAGTTAGTCGAGAATATATAAATGTCTGCCATATGGAGCACCTAAGAGAATGTGATTGAGCAAACAATCCGATGAGTAAGGTGTAAAAAGTACTGTAAGTGGGTAGAACAGATTTTTATAGGATCTAGACTTACTGTTTACCTCACGTGTAGATCCCTAGATCTTGTAGAAGGGTTACCCCGAGGTCATCCGGCGCTATTTGTAAGGAAACACACTATCAGGACATGCTAATTATGCGGCTCTTTGTTCGCTTATCAGGTCTTCTCCGCTCTGGTCTGCACTAGTCGTACATGTATACATGAAGTTCAAGTTAGTATTTGTCGGCCAAAAGACCACTTGGCTCTACCAAGACATTGAGAATTTACTCATACCAATGAGTATTCAATGAGAAGCCAATTACACACCATTGCGCGTTGTATCGAACTCATACTAACCCAGTGTCCCGCTTAGGTATACGTGACGTTGATACTCCGTACACTAGCCTGCTTGCTCGGGATTTGCACACTCGGGATTTGAACAGAAGGGTTCATACTCGTACTCACATTCGGGATTTCTCGGGGTATTCAGATTGGATCGAGCACCTGGGATGAGGTGAGAACTTAGGGCTACGTACTAATGCAAGAAGCCGAATTGGCACTTCATGGATGTCGCCGAGAAAGGAACTCCAGTATGATCCCATTGGTTGGCAATAGACATCAATACCATGAGAATCCACTGACTTTACACGTACCTACCCATGTACATGTACACGCAATATCTCTCTATAGTTCCTGTAGCATGAGTCGGTGTGACGGGATCAAGGTGTTCGTGCACGCTAGGGCTGAACTACCCTGCCGATCTACCTATTCGGGCCAAGGACAATAGTTTCACGTCCTGCATCTGCGTGCTAGTCTATCTGATCTGATCGTCGAACTAACAAAGAACAGAGAAAAAGTGTATAGTAGACTAACCAAGCAATGCAGAAGGGCCAAGACACTGACTATAAGTACGGCCTGTTGCCACTACTAAATCAAATCAACACTCACACAAGATATATTGAAGATTATACAAAGAAACATCCACATCCACCATGTCAACAGTATCAGTCCCCGAACAAACCGAAACCCCCGAATTCGGCTTCAACTCCAAACAGGGCGTAAACTGGTCCGACTACGTGATCTTCCGACCAATCTACCCTCCCTCATTTTTCAATCGAATCTTCACCTACCACGCCAACTCCAAACCCGAAACCAACTGGACAACAGCCCACGACGTCGGCGCGGGCTGCGGAATAGCAGCCTCAAGCCTAGCAACTCGCTTCGACAAAGTAATAGTCTCAGACCCAAACGAAGGCTACACAACCCTGGCGCACAAAGTGCTAGTCACCGAATCGGGACACCCAGAATCCAAATTCCGCTTCTTACAAGAAAGCGCAGAGAAATGCAGCGTGGAATCTGGGAGCGTGGATCTGATCACTGTATGCGAATGTATCCACTGGATGCGACCAGAGGTCGCGATAGCCGAGTTCGCAAAACAGCTCCGTGTTGGCGGGACATTGGTTATTACGCATTATAACCACCCCCGGATTGAAGGCAATGAACGGGCTCAGCGGGCTTGGGATGCTATTCGGGATGTTTACGTTGGTGCTGTGAGCAATCCTATGTTTGAGCATGCGTTACGGATTATGAGTTCTGGATTTGAGTGTCTTGGTTTCCCTGTTGAGGCATGGGAGGGTGTGAGAAGATTGTATGTTAATGCTCTTGGGCGGGTTGAGACGTTTAGGCTGGATGATCGGGTTGGGAAGACTTTAGTTCACGAGGGAGAGGAGGTTGCTTGGGAGGAGGGGGATGAAGGCTGGATGGATGAGCAAGGCATTGAGTGGTTTAGGGGGTATTTGGCCACTTGGGCCAAGCCTGATGTGTCTGAGACGGAGTTGAAGCCTTATTGGGAGGAGTTGGAGAGGGCTATGGATGGGAAGAAGGTTAGGACTGCTACGCCGTTGGTTATGGTTTTTGCTACTAAGAGGGCTTAGGCATCTCAATTGGTATACTTAGACATGGTGACGTTTGTAGAGAGAATATGCTATAGGCGTAACGTGGAATTGATACTTATCAGGTGCCATTTTACCTATTACTTCAGTCCTAAGGGGGTAGAGATCTAATCGGCGTATTGTTGGACATATCAAAGTTCAGAAGATCGAAAATCGATTGCCCTATGTACAAGATCAGCAATGTAATACAAAAGCCGAGGAAACCATGCTCCAAAAGTATGTATGATGTATTCTGGAACAGATAATGTACTGCGAAACCAAGAAAGAAAGAAAATCAAGTGTAAAGACAAAGGCAGACTCTCAGAGCCATAAGAAAATAAGCAGTGACAAAACAAGGGGAAAATTATCACAATGAAAATAAACAAGATAGGCTCACACCAGCCTCTGCCAACGGGCCAATCCTATGCTAATAACAACAATAGCCGCCATAACCCCAAGAATACCAAAGAACCACTCGAGCCCATGGGCATTCTGACCAGGAACCTCGATGTTCATACCAAACAAACCACAGATCAGGTTCATAGGAACCAGTATAGTAGCAATGAGAGTAACCTTGCTAAGAACCTTGTTGACATGGTTACCCAGTACAAGGTTAGTGACATTGAGCTGGGCAAGGTAGTTGGTATGCGAGCGACTAAGCATCTTCTCGAAATGCGACAAGTTCGACATCATGGTTACGACGTGATCCTGGATATCGCCCAGGTACAACCCAATATCACCACGGGGGGTGACGGAGTACTGCTCGTTGCAACGCTTGGAGAAGCCGCGGATGACATCTGCTTTGCCGCCTAGCAGGCGCATCAGACTCATTACTTTCTTGCGGAGGCCACCGATGCGTGGGAGGAAGGATTCGAAGTCGTCGACACGCGCGATGAATACATGGTCTTCAATTGCTTCGGATTCGAGCTCCACGTCGCGTATAACTGGGCCGAAGCTATCGACGATGTCGTCGCTGATTTAAGTTAGTATGTGTAGTTGGTCAGGTATAGATTGGCAACTTACATCATGGCATAACAGATCCAATCACTGCTGAGAGCCACGTAGTCACGCAGCTTTCCAATACGCTTCCGGACATTGGCCGCGTGGGGGTTATCGTCGAACGAGAAGGTGAGGACACCATCGCGGAAGACGACCATGTAGAAATTGACTGGCTCCAAGAACTCCTCGCTGGTCTTGTCCATTTGGAAGAAAGTTCGGAAACAGACAAAGTAGTACTGCTTGAACAGCTCAACCTTCTCGCGAGCTTCCTGAGTTTGAATATCCTCCGTCGTCAGCGGATGAATGGAGAAGGCTCGCGAGATGGCACCCAATTCATCATCAGTGGGATTGACAACATCCAGCCACCATACACCACCTTCAGGTCCGAGCTCAAATAGATCCCGGAAGGTTTCGCCTGGGAGCACCAGATCTCCCAGGTCGGCAGCATGCACTGTAGTCTGAGACTCCGACGAGAAGAACCCGAATCGAGTAGGCTCGTTTGTATTTTGGAGTGACTTGAGCAGCTCCTTTTTGTCCGTGACTTTGGGCTTCTTCTCATCTTCATCGGAAGAATCTGACAGATCAGCCTTCTTAATCTCGCCGACCTCGGGGCTTTCGGCGCCAGGACGGAGGTCGTAGAAGATGCGAGGCTTCTTGCTCTGCGAGCTCATGCTGTGCTTGCGGCGGTTTCCAGTAACGGTCCTAGTGTTCTGGTTCAGAGCTACGAACTCCTCCAACTCCTCGTAGTCGATGACGGGGATACGACCCGGTTCGTCGAAGCAGGCCTCCTCGGCCGAATCGAATGGCACATCGCCCAGCTGGGGCCGGATGGCACTGGCATTGCTGAAAGTTGGCCGCCGGTTGTTCGTACCACCAGAGACGGTGCGTTGCAAGATGGCTTCCAAATCGGGAGGCGCATGGCTGTCCAGAGTGTTTGCGCGTTCACGACGACGCGGGTCGGCAAAAGCCTCGACTGAATTGGGAGGAGATGACGACCGAGCCGATACGGACGAGGTGCAGGAGGCATTGGCGAGATCATGCTGCGGAATGCTGATATGGCGAGGGGTATGGTATTGAGCTGCGGGATCGACAGAGAAGCGTCGTCCCATCCCAATCTCATTCAGCGATCGATCATCGTCGACCACGGCATTTTCAAAGTCTCGGAAGACGGGGCCATCTCGCAGGGCATCTTGCACGTTGAGCAAGTCTGGTCGCTCCGGCGGTTCCATCGTAGGGTTCATCTGGGATGTATCATGCGGGCTGAGCGAGCGCTCGATTGGCGCCTCAATTCGTGGAGGCGTTTGCATCTGGTGGCGATGATCATCCAGTTCAGGTACCGGGGTACTGAACCGGGTGAGGTCCATGTACCTCTCGGATCTGGGAGATTCGGTCATGGCGAATACTCGTGGGGTGAGATTTCCGACAAAAAGCGATTAGAGCGCCAGATTGGGTTTCGTTATTGGTGTTTGAAATCGAGTTGCTCTTTTAATTTAGCACGACGGCCTGAGCATACGTCAGCCGGTACGAGGTTCGTTCAAGGGTGACGGCCCTCCATCCATAAGCCAGACCCTTCACGAGGGTCTGGCGTTACCGACACACGTCTGATGGCCACAATAGGGGAGGTATTGTAAACCCAGTTAGGGGGTCTGGTGTCGCCCCCGCAGAAGACCCTAAACTTGGGGCCTGCAAGAGGGTGGAGGAGAGAGGACTGGGTGTAGCGAAGTCCCGCCAACTTGATGAGGTGGGAAGATGAGGAGCTTGGGTGCTCCAGATTTGCAGATAGGCGAGAGGACGAAAGTCGTCAGCTCGCAGAGTATTCCAAGGACGTTGAAATTCGAGTTCTCAAGATGAGAAGATGGATTCGCAACGTGTGAAAACTGGCACTGGTGAGTGGCGAGAATCAACGGGGCCGGGGCCGGGGATGGTTTCGGTAACGGTCCACAGTCAAGCGGAAGGTTAAAAGACCGAGACCACACAAAAGAGATAAATCAAAGAATGAGTTGTATGAGGCACCTCGAGGGCGTTTGACAATGGAGAGAAGAGAAAGAAAATAAGTGGGGAGGGGGAAATGTCACTGAAGCTCCGTGAAAATTTTCGGGCGGGTCGAGTCCGTGTAGAGTAAGTAACTACTAGGCTCTCACATTAACTATTATTAACTAATTATATCATGAGGCATTTATTGCCGAATATTAGTATTCTTTTACTTAGTGATACCGCTCTGGCTCTGGCTCTGGCTTTGGCTCAAAGTTATAACGGAGTACTCCGTGCTCCGTATTACTTCGAAGGTATAGACCTCGAGAGATCTTGGAACTTGACTTCATATCTCGGTTCCCATACTTGTTTCTGAGTGGTTTTATTTTATTTTATTTTGTTTTATTTTCTTTATCGACTTCGCGTGGAATAATATACTGTTCATGCAGGCCAAACTCACCGACACCAACTAAATGTTAAAACAATTAACGTTAACCCTGTAACTATACTCGCATAGATCGACACACAATCCAATCATTCCAATCGAATTTGATAGAGAATTTCCCCACTTGCCTATTTGGGTCTCCCCGACGTCGGCCAATTTTTCCCGCCGAAGAGTCATATATCAGACTACGGTACATCTCCATACTGTACACAACCCTGCACCATGTCCTCCTTCTTGGTCAGAATCCCTTGCTCCTCGGCCAACATTGGCCCTGGTTTCGATGTGATTGGTCTGGCATTGTCCCTTCATCTGGACCTTCACGTCACTGTCGAGGCCAAATCCTCCTCGGAGCTCCCCTTCAACTGTGCCATCACCTATGAGGACCAGAGCAAGAGTGTCGAGCAGATCAGCTTGGACCCCGAGGTCAACTTAATCACCCGTGTAGCTCTGTATGTTCTGAGATGCCATAACCAGCGGGCCTTCCCCGTTGAGACCAAGGTGCACATCGTCAATCCCATCCCATTAGGTCGGGGTCTGGGTTCGTCCGGTACCGCTGTGGTTGCCGGTGTGATGCTGGGTAACGAGGTGGGCAAGCTGGGTTTGAGCAAGGAACGCTTACTGGACTATTGTTTGATGATTGGTAGGTTCCTTGATTTACCCAGTTCTTCCCTGTTTACCAGACACATGGATATGTCATGCATTTACTGACGTGTCTATAGAGCGGCACCCGGATAACGTGGCTGCTTCCCTCTTCGGTGGCTTCGTTGGTACTTATCTGAATGATCTCAAGCCGGAGGATGTGGCCCGGAAGGAGATCCCGCTCAGTGAGGTCCTACCTGCTCCGGCTGGTGGTGTGGATACCGGCATCAGGCCCCCAGAGCCTCCTATGGCCATTGGCCATTACAGAAAGTTCAATTGGGCTCCGGAGATCAAGGCCATTGCCATTATCCCCGACTTTGTGGTGCCCACCGCCAACGCCCGTAATGTACTCCCAGAGACCTACACAAGGGCGGACGTGGTACGTTCTCTCGCCAGCATCAACATTTGACCTGACACTAACCCCGTCTAGGTTTTCAACCTTCAACGCGCGGCCCTACTTCCTGCGGCCCTGGGAAGTTCCCCGCCGGATCCTGATATGATCTTCCTGGCCATGCAAGACAAGGTGCACCAGCCGTACCGCAAGACCCTGATCCCAGGCCTGACTGAGATCCTCCAATTCATGACCCCATCCACTCAACCCGGTCTGTTGGGAATCTGTCTCTCTGGTGCAGGACCAACCATCCTGGCATTGGCCACTGATCGCTTTGACGAGATTGCTGACCGCATCATCGCACGGTTCGCTTCCAACAACATCTCGTGCCAATGGAAGTTGCTGGAGCCCGCTCAAGACGGCGCTACTGTGAACTATAACTAAACATCTGGCGCGTTTTATTTCGTCATAACATGATCGCTGTCCCGCGTTCGTCATGTCTCTAATAATGTCAGACATGGCATGAAGGCTGCATTGTGTATTGCGCTCCGAGGGAAACATATATTGGGAGGGGAAATGCTCTGCTTTTCCTTTCCTGCTACTCACGTGGGTTATGCATCTCGGTTCACCGCTGTTCCTTGCGTTGCAGGCTGCATGTGAGTCTTCCGACTCGGAAAGTTGGGCTTACTCTTAGATTTGTGTCTTGTTCAGGATTTGTGCATGATACAGACGAGTCGCTTACAGCGCTCTAATAGCTCGGGTTGGACGATCTGTTTATGGCAACTATATAGATGGCAGACATCGAATGAAATCATGATCATACGTATAACAACAATGATAAGAAATGCGAATTTACTGCAGGGTTAACGTCGTCAAGGATAAACTCAACATCTAGAACACATGTAGTCAACTCAGATTCTGATACCTTTGGATGTTGTACAGTAGAGGGGAAGGCGGTGATGCGTAATGCGGCAGAAGGCTAATGACACCATTGCGATAAGCTAGGGATTCCTCACCATTGACTTCACCATGGATGAACTACTCGCTCCCCTACGAGATGCCGTTGAAGGCCAAATTGTATGTTCTCATTCCCCTTTCACTTCTCATCCATAATCCAATCTAAAGTTACCTCGACAGGACTTCCACGGCCAGCACCTAGCAGAGCTACTTTCCACCATTTTACTGATTATCTCTGGGGTTAGTATACTGCAAAGATTGAATGTCTTCTGATTTGACAGCACAGTGCTAACTTCTGTCGCATAATAGGCTGTCAGTTTCTTCGTCGGATACATCTACAAAGACATCTACCTTACATTATGGAGTGGCCTTGCGGGCACTCTGTTCACTGCCCTTGTCGTCGTTCCCCCTTGGCCATTTTACAACCAGAACCCTGAGAAGTGGCTAGGCTCAAAAGGTGGGAAAGCAAATCCGGGAATAGTCGTGGACGGAGTGAAGGTGCAATAAGCTATCGACAGCTTCAAATCTAGGACCGAGCTTGATACACATTGGAATGGAAAGAACTGCGGCAATGCTCGCTCTTATTCTATATCATATGAGAAGCTTGACGTCGCCTGAAACATGGACTATCCTAACGCCCCTTATGTCCCTTGGTTTTGAGCTGGTTTGACCGCTGCCTTGTAAAGTTCCATTTTGGAATAAAATCATAGCCATTGAATGGCATCAGCCAGATATCGTGAATTTGTATCATGTAGTGTCCTCGAAAAAGGCCCTGGAAAAGCGCTTGCAGAAAACCCCGGTCTCCATCTCTTCACCGGCCATACTTCTGGAACTCCCAGTCACGGTTGTCCAGTGGGCAGACCTGGCGGGTCTTCAACCATCTCGATATGCAGTGGAAGTGGAAAGCGTGCTGGGCAAAGTGTTAGTCTCGGCTCGGTGCTTGAAAGCAGCGGTACTCACATTGCAAATACCCCAGGCGACGGTGCACTCTTCGGTTGTTGAGGAGCCCTGGTTTGCCTGGCATTCGATGCCTGTTTCATTGTCGGGTTAGCTCTGATTAGGGTGAGGCTGTTTGAACACATACAAAGGTCCATGATGTGGTTTCGACAAATGGCACAGTTGTCTACGACAATGTCCCAGGCCCATAGGGCAACAGCGTTCCACTAGCATCCCCAGTTAGTATCGTGAGGTGCAGCTCGATATGCTGCTCATGGCGTACCTTCTTGATCTCGAACTTCTTCTTATCACCGGCACCATCGGCCTTGGCAACAGCCTTGCCCTTGGAGGAGCCAGCGGCTTCCTTCATTTCAACGTCCGCCATATTGTGAGGTTGGAGAGGGTAGGTCGATTCGGAAACGCTTGGCAGGGTGGCAGAAGCTGGGGTGGGGGTATCAGGTCCGCTGGATCACTGAAACTGACGTAAATGAGGCTGCAACAGGCAACAGACGGGGGTTTCAGGGGCACAAGAAGCAGTATAGAAAAGAATAGGGAATGAAGGTCAGAAAGGTCCTCCAGAGGTACCCATGTATTGTTTGACTGTGTTTGCTATTGAGGCCGGTGGCGGCTCTTAGTCATATCCCCTCTCCAACTCCGTCACTTTCCTTCTCTCACACCAGACATGCTTCAATAACGCATTTCTCTTTAGAGATGATTTCCGTGGGTTTTCTTTAACAGTCCCTTTCTACTCTTCTAATAGAGGCGTTTCAGTGATTCGTCTTTCTTTGCCTTTGACCCTTTGACTCTTTCTTCTCGACCTGTCACTTTCCTGCCTAGGCGCCATATTCTTAATATTGTCGACCCTGCTGAGCAGTGATCTGACCTGATTTTGCCGTGATCTTCTCATTGCTTTACTGCTTCGTCATAGCGTTGCTCTTTCTCTTTCTCTCTCCTCACAGGCTGCCTATTTTTCAAGCCAACCAGTCGACATGTCGACCCAATCTCCTCATCCTCCGACCCCTAAGGGTTCGCGCAACAACCGCCGTCCACAGAAGAAGAGTATGACACCTCAAGCTCAAAAACCGGGTCTTCTCTCGACCCCGCCGTCATCTCCGCCGCGGAACATGAGCCCAGCCGGGATCCAGACCGATTCATCCAACTTGAACAACTCGAAGAAGAAGCCTATGCGATCTGCAAAGAAACCGCGAGACAACAAGGCTTCACCGGCCCCGACCAACGGATACCAGAATAACAATGGTTACTCTCAGAATAATGGGTACCAAAACAGTGCCCAACGACAAACCCCCTCGCATAGTGTCGCCTCTCCTCAGATGAAGGATAGCGCGGCTTATGCAGGCCCAACGTTCCATGCATCGCCCGCTCCCTCAGCGCTCCCAATGCCCAGCTTTTTCTCCAAGTCAGCTCCTGATTCAGATCTCGTGCCACCGATCGAGACTGACAGCGATACCGCGGAGATGGATCCCGAACCCGATGTGACTCCGTCTAAACCTCGAAGCCGACCCCAGACGACGGGCAATGAACCGAAACCCACTCCTCTGGACTTCCTTTTCCATGCTGCTGTGCAAGCCAGGAATACCAAGTCAACGAGCAGTCCTGAAGTGAACAAGGTTCGATCGCCTCAGACTGAACCCAAAGCCGTGCGCTCCAATCCCGATGGCATGTTTGCTTTTGAAATGGAAAATTCCGAGTTCCCACGCAACTCGCACATCGGCCCTTCATTTGCTCCTTCTTATCAGGACCGTATGAACGCTTTGCAGTCCACGCGATCCTCGAGCACTCCTCAGTCTCCCGATGTCACTGAGGAGCAGCGCAGAATGAAGACCGAGGAGTTGAAGCACTTGCTTCTCAATCCGCGTCCGCAGAAGCCACCCTCGGCTCAACCCAATTTTGATCAAGCTGCATTTGGTGCGCGTTCATCGAATATCCCTCCTTATGCTACCCCCATGCGAACTTCATCTGGACCCCCAATGACCATGTCGCATGGCTCTTTCTCTGGTCAGCAACAGCCAATTCCTAACAACGCTGGCCGTGCTCCTTACCCTTATCCTCCTCACTCCCACTCGCCGCTGCGCCGGGAGGTAGCCCCGTCTCATTCACCTTACGGTGTTTCGAACGGTTCCTCGCCAGCCCCGTATAGGGGTCATTACATGCCAAGTCCTCCACCTCAACGGCTCAACTACACATCTCCGCAGCCACAGTACCCGGCTGGCTTCCATATGCCGATGAGCTCGCCCTCTCCTTCCCAGCCTATGGACACTAAGCAAATCGAGGATGACATTCGACGGGTCCTGAAGCTCGGTGCTACATCGGGAATGCCGCCGAGTGGAATTCAGAGCTCATTTGCTTAGTGTTTCCACAGGTCATGATCTGCATACAATCTTGCAAATTCCGTTCTTTTGATTTGTTTCTTTGTCGTTTTTGCATTGGTTCATAGGGCATCCTTGACTGGTCCAAGGTCCCTTGGTGGGGTTCTTTTTTGGTCTTCCTTTCTCGCGACAGGGTGCTTGGTGTTTCTTGCCGTGGGACTCTCGCGGTAATCCTTACCATGATGATGATACACGGGACTGGCTGCTCGGTACATTGATGAGGCGGTGCTTTTTACCTTCTTTTCTTGCATCGTTCGGCGTCATGATGTTTTCCAAGTGCTGTTTGGGGGAGGATCCAGCCAAGGATGGCTACGACACGCTGTTTCGTTTTTCGTGTTTCGTTTTCCCCATGGGGATTGTCACTCTTTTCGTATTCGTATTCGGTTGATCGAACTTGATCTGCTTTCCCTTCTCTGGGTTCATGGATGAATCCAGGTGTTTTGTTTTGGTGTGTTTTTACACCCGACACTCATTTAGTCAACTTCCACTGGTCAGAATCCTCTTTGTTTCAATTCCCGATAGAGTAGTCTAGGCTCGATGGTAGTATTTTAAATCCCACGTGTAGACGTGTACAGATATGACCACTTTATATGCCAATCAGGTAACAGCCAAGACAACTTGCAAGCCACACTGAAACGGCGACTGTGGCGCGAGGTGGGCCCTCCAGGAAACTGGCTAACAGGCGGTGTTCTCTGGGGCTTCGAATAGAACCGAATGGACGCCCCAGTGCCGATCCTAATATTGTGAATACAGGGTCTTTTACAGTTGTACAATTGTAGAATTTGGTAGCTTGTTCCAATTGATTCTATTTTTGGTTTCCCCCTTAATAAAGGGAGCTCTGTAATTAGTCCAGGTAGTCCAGTATCACTAGTAGTTGTTTACCGCTACAATTGCTCCCAGATCCACGTCTAATTTTATATCTTCTTGTGCTTATGGGATTAGGGGGTTTTAGAGTATAGTCCTCTCCCGCAGAGTACACCGTACTACTGAACAGACTGACATATCAGGCCTTGGCTGGGATGGGTCTCGTAGATCTTGTCTCGGACTTGATGAAGCTTAAATCGCAACAGCCACAGGCCTGTAGGGACAATCTCTGTAAGAAATACTGTATAAAGGGCATGACGGATTCGGAAATTGCAATTGTGCTGTAGGAAACATAGTAGAAAACATGGCTATGATGGGGTGTCGACATCATGGGATCTGCATACCTGAAGTCGATGGATGCGGCCAGGGGGAAAAAGACATAACATCATAACAACTTCTTCACACATCCATACTCGCAAACATCAGCACGACAGGAGATATATGTAAAGGAAGAGTTCCAGAAGTCCCACGTCTCCTCCACTTCTCCTTCCTTACCTAATTCTGGCCTCGCCCCTACCATCTCCAAAGAAATTTCGCTTCACTCTCCGACTGGGTCGGGCCTCCTTTCTCTTATGATCTTCACTTAATACTGCTTATCTTCTGTTTCATCAAGCATGGCGAATATGTGCGTATTTCTCTCCATGCGTATTTCTCTCCATGCGTCTTTCTCTCCACGGTCCCTAGGTTCAACTCTGACTCTCTACAGGTTTGGTTCGGCATGGCGCTCCTTTTGGCATACCATGACCTCCTATGACCGTCATGCCTCCCACGACTCTCCCTACCGTACTGGACAACACGTTCCCCTCAGCCAAAGCCGCCATGAGCCTCTCACATCCGTTGCAACCAGCGCAATCGAATCCCGCCCCGACCTCTCCAGCCCCTACGATGACGAGCCGACCAAGGGTTCGGCAACTGCCCAAACATCCGAATGGACAGGCTCCCTCAATGAAGACTCCCCGACTCGCCCTTACTCGCCTGGGATGAGATCAGTCGCATCCCAGAAGAGAAGGTCCAATGACCAGGGCGAAGGCGCACCCGAGATCCAGATGCAGAGTTTCCACGATGGGGCACCCCTCCACCACCGGTCGCGCACTCCTGGAGGAAAATTGAACGGTGGTTAGAACACAATTACGAAGAGCTCTTCGACCAGCTGTGCGAAGGGTGCACCCAGAACGACATTAACGAATTGGAGCATGAACTCGACTGCAGTCTGCCATTAGAGTTGCGGGAATCGCTGATGTGCCACGATGGTCAGGAACGCGGTGGTTTGCCCACTGGTGTCCTCTTCAGCGCCATGCTTATGGACTGTGAGGAGATCGTGCAGGAGTGGCGCAACTGGAAGAGGGTCAACGACGAATATCTCAGCAACATGCACGCCCCTATGTCCAGCTCTGCGGCAAGCTCCTCGGCTGGTCCGTCTCAGCAGGCCGGGTCTCCCATGTGGAGATCGGAATTGCTGGATCGTCAGGACTCCCAGCCTCCCGGGGCTGTTCAAAAAGCATACGCACACCCCGCGTGGATTCCTCTCGCCCGTGATTGGGGTGGCAACAACATTGCGATTGATCTGGCACCCGGTCCCGCTGGAAAATGGGGCCAGGTGATTATTTTTGGCCGGGATTACGACTGTAAATACGTCATTGCTCGGTCGTGGTCTGCGTTCCTGGCCACGTTCGCTGATGACCTGTGCAGTGGCAAGGTCATTGTCGATGAGGAGACGAACGAGCTCAAGCTGAAGGAGTTCCGCTCTCAGAATGTCGAGCCCCCATACCTAGAGATTCTGCGCTGGAGAACGGATCAGAAGTTTGGCCGTCGTGCGCCTCGTCGCAAGGGCCCTGGTCCCAACGGTCTGGGCGTGAATGCTTCTGGCAACCGGTCCAGCAGCCGAGAGTCGCCCTACGGCAGCCCAACACGAGCTGAGGAACGTGGCCGTTCGCCCCACCGTTTCTCCAAGGGAGGATCAGCTCAGAGCCCCAAAACGCAATTCGGCGTCTCCAGCCCTCTTGCCCGCGTGACTGAAGAAACAACGAGTCCCGTGGGTCCTTCTGGACCTACCATCTCCGAGGACCTCAAGGAGACAGGGAATGGCAAGGAGCCTCAGACAGAAGACCTGATGGAGGTGGCCACCCCACAAATCTCCAATAAGGAAAATGAGGGTTTCCCCAAGACCGATACTAAGGAGAATGACAATGCCGAAAAGAGCGACGCCACCGCGGAGTCCTCAACTGTCATGGACTCGGAAGTCCTGGGTGAAATGAAGAACGTGGCTATTTAGAATAGGCCTGCGTTGACTCCGATTCCTGCTGATTTTATGTTCTGTCCTCCAAGGGCATCCTTGCGAATGGATTGACACCATTTCGAAACTGCTTTGTATAGAATTCCCCCTGTTTCTCTGTTCTCGGCTCCAAGGCATTTGTTGTAACTCTAGGGAGCTGGTTCTATCCTGCTTCTCCTGCTTCTTTTCTCTTTTCTGGTTTTGGCTGCCTGGCTTTTTGTTTACGGTCTCCCTTGATCTTTTTGCCTGTAATTCTATTATGACAGCCTTAGTGCTTTTATTTCGTGTCTGGCTCCAATTCATTTTGATTCTTCATTTCAAAACTAGAGGTATATCACTTGGTATGGGTATAAACTGAACATCAATCCGTTACTATACAGAACCGCCAACATACCACATCACATCAACACGTCTTAATCCCAATCACCATCGTCGTCGTCTCCCCGACTTCTCACATGGGGATTGGCACTCCGAATCCCTCTCTTGCCCTTAATCCTCCTAAACGTCCTCCTGGCACCCGCGTCATCCCCACTATCCTCATCACGTATATCATCATCATCGTCTCCACCACTCAACTTGGCCTGCACAAGCACCCCCTTAGCAACCAATCTCTTCTCCAAATTGCGCGCCTCAAAGCCCTCAACTCCATCGAAGCCCCGAGCCTCAAGCCCCTCAAACCCAACAACCCGATCAGCCCCAACTCCATCCTTAAACCCAATCACACAAGGCAGAATCCGGATCCCCAGTTTCTCGGCAATGAATGGCGTGTTGCGCACGTCCACTCGCGCAAATGAGACCTCGTAGTGCGCGCTCGCTAACTCGCCTAGTCGCATGTCCATTACCGCGCACCGTGTAAAATCAGGGTGTGCGAAGTGTACTAGGCAGCGGCTGGTGCGGGTTGTAAAGTCCAGCACGGCTTGGTCGGTTGAAAGGGTTGGGTAGACTTCGTTTTGGAGGAGGGTTGTACTGCCGGGTTTGGGGTTTGTGCTGTGGTTGTTCTTTTTGGACGCGAATTCCTCGTTTAGTTGTTGGATTCGGGCGTCACGGTAGCTTGTGTCATCTTCGTTTTCGAGGGATGCGAAGAGGGCTTCGTCGTCGGAGTCGGTCATCTTAACGGGTTGGTTGGTTGGTGGGGTTTTGGAGGGGTTCAGTGGTCTTGTTTTCGGATGGTTGGTTTGGGGTGGGGGTTCTCTGTGGGTTTGTTTCTTCTCCTGGTCTGTGATTCTAGGCTGGAGATTGTGACTGGATTGGATTGAGGTGTGTGTGAGGAGGGTTGAGGTGGAAGATCGGAGCTCCACAGGTATTGGGCTCGGTAGTTTACGCGTTGAACATTGGGCTCAAATATAGACTTAGAGATCTTTCTTTCTATTTGCAATTGAGAACAGATATTTATCCATTAGTTTATAGCTGATATATAAATTGAGAATACGTGTTGCATTGCTTCGGGAAGAACAGTACTGTAGATAGTGTTGACCACAGTATCTCAAAGTATCTCAACTGCCTCAATGGTCTTTGCGGTCACAATTGCGGCAATCCTAGTTCATACTGTCCTCTTTCTTATATCCAAAACATATTTCTCTAACAAAGTTAAGTGTAAAATGTTTCACTATAAATAAAATCAAAGGCTGAGTCAGCCCCCCTAAATCCCTGCTTAGGTAACGCGTCTGGTTCCGGGCGAAATCTGTTGTTGTCGAAATCTCCCTTCACTTTCTTTGGTGACTTCTCGAACACTCCCTTCTTTCGACTCTGTGATCCTCTGTGATCCTGTCTTGGCTGGTGCTTCTGTTAATCCAGTCCTCACCCTCCCCATACCCCTCGACTCCTGAACCAACCGCCAAGATGGTCGAAGACAAGAAGTCCGACGACTACACCGTCGAGATGAACAAGCTCGATCAAGGGAAACAGTTTGAGGCTGCGCCGCCGCCAACTCCCTCGCCCCGCACTGTCCCCAGCGCCATGTCCAACAGCCCAGTCCTTCCCGTCCTGGCATACTGCGGATCTTCTATTATGATGACTGTGATGAACAAGTATGTTCTGTCGGGTCTGGACTTTAACCTGAACTTCCTCTTGCTCTGTGTTCAGGTACGTGGAGACAATTGTGGCCTGCTCTCTTAGAGCCGATTACTGATACTCAACAGTCTTTGGTCTGCATTGTTGCGATCCAGACGTGCAAGTCTATGGGTCTCATCACCTACCGCGACTTCAGTGCCGATGAGGCGCGCAAGTGTAAGGGATTCAATATTCCAGGTATCAAGTTTCGGCAGCTAATCGGATTCTTTTTCTTTGATTTTAGGGTTCCCGATTACGCTCCTCCTGATCGGCATGATCTACACTGGCTCCAAGGCTCTCCAATTCCTCTCGATTCCCGTTTATACTATCTTCAAGAACTTGACCATTATCCTTATCGCCTATGGTGAGGTCCTCTGGTTCGGTGGCTCCGTCACTAGCCTGACCCTGTTCTCCTTCGGTCTCATGGTCGTCAGCTCGCTCATTGCCGCCTGGGCTGATATCAAGCACGCCGTGGAGAGCACTGGTGACACCTCCAGCAAGGTCTCGACCCTGAACGCTGGATACGTCTGGATGTTGATCAACTGCCTGTGCACCTCGTCTTACGTCCTGGGCATGCGCAAGCGCATCAAGCTGACCAATTTTAAGGACTTTGACAGTACGTGGCTTTTCTTGTGTCTTTATTGAAATGTTCGCTAATATGATTTCTTTCAGCCATGTTCTACAACAACCTCTTGTCCATCCCCGTTCTGATCGTTCTCACCCTCCTGGTCGAGGACTGGTCCTCCGCCAACCTGGCCCGCAACTTCCCCGAGGCCAACCGCGACGGCATCTTCTTCGCCATGGTCCTATCCGGAGCCTCGTCCGTCTTCATTTCGTATACCTCCGCCTGGTGTGTCCGTGTGACCTCGTCTACCACCTACTCGATGGTTGGTGCGCTCAACAAGCTGCCCATCGCGGTGTCAGGTCTCGTTTTCTTCGATGCGCCAGTTACCTTCCCCAGTGTCTCCGCCATTGCTATTGGCTTCATCAGTGGTATCGTCTACGCTGTTGCCAAGATCAAGCAGAACGCCAAGCCCAAGACCGGTGTCCTCCCTACACCAGTCAGCGCCAGCAGCCAGAGCATGAGAGACTCGCTGCGCTCTTAAGCTGCATTTGGCACTATGTATCTGACTGGTCAGCGCATATATCAAAAAGTTCACCGTCCAACCAACCGGTGCTATCTTTGCATGTGACATTATGATTCACGTTTCATTGCAGCCGAAGTATGGGCCTTTTCTTGTCTGATCCTGATGGGGGGATATTCCTGTGATCACTTTGGTCGGTGTTGGTGTTTGATTTCTCTCTTCTTCTGTTCACCCTTTCTTCCTTTCTTCCCTTCTCTTTACATCTATAGAGGGGACATGTGAAACAGAAACTGTTTCCAATTCTAAATTCCCCTTCCCCCTGATCTCGGTCCAAGTATGATTTAATTCTTCTTTTTTGACATGCGGCCATAGCATCTGTTCCTGTCTTGTTCCTGTACATAGCTATGCCGCGCTCTGGTTTTGCCAATAGAACGTGTTTGGATAACTAATATAATGATTCTTGGAAATGATACCAGAGGATATGTGAGAAGCTTGTCATACTATTGTATATTTTATAGACTTAATGCCCCAGAATGGAGAATATAAAGCTCTATCAATATGCTGTACAGCTCGGATCTATGATTGGCCGAGCTTAACCCAGACCCGCGATTTTCCTTCTTGCATCTTCACCTCAACCAACTCTTCTTATATGCTTGGATCTGTTTCAGGCAAACCCCAATTTCATATTTAAGGCATTGTTCACTATGCCTCGCAATAACAAGAAACTCAAAGGAGCCCCTGCTCCAGCCCACTCCCGCGGACCTGGCAAACCCTTTGGTCAGTCTTCTAACCCTCCCAGCGGACAGAATGGAAATACCCAGGGAAAGGAGACTACAGTCAAGAAGGGTCCTGTGCAGGCGAACCAGAGACCTATTGTTCCATTTTTGAGGAAGGATCGGATTCTGCTTATTGGTGAAGGTGAGTTAGGTATCAATGTGGTGTTATGTTCAAAATTGTTGCTTCTATTGCGCGTCTGCTTTTTGTCTTGACGATTCATGTATATTTGATTTGTTGGTAGTCAACTCCCGGTGTGGGATCATACTATCTCCATTCTGATGTACGCGATTGAAATCAATACGCAAATATCGATCAGACACAGCATGCATGATTCGATCTACAGTTGAACTAGCATCATTCTCAGAGAATAAATGCTAACAATCAACAGGGGATTTCTCATTCGCCCGCTCTCTGGCAACCCAATACAAATGCCGCAATATATGCGCAACATGCTACGATTCCAAAGAAACATTGGAAGGCAAATACCCACAAGTGGAGCAAAACATCCAAGCAATCCTAGAATCCGGCAAAAAGCCAAAGAAAGAGACAGAAGGAAAAAGCAAAGTCTCAACCAACACCACTCAAAAAGCCCCTAAAGTCCTCTTCTCCGTGGACGCCCGCAAACTCGGCAGCCCGGGTGGCGGCGCCAAAGAAATCCGCACTGGCTTCCCTCGCCACGAACGCAAACGACCAGGCTGGTTCCAGCCAAAGACCCCAGACCCGCCTTATCAACCTGGCGGACCGTGGGATGTGATCTGTTTCAATTTCCCGCATGTGGGTGGGCTCTCGACAGATGTTAATCGTCAGGTGCGGGCGAATCAGGAGTTGCTGGTTGCTTTCTTTAAGGCTTGTGTGCCGCTTGTTTCTAACGCGCCACCGCTTATGGATGCTGATGAGGATGAGTGGGAGGTATCTGAGTCTGAGGATGATGATGATGAAGATGATGAAGACGAAGACGACAATGGTGGAGAGGAGGGGGATGAGACAACTGGGAAAGGGATTCGGACTGGGCCTGGTCAGATTCTTGTTACTTTGTTTGAGGCGGAGCCTTATACGCTTTGGAATATCAAGGATTTGGCTAGACATGCTGGGTTGATTGTTGTTACCAGTTTCCGGTTCCCGTGGGCGTCTTATGAGGGATACTCGCATGCGCGGACGATTGGGGAGATTGAAGGGAAGAATGGGGAGAGAGGTGGGTGGAGGGGGAGGATCGGGATGCGAGGATGTATGTCTTTGAGGTGAAGCAGAAGCCTAAGTGGAAGCAGAAGCCTAAGTTCAACAAGAAGACGCAGAAGAGGCCAAGAGGCGAGGAGTCGTCTAGTGATAGCGAATAAGGTGGTGATGTACATATGCCATAGCAGTTGATTCATGTGTCCCCTGAATATACAAAGCAAAGCATGGCCTGTCCCTTAACTGTGTACATTTACCGCTTTAGACCGCTAAAAATGACAGCGTATTGGCCAACCCCTGCCCAAACAAGAAAAGTAAAGTCTCGTTTACATTATATACACTTTCTTCATGTCGCTCTCGTCAAAGACCTCACCTGTTGTTGGGTCTTTGACCTTGCCTGATTCCACAGATCCCATCTTAGTGCTGATTTCTATTAACCGCTGCTGTCCGTAGACACGACCGTTAGGTAGGACTATGGGGTCGCTCTCCACGTAGCTCTTCGAGTGATGGGCGTACGGCATTGTGCGGGCGAGCTCGTTCAGTTCGGTCGAGCAGATCGGACACACTGATGTTGAGGTTGACTGCGAGTTAGAGCTGGATGATGTATACGCGGAATGGCACATGGGTGTTTTGAGTGCTGAAAGTCCGGCTGAAAGTGCAATATGTAGTAATGGCTGTGACGGCAATGACAGTAACTCATGGTGAGTCTGGACAAAGAGATCTGAGAGCTCTTTCCAGCGGTCCAGTGAGAAGAGCGACTAAGTTTGTCAGTACAGAACATCTCTTTGTCAGGAGTTGTTTGTCATACCTTGTAAGGCTCAACTTTTGTGTCTTGCTTAAAGACCAGTAACCCAGCAGCACGCCTGATCTCCGGATTTTGAGCCTGATGGTTTAGTATCAGATATCTCTTGGCATGAGCAATTGCCTCAATCTTCTTTGTTTTGTCCTGGGTCCGGACCATTTCGATGAATTGCTGCAACCGGAGCTCAAACTCAAGGTTGTGCTGCAGATATCTCGAATTAGCTCGTCCCAATACCAATGCAGGGCTGCCGGAACTTACCTGACTCCTTTTCAAGGCCGCTTTATTCTCACCGCACCACTGCAATGCTTCCTTTGTCTCTCCTCGCCTCAGGCTCTTAACAATTCGTTGACACTGCGTAAAGACACCAAGATCCACAAGTTCCTCAACTCCCCTCTCCTGGGCTAGTTGCTTTGCACTTTCCGAAAACCCCGATCGCAGCATATGATCCACAAGCAGTCGATCCAGTCGTACTCTTGCCCACTGGTCGTATTTGACATCGGCTAGATTGGGGATCTTGTGCAGTGCCTCCAAGTGTTGAATGCGCTTGCGAGACTGGTTGTGGATTTTCTTCTCTTCTTCCTGCAGCCCTTCCATCTTCCTCTTGAGGCCTTGCATTCGGGATATCATCGCGTCGAGGGCGGCAAGTGTCTGGTCGGGGGTTTGTGTGTTGGAGAGTGAGGCGTTTGCGGTGTCCTTGAGTGCAGGGAGGACATATTCCTTTTCGCGTTCGACAGCTCGTTGTACGGTCTTAAAGTTCCTGCGAACTAGTTCATGTGGAAGTCGGAGAAGTGGTTGGTCCTGTTTGGAGCGGGCTGTGGTTAGAGCACTTCCTCTCTCATCTTCAGACGTGCGGAGAAATTACCAGGATAATGTGGCTCTCCGGGTTGAGCTTTGTTGATGTCAGCTCTGCAGCCATGGTGACCAGAGGCTCTTTTTATCTCAGATCAAGGTTCTCAAGTCCGAGATTAAATAATCGAGTGAGATGGATCAGAAGACGAAGTGGAGGGGAAGCTCTGGCATGCGGAGATAAAGTCACGAGGTCCGCGTCATCGGGCCAGTGCAACGTTCGGAATACCGTAGGGATCGATACTCTTAACGTTACTTTATTTTGCTCTACTTTACTCAATTCTACTCTGTTTACTTTATTGATTCGATTAAGCATTCACATAAGCAGCCTTCAATATGAAACTGTAGAATAGACTAACGAATTTCCCTTTTGACCCAAGACTCCGGAAATAGCAAAATATGGTACAGGGGACCTGATGGTCTTCCTGGAGTGCATCTAGTCGCTGTCATCGCTATCGTCCTGCTTGGACTTCCGGCGCTCCTTCTTCTCCTTCTTCTCCTTCTTCTTCTTCTTGCGCTCGGCCTTCTCCTCGGCGGTTTCGCCCTCGTGTCTCTTGCGCTTCTTGTCTTCGCTGTCAGCCTCGGCCTTCACGGGGTCGGGGGAGTCCTCCTTGGGAGCAGGGGCGATTGAGGGAGCGGCGGCAGACTCTTCAGCATCGAGAGGAGCGTTGAAGTCCTTGTACTCGCTCTTCCACTTGGCGGGGGTAGCCTCGTTGGTACGGCCGTACTTGTCAAGCTGACCAGCGGACTTCATCTTCTTCTTCTCAAGAGCGGTGGGTCCGAGACCCCAGCGGCGGGGGTAGAGGTCACGCTCCATGATGCAGCGCTTGACCTTGGCAACAACGCCGTGGTCGCAAGTGGTGAGCTCGACGGTGGACATCTGAGCGATACCAATGGCGATGGCCTCACCCTTGGTGGTCATGAGGACGACCTCCTCGTTGATCTCAATGCCGGACTCGTAGCGGAGCAGACCGGGGATCATGAGCTTAGCACCGTAGCAGACGGCGTTGACAGCGCTGTCCTTGACGACAATACGCTTATAGGAGGTGAGGAGAGACTCCAGGGGGCTGATGACCTTGCGGAGGTAAGACTCGTCGCGCTGGTTATCGTAGACCCACTGGGCGTCCATCACATCGTGTAGGGTGACCATACCCTTGCTCTCGTCCATGGCACCGGAGCGGACACGGCGGAGCTCCTGCATGTGGGCACCGACACCGAGGAGGAGACCCAGGTGAACACAGAGAGTACGGATGTAGGTACCAGCCTCACAGCTGACCCAGAAGACACCAAGGTGACGCTCGTTGTCGAACTCGTAGAGCTTGCTCTCGTGGATGGTACGGATACGGAGCTGACGCTTGACGGCAGAGATGAGGGGGGACGCTGGAAGAGCGCACCAGTCAAGGTCTCCAGAGCGCGGCGGAGCTGAGCCTCGCCACCGGGGATCTTGTCGTGGAGACGAATGACACAGACGTACTCCTTACCGGCACCTTGCTGAGACTTGACCAGGCGGGTCGCACGATCAATGCAGACAATCAAACATCCAGTGACCTTGGGATCAAGGGTACCACTGTGACCAGTTTTCTCGGATCTATAAAGGAGAGAGGTAGGTCAGCATTGATTCCATTGAGGTAGATGAGGATTGATTTTACCTAAGGATCCGCTTCATCCAAGCCACGACTTCGTGACTGGAAGGGTTCGACGGCTTGTCGAGGTTGATGACACCGGAGCTGATGTAGGACTTGAGGTCACGGCTAAGGGGAGAGGAGCCAGCGGGAATAGGGGTGAAGTGACCAGTCCGGACGAGCACTATTCAAGTAAAAATGTCAATGTCGGCTGGGTCAAGCATGGAGTTTTAGGGACAAGCGTACGCTTCTCATAGTTCTTGAGCAGAAGCGGCCAATCCTCCGTGTTAACGGTAGGAACAGACGCTTCAGGCTTGATGGCGTAGTCCATCTCCGAGGTCTTGACGACGGCCATTTTGGTGGTTGTCGTTGAGGAATTGCGCGGTTGAAGCCCCGAAAATTTGGTCGAAGGAAATTTTGCGAGTGCGGCAGCTCCAGCGCCCAAAGGGGTTTAGCGCCCGGCGGTGGTCATCCTCACGTGACCGCGTTTCTTTTTGGACATCAAAAAGACTTTACTCTTTAATTCTCTCTAATGCAGTTCAATTAGATGTGTTTGCTATTGATACATTGTTCATTCGTGAATGTGTTGAGGTCTGTTATCAATTATCACTATTTATGACAATAGGCACGTCGACGCGTCTGCCCAAATACAAGCCCATATGATTTACATATCTGCAAAGACCCTAGCCGAGTCTGCGACCAGCACCTCTGCCATTCCAGGAACCCTGCACACCAGAGGCCCAGCCCCAGGATGATGGGAGTGGTCCACTCTCAGGTTGATCGGCTGCTCGCGCTGGGCGACTGGCTGTTCCATATCCTCGGTATCCAACGTTCACGGTGTGTCGAGTAAAGTATCTCTCCACGAAGGCTGGGACCACGATAAAGTTTCGTCCGCCACCGAAGGTAGGGTAGATGCGGGTGATGAAGTCGTAAAGATGAGCAGAGATGATGCCCATGCTCTCTATTAAAGCAGATTTCCACCCGAGCATCACCATTGAGACAAGGAGCAATGCGTATGGCAGAAACACCACGGGAATGTCGATAAAGTAGAATCTCACGCGCTTGCCTCGGTTATCCTGTGAATAGGTGTAGACGAAAGCCATGATCAAGGCTGGTTCCAGTCAGTGTATGGCACGAAAGAAAGAAGTACTGTAAGCTTACGGCTTGTAAGAACCATCGCCCCGAAATAAGCACCTGCTGTGAGCTTGGGAAAAGTTAGCCCTTTTCGAAGATTGGACTACCGGAACGAGTATGTAGGAAGAATAGTGAATGGTATTGGAAAAGAATAGATGTATATAAATGTAGGGCGCCAAAAAACCGACGTGAACTTATAGGATCACGTCGGCTATCTCAAAGGCAATCCCACCATTCCCACATCGCATGCAGCACCTATATTTTGCGAATTGATGGTGCTGCACGGGATGCAGGGGTAATCTCCCTCGCTTCCAGGAACCGCTTCAGCTAGATTTGAAGGCTGGGCGGGCAGATAATGCGAGGGGAAAGGAAAAGAAAGAAAATAGAGCTCTAAGTCACTTACCATGAGGGTGAAGGCTACAAACAACAGGTAAATGAAGAACTCTCCAGGTCGGTCGAAACGAGCCGAGCCCGTCTCCAGAGAACTGCCATAGTGGTACACTGTCGGTACATTAGCACCCTGATCAAGGATTGTGATACCGAGGCATCATACTGAAGTAAAGATCAAAGACAAAGGACAAGCCAGGTCCGGTTAGTAAGAATGGGGTGGCCAGCCGCCAGATTTCTGGGCGCCATTTGAAGATCAGACTCGGAAGGTAGATGACATGGAAGCCGCTCATTAAACCACCATGTACCAACGCGGATTGAACCAGAGTCAAGGCTGTAAGAGTCCTGAAAGGTGAGTTAGCAAGATGGGCTTCAAGTCAGAGGAGACATGCATACCTAGTGACCGGAGGAGCCTGCCAAAAGAAGTCCATGGCTGAAAAATAAAATCCTAGGTTAATTGATCGCAGTTTGTATCATTGCGCTTTCAATAGAAAGCTAGATTACTGAGTTGAAGGAAAGAAAGAGGAAGGGAGGTGGGAAGGAAGAAAAACGTGTGCAAAACTAGCTCCGGCAGAATTTATCCGACGTCCGTGATTACAGCATCACTTCCATCTAGTTCGAGCCTCATCTATAGATCTGTACAACTGCCCAGGGCATTATCACTTGGATTTGTTTGATTCATAGTAACTTCAACATCCAGGTTGGGTATAATCATATGAATATTACAAGCTCCTTGTCTGGGCAGTACCTCGAACAGCCAACCCTCCATCCTGGCCTTCAATCCACACATCCCAAGCTCCAGTATCGTTCTTGGGCTTTCCACAGATCACCAGTTCCTCTTCAACAAAAGAGGGGCTAGGTTTTTATACTCAATGCTATTGACGTAGAGATTCACCTGCTTCAAATGGTGCTGAAGCACACTCAACAGAAGCGTGAGCGTCAACGGGCCATGCACCAAAAGATTACGGTATCCTTCCTGGTTTTGAGTATATCCCTTATCCAAGTGGATAGAATGGGCATTGAATGTTAGCGCCGAGAACCGAAATAGCAGCGCTTTAGTCGGCATGAGAGCATGGCGGAACGTCGCGTTGGAGGGAGCTATGGTTTGCGCCAGAATGTCAGCACTTTTCTCTACAAATTCAAGAGCCAGAATCAAGGGTAACAAAATTCGCACGTTTGACAATCCTACTAGGCTTTCCAAATTGCTCTTTATCAGCCTCGATTTGTGCCTCGGTCTTCAAGCGCATGAAGATGAGATCGCGATTCTCAATGACTGACGACTCCCCCGGGTTTTCTTCGTTCTCTTTCCATATCCGCTTCCAGGTTGCGTCGGCAGTTTCTCCCTCTGGGACATTGCCAACGCGCCGCTCAATGGTGACAATTACCTTCTCGTCTCCGTCGCGGCCCTTGACTGTCACATTGCGGATGGATTCAATACAGACTGCCCGGCTGCCATCTAAAGCGGGACTAGATGCGGGAAATCTTAGATTCCCACCTGCCCAAAGACGCCGGTTGAATGGTTCCCCGGGTGTGTGTAGCGTATCTGTGCAGTCCGGGAGTAGTTGGGACAATGTCACCTGCGGCGGGAAGTAGATTAAGTGGTAGCCGACCGGTAACAGAGATGGATTCTGTATCGAGGGTAGAGTCGCATAATCGTGGTTGGTTGTAGATTGTGGTAGAAGATCACGGAGCGTCAGGTTCAGAAGGTGTGAGGGCTGCGGGTGTAGGTAGTCGTAAGTCAACGGGAGTTTCCTTGTAGTCAGTTCGCGATGCAAGCGCTCAGAAAGCGAAGAGTACGTTCGACATCCATGCCTCAGAGAGAGCAGGGGTCGTAGTGGAAATGTCATGGGGAAGAGTACGGACCAGATGATGTCTCAACCCCGGAGTTGGATCTCAGATCGTTTGGTCTGTTTGTTTGTCGCTCATTGCCAATGTTGGAATATCGGAACCCACACCGCTCGGCGGGTCAAATGGAAATGTTCAGCTGAGTGGATTAGGGGAATTCGTTCTTCATTCTCACACAAATGCAATCATGACTCGCTTGAGAGTGGCCTTCCTAGGGCCATTAGCGTCGTTTTCGCATCAGGTCAGCCATACCCCGATATACCCCGCGTCATTGCACCAGATCTGACAATTGACCCCTGATCTATAGGCCACTGCAGAGTCCTTTGGCAAGATCTCGGCAGATCTGCTACCTCATGCCTCGTTTGCAGAGGCTTTTGCCGCCCTTCAGCAAAAGGCAGTCGACTACGCTGTGATTCCGTGCGAGAACTCCACCAATGGATCCGTGGTGCAGACGCTAGATCTCTTGGCAGATCGGGATGATTCATATAGAGATGTGACGGTGTGTGGGGAATACTACCTCACAGTCCACCATTGTCTTCTCGCACGCAAAGGCGCGTATCCGGGCGGCTGGGCTGGCTACGATGGCTCGATCACCAAGCTATATACACACCCGCAGGCTTGGGGTCAATGTGAGACTTTCCTCTCTCGGTATTTCAAGGGCGTCGAGAGGCAAGATGTCTCATCCACGTCCAAGGGTGCTGAGATTGTTTCCAAGGAGACCGATGAAAAGGGCGGTGCCATCGCCAGCCGCTTTGCAGCAGAGTATCATGGAGTGGATATACTCCAGGAAAATATCGAGGACCGTGCGGACAACACCACACGCTTTTTGATATTGAGAAATGTGCTCGCTGAGCGCACAGCCCAGCTGGAGTTCGAACAACCGAACCTACCCACGCTGAACGACAGGCCTGCTCTTGAAACCACGCACAAGACTTTGATCTCTTTCACCATTGATCATTCTTCGGCGGGTGCATTGGCAAATGCCTTGATCATCTTCAAGAGCCATGGTCTCAACCTTACAAGTATCAACACAAGGCCGAGTTTGAAGAAGCCATGGCAATACATATTCTTCGTTGAGTGCGGAAGGACTCCTACTGATGAGAACAAGGATGCCGTCCACAAGGCTCTCAATGACCTCCGACAAGTCACAGAAACATGCAAGGACCTGGGCACTTGGAAGGATCAACTGAGCGCGAACAATGCTTGAAACCATGTGAACATAATTCCTAGTGCCTTTTATGGTAAACTTTTCCGGTCCGTGGAAAAAGGCACCATGCTACATGAGTTTCGGTTTACCATACGAATGAATGACAAAATTAAAAATCGTTCTCTTCTATACGAAGCGTACTCCCCTAGACAGAGATAACTTAACAAACACGTGCACCATCTATACCAACCCTTTCGGGTGCTTTTTTTTAAATATAACGAGCAAATAACGAATGAAGTACCAGGCAATGCCATTCTGAATGAATTGGCATATAACTGGCCGAGAAATAACTATCCAACACCATCTGTCTTACATGAAGTAAGTCGAGCAAGCAGCGGTGGATGACCAAATTTTGCCGAGAATCAGATCCAACCTAAATTGCAATTTAAACCACTTCATATCAGACCCCGAGGTGACCTCGGTGTGCGTATCACGGAGCTTGGATGACCCTATTCAAACATTAGAACACGTTCTTATATCGTCATGACATCCATGGATGAACACACCTCTGAGTGTCTTCACTGTGCTTGGACCAGGCCTTTGTTGGTTATCCTTCACGGATGCCTTGGTTCCATCACGGTAGCCACCTTCTTGATCCACAGGGCGAGCCGTCAAAAGACCCGCCGCGGGAGCTTCTGGCCGTTCATCCTCGCTCACTGCGAGGGGGCAACGCCGTCAATCTATCCAAAGTTAGTTATTGAACCAGAGTCGGAGAAATAGGCCAAGCATACCGTCGTAGAACTCATCGTCATCGCTGTAATCGGCAAGCTGTTCAAAGTTGACCTTGTATCGGAGAATAGCACCGATACCACCGAATCCCTTGACGAACTGGTTTCCTTCGCCAGATCGGTCGGAGACGAACTCCAGGTTGGCACCGAAGTCCTTGTAGGCCTCAGCAAGCCACTCCAAGAAGGAGCCTGAGTCGACAACCTCCATGTCGAGACCGGTTTCCTTGTCCTGGAAAAGCTCACGGTTGGATTCCTGGGACTTGTTGGTGTGGACCACAACCTCAGCGCCTGCAGCGTTCTTCATGACCCAGCGGGTGATCTCCAGGTTCTCGTGGACAATCAGAATCTCAGCCGCACCAAGCTCCAATGCCTTGAGGGTATCCTCAATACCATAGCAGACCTTGCCAGTATCTTGACTGATCTCCTGGAAGTATTGTCCGATGAGCTTCTTCTCCTGGACGAACTTGACGTTGCTCAGGGTCTCGCCAGCAAGCTCAATAGCCTGGTTGAAACCGTTCTCACCACCGTAGGAAACATCGACAATTTTGATAACCTTGGCCTGTAGACGGCCGTCGAACAGGTCGGACTGGTTGAGGTCGTTCTTGAAATCGGCAGAACCAGCCAAGACGAGACCGGCGACGTTGACCTTGTCGTTGGTAATATAGTTCTGGACAGCCAATTCAGCGATTTTGCGGACGTAGTTGTGACGCTTTTCCTCACGGAGACGAGAGAAACGCAGAGCAGATTGACCACCACGACCCTTCACAGTTATTAGCATGGACAATTTCAAGACAAAAGGTAGATAGACTCACGTGCTTCTTGGGCAGATCGACGGACAGACGCTGAAGGATCTCACGGGTGTTACCACTGAGAGTACCGAACAGAGCACCGTTACCGTCCATGATAATGAAACCGAACTTCTGGTCAGACTCCAGAAGCTCACTCAGGGCCTCAGTATGAAACTTGTTGTCACAAAGGTATAGCGACGTGTTGATGGGCTTGAAGGGTTCGAAGTCGATGTTAATTTTACGCTCCTTTCCTTCGGCGGTGATAATTTCACCACAGTACACAACCAGTCCATTGGGTGGAACCTTGTTGTACAGCTTGAGACGCTGCTGGGTCGAAGTAATGGCTGACAAGACGGAGAGACGGTTCACTCGGGACTTAATGTTGGAGGCGGTACCCTGATCGTGTGCGGTTAGGCGACGCTCGTAGATCTATCAGAGGAGGAACATACATATTCTTCAGCCAGCATCTTTGCGGCCCGGGAAATCTGATCCTTGGGGGCTGTATTCGCGAGTTAGCGGCGACAGGTGGCTTGGGACCCGGGCGACGAACGGATAATGAGCGAGATCATGGAAGTTCCATTTCCGCGAGCGGATTCAAGACGCTTGATCAGCTTCTTGACCTTCCAGATCTCGATGTTCTTATCAGCTTCGTTCGGCTGAGGAGCGCTCATTTTGGGCGAGGCGAAGGACGATCAGGGGGAAAGTATCAAAGGCCTTGCCTGCGGACGCCTGAAGACTCGGTCAGTGAGTGAAGCGGGAACTTTCAAAGAATTGATCCAACCTGATTAACACCTAAAAACGGTCAGTATGAACAAAAAAAGGGCCAGAAAAAGACACAGATAATTTTTGACGCGAGATTCCAGGGATGCAGGGAACACATACCTTGACTTGATTGACGTACAAAGCGGCAAATTTCCTCGTGGGGTGGGAAGTACACAGTTTGTTCGAGGGGTCGGCTGGCACCGCTGAGGTAAGCCAGGGCTCGTGACGTATCTGGTACTTGCTGGGTTAATGGCCCAACGCCAGAGTTTCAGGTACCGGTACCTGTAGAGATTGGGGGGCATATTGGGCATGCGTAACATATAAATATCTACATTTAGGTATGTACATATATAAATGTCTATAATTACCTATTTGGACGTTTTATATAAATTCGAATCTGCCTTTGCCTTACGTAAATATCAAACACTGAATGAGGGCCCGTGGACAAGCCCGAGGTCGGACCTACCTAGTAGACTTAGTAGATTTATTATCTATCATACCATCCTCGTTCCTCTATCACCTCTATTAGACATCTGGTCACTACAATTAGTCAATGACTTGCAGTCTTATCAAAAATCTGTGATCCGCACTCCCCACAGTAACCTCTACGGGAAGCTCCTTGGCGCTAGACTCTTTTGAACATCGCAGACTCGCCTTATCTCTTGGAGCTATCTCCATGTGATAAGAGAGGGGAGAGTTTTCCTCTTTACCTCCCTAAACTTTAGATCTTCCCCTGTATTCGAGAAGTGTCATAACCATGTCTCGGACAGACAACCATGACAATGACTCGGTGGATGGCTCATTGAGAACACCAACAACCGTGATACCTAGCTCCTATGACTATGGCCACCTGGATCGTGGGAGTCCGATCGAGTCAGGGGCCTGGGGTAGACAGAGGTAAGTGCCTGGCGCTCCTGTGCATTGTCCATCCTACTAACTTCGGAACAGGTCGTCGTCGTTCTCAAACCGGTTCCGTCAAGCGGGTGGTCCCAACAGTCTGGATAACTTTGCGCGATCCTGGCAGAGAGCTGCAGCGTTCCCGGAGGTGATCCCACGGCGGTCCTCGTTTGTCTCGGAGTCGGACGATGAATTTGGAATTGCTACTGGCGTGGAATATGGTCCGAGAAGCAATCAGGCTTGGGGATCTTGGGGTCGGAATTCGGATGTCGAACGACCTCTGCTGCGTGATGAGTCGGATGAGGATGGGCCAGCCGAAGAGGACTCGCATGGGCCTGAGCAGTCCAAGCACGGCATACCCAGCACCGGGCTTCTGGCCTCTTCTTTTGATAGAAGCTTTGCGGCTTCATATGGCACAATCTCTTCGCGGATGAGCGAGTCGACACGGAGACATGCGATTCAATTCCATAGAGACCAAAATATTCATGTGGATAGCACAGGAGACCCGGACCGGGGGCCATTACTGGTCAAGCATATCCAGCATGAAGATGGGACCCAGGAGGATGTCATCGTTGGTCAATCCACAGTCCCGCAGACCGTCTTCAACTCTGTCAATGTGTTGATTGGTATCGGTCTCCTGAGTCTCCCGCTGGCAATGAAGCATGCCGGGTGGGTTTTAGGACTGACATTCCTGGTATTCTCAGCAGTGACAACCTCCTACACTGCCAAGATTCTGGCTAAATGTCTGGATGTTGACCGGAGCGTCGTCACTTATGCCGATCTAGCCTATATCAGTTTCGGGCAGCATGCCCGTTTGGTGACCAGCTTTTTGTTTTGCTTGGAACTTCTCGGTGCATGTGTGGCCCTGGTTGTGCTTTTTGCAGACAGTCTATATGCTTTGGTGCCGGGCTTGAGCATCTTACAGTGGAAGATCGTGTGTGGAGTTGTGCTGATCCCGCTTAATTTCCTCCCATTGCGTTTCCTAAGTATTACCAGCATATTGGGCATTATATCCTGTACATCAAGTAAGTTTCGTGGCCTTAAAACAAATCTCCTGAGACTGACACTACCCAAGTTGTGGCTCTCATTTGCATCGATGGCCTCGTCAAACCAGATACACCAGGTTCACTGCGGCAGCCAGCCAACACATTCCTCTTCCCTGAGAACTGGGCTACTATTCCCTTGAGTTTCGGCCTGATTATGTGTAAGTTTGCGAACCGCTGTGTGGTTTACAGATTAGCTAATCTTTAAAAGCACCTTGGGGCGGCCATGGTGTCTTCCCAAACATCTACCGAGACATGAGACACCCTCAGAAGTACGGAAAGAGTCTGCGGGTGACATACATTTTTACAGTAAGACTCTTTTGAATTAAGATAGAAGATCCAATTCTGACGAGACTAGTTTACTCTTGACTGTTCAATGGCCATCATTGGTTGGCTCATGTTTGGAGATTTCGTCCAGGACGAGATCACTGCGAACATTCTCACAGTCACCAACTACCCAAAGGCTCTTTCCGTCTGTATTATAGTATTCATCTCGATCATCCCGCTCACCAAGGTGCCGTTGAAGTAAGTCCACACCTTGGTTCTGTTTCAAACACGACTGACAAGATTATAGTGCACGGCCTCTGGTTGCCACGTTTGAAGTTCTCTGTGGAGTTGCAGGCAATACGCCCGCTGAGAACCGCTCCAGCGAAACGATTCAACAGATCTCACGGGCAGCGATTCGCCTTTTTGTCGTAGTCATGATTGTCATTTTGTCCATCGTCTTCCCAGCGTTCGACCGCATCATGGCGTTCATGGGATCCTTTCTGTGTTTCACCATTTGTATTATCTTCCCTCTTGCATTTTACCTCAAGATCTTTGGAAAGGAGATCAGTCGAGGCGAGCGCATCCTTGATTGGATTCTGCTTGTGATTTCTTCGATTCTGGCAGCGGTGGGAACTGTCTGGGCTTTCTTGCCCCGGGAAGTCCTTGCAAACTAGCTTCAGCCCTAACCAGCACCATTGGTGCTTAAAGAAAGAAATGTCGGTTTGCGTGTAGACAATCTTTGCGTATAAGAAATCTTTGCGTACGGACAATCAGCCTTTGTTGAGGATGACAGCGAAATTATTTCTTGTCTTGCCAGACCTCAACTCTTCCTTCTTGTAGACCTTAGGTGCATAGTTACCAGAGTGCTCCCAAAGATGGAAAACCAGCTTGGAGGTCCGCTTGCTCTGGGTTAGACGGAAGCCCAGGCAAGCCATGATCTCCCCCAGTCTGTCTTCGTTAAGGTAGCGCGAGTTATCGACACATGCAATGGGTAGCACCAGGAAAAGAGTTGGAACAAGCTCAATGGGGCATTTCGAAGTCAGGAACTTGACGCATCGCTTAAGCATTTCACCTCGTCCCGTGGCGTCAGGGACGTAGTTTAGCACCAATGATAGACTAATCAGATTAAAGCGTTCTGCATCACTGGAAGGCAAAGGTCGTTCCATGAAGTCCTGCTTGAGAATCCCTGGCTCCTGAGAATTCAAGTCAATTCTTGTGACATCCAATGCCGCGTTGGTAGAGCAGGCGTTCTTCGTGCTCAAAGCTCCAACTTCAAGGACCCGTAGCTTAGGAACGGTCTTGTTCCATTGGCTAAGTTGTGGCTTGATCCAGTCAATGAGAACCTTGCTAGAATCACCGCCACGGTCCATTGACTGGCCGAGCTTGCTGGCCGTCTGGTAGCTCTTCAAGCCTCCGTTGGCTTCGATCTGAGCATCGATGCTGCTGACCCGGGCCTCGTCGCCAGCTGCCAGGGCTTGTGCTCGAGACTTGAGAAGCCGATGATGAGAGCGAATGAGGTTGCGGGTTGCTTTGGCTGAAAGGGCAGCCTCCTTGGATTTGACAATTGGAGGCCGACTATGGGACAGCAACATCGGCCTCTTGGATCGTTTTTGAGGGGCCATGTCGTGGTGAGATGGGAAGTCCAGTGGTATAGATAAATTTATTCCTTGAATACTGAACCTCGATGTCTTTTGGAGGTCTGAATATACAAAGCGGTAGAGATATCCTGCAAAGAAAACCTGGTGAAGAAAAGCCCAAAGAACGCCAAGACTGATATGCGGTCTGATTGGGCGGGAGAATGACAATACTGTAATGGTATGTAATCCAAAATTACTGACTCAGCAACAGTCTAAGGTCACCTGACCCACACAGCGCTAGGGTTTTCGCTAAGCGAATACACCTCCAAATCTTTGATTCTCGACACTGTGACAAGCATCATCGACAGCGACCGATGACAGCCATGGCCCCTACCGACAACAAGCAAGGTACGTTCAAATAAACATGCCTTTGTATTTAATTGCGATCCCAGCATTGCCAATTGTGAATTTTCCGTGTGGACGTGTACGACGATTTCGATGTCTGCTTTCGAAAAATTTACAACATTTCGATATTGTGTTGCAAAGCGCCGGGAATACTTCAAAACGTACTTGCGTCGCTATCGAACATGTCAAAGCATCTCATATCAGCATCGTCTCGTCCAGAACATCATACTAGTCCAAACGGGCAAATTCGCAAAATGGCACACGGCATATACAAATTTTTTTTTTCTAGACCACCAGACTAACCGGCTTCCTCTCTACAGGCAAGAACAAGGCCAACGCTGCCGCCAAGGCGGTCGCTAAGGGCGCTTCGGTACGTACAGTTACAAGATGAAGCAGACCAAAGAATTTTCTTTTGGAGCCTATCGCTAACGCGGTTGTGGCAACAGCTTCACAAGTCCCGCAAGGTCCGCACCTCGACCACCTTCCACCGTCCCAAGACCCTCCAGCTGTCGCGGTCCCCCAAGTACCCCCGCGTCTCCATCCCTCATGCTCCCGCTCTCGACTTCAACAAGGTCATCCTGTACCCCTTGAACACCGAGAGCGCCATGAAGAAGATCGAGGAGAACAACACCCTGGTCTTCATCGTCAACGTCAAGTCCAACAAGCGCCAGATCAAGATGGCTCTTAAGAAGCTGTACGATGTTGACACCGTCAAGGTCAACACCCTGGTCCGGTATGTTTAATTCTCTCAATTTCCATTATGTATGAACTACTAGCTAACTTGCCTTCAGCCCGGACGGTACCAAGAAGGCCTTCGCTCGTCTCACCCCTGACGTCGATGCTCTGGACATTGCCGCCACCAAGCTGGCCATTGTTTAGATAAAATTCACGAATGGATTTGTTTGGGTTTTGGCGAACTGTGTTTTCCACCGGGGTCTAAAATACCAGCCAGTGTTCCTCGGCTGTCCTTGCAGCAACGAGTGCTGAATGATCAAAAAGAACATACCCTTTATGCGTGATTCCTGAATATAGTGGACTTGTGTCCTGTGGGCCATGGCACCTTGGGCTCAAACCGTAGACAGCGTAGAGTGTAAAGTAGAATGGTATCGTCTGTCAGTTCTGGTGCTGGCGTATGGGTTGTCTCATGTTGAAATGCGCACAAGACCGAGGTTTCGAGTATAGTTGTGGTCGCCTTGAGCTATCTCTATCATCTCAAACCAGATGTTTCCTATCGGCCCATGGCTAGCCAGTAGGTCAGTATTCTACGGCCTAACATGGCTCTCTGTCAAGTTCTACTAGTCATATATTCATTAAAATCCCAAGATCAAATACACTTGACTTTGAAGCATTCCGCTCTCTCTCTCTACGCATGCTACTCTCATACTCAAAGTACAAGATAGTATCGTTCATAAATCGACTCTAGTATACAAGTGGTGATTTTGCAATCCATTTATCCATCCATAACCCAAAACCAATGCCGGTAGCCGGTAGAACCCAGCCTAGCCCAGGTACATGTACCCAGGTCATCTCCATAAAGATTTCGAAACAATGCAATGGAATGCCATCGCATCCGGATAGATAAGAGTATGCATAGGAGCAAAGGGGAGGTCAAGAACACATCCCGGTCACACTTAGTGGCCGCGCATGTTCTCTAGCTTCTGCAGGATGGACAAGCTCGTGTCCATCCACCGGTCAACGCAGTTCTGTGCGCATGCCTCCTCAGTCTTGTCGAGGGTGCCGGAGGTAATCTTGCTGGTGATGCACTTTTGCCAGCAGACTTCGTTCAGGTGGTGCACGGCTAGAAGAGATGGGTTGTTAGCGGGTGGATATGATAGAGAAGGAGGGTGTGTTATCAGGCAGCGGATCAATTGGATATCCTAACACAGATAGTGCAAGAACCATAGAACGCTGTAGATATCAGATTGCATAGAATGGAGTCGACTTACTCTGTTGGATGTTGCCCTTCTGAGCTTCGTTGTTCAGGACTTGGTTAAGCTCCTTCTTGTCGTTCTCGGACAGCTTGGTGAGGTCAAGTTGAGTCTCCATTGTGAATAAGATGGGTAGAATTGGAAGAGAAGAGGTATATGGCGAATGAAGATGGGATAGACGATGCCGTAGCTGGACGAGTCCACTGTTCAAAATCAAAGGCGGTGGGCAGTGGCACAAAAATGACGCGCAGTTTTCCCTATCGATAGCCAACTTGGTCCCTCGTCGTATTTCTCAACGAAGAGCGCTTTTCTCCTTTCTCGCTTTGGCCTACTTCCGCTCTTCATCTGCATTCCTTCTCGCTATATCCCACACCTACTACACTCCCTGTCATGCCTCCAATCCGCACCTCTCGCAATCGCAAACCACCACCCGCCGGCTTCGATGACATTGAAGATACCCTGCTGGAGTTCAGCAATAAGATGAAGGATGCTGAGAATGCGTCGCATGAAGGCAAAAAGAAATATGAAGTGCTCTGGCCCATTTTCCAGATCAGCCACCAACGTAAGTCGCTGCCCCTCCACCCAAGTCCCGGAACACTAGTATTATGGAACATACTAAAGGCCTCTTGCTGACTCTCAAATGGGGTCGGCAGGCTCACGATACATCTATGACCTTTACTACGAGAAAGAGGCGATCTCAAAGCAGTTGTATGACTGGCTTCTTAAGAATGGCTATGCCGATGCCAACTTGATTGCCAAGTGGAAGAAGCAGGGTTATGAAAAGGTGAGTTTCTTGCTTTGTGGAAGGCCGTCTCTCAAAGAACTCTGCTAATCTATGTTTTGCTAGTTGTGCTGCCTGCGCTGTGTCCAGACGAAAGAGACGAACTTCAACTCCACATGTATCTGCCGAGTGCCGAAGGCGCAGCTCAAGGAGGACCAGACGATCCAGTGTGTCAGTTGTGGCTGTCGGGGCTGTGGAAGCAGTGACTAAAGATAGATGTGTTTTGAACGTGGCTGGTGCACCTGTGGCAAATTGGGCATCAGCTCAACGTGATTATGGCGAGCCACACGCTTGTGACAAAAGGGTCTACTTCGGGCGTTTCGGTACTTGCATGTTCTCTTTTCTCTTTAGGGCCGCGTCGATATACCTGAAGCATGGGTGAAATGTTGATAACCAAACAAGTAATGACTTTCAATTGCTAACTACATTAATTCAATTCAAAAGCGCCACCAATGTTTCCCAGTAGTTTCGCATAAAGATAGCCCCAACCCCAATATCCCAAATCATAAAAACCATCGCTTGCTCATGTACATCTTAGCGTTGTCATTAAGGTCGTAACCAGGCCATCCCGGGCTCGGTGGTGGAAATGTCAGAACGGCTCCTGTGCAGCCCAACTCCCAAAGAAAACACCGCCCACAAGACCTTGGAAACATCACCGGTTTTGAACTCCAGAAACAGAAACAACTCAAACAAAATCAAGGATGCGGGTAAAAGCAGGAGAACAGGAGGGGGATAGTGAGAATGATGCGAAGAACGACAAATAACCAAATCCGATAACACAGGGATGGGCCTCGCAGAGTGCCCGTCGCAAAAAGAAGAATCATTAGGTGTCTTAAAACAGGGTCGTGCTGCTGCGGTTGCCCATTTGGGGCCGCGAATGAAGCGACTTGGGCTTCAGGGTGTCGTCTTTGCTCACACCTCCAATCTTTTGGAAGCCTTGCAACAGATCAACGCCGTCAACTTCGCCAGAGCTGTCATTGCCTTCGTCAAAGAGGTGGAAAGAGAAGAAATCTTCCTGGCCAGCATCTCCATAGCGGTGGGTTTCCGGGAGCTTGGATGGTGACTCTGGGAAGATGGCAGACTTGGATCTGGGGAGAGGAGGCATTCCAAGGCGGCTGTTGATGTTCACAGAGGTGATGTCGGTGAGAGCAGAGTTTCCACTGTCGGTACGTGCACGCTTCACCGAGCGCTTCTCCGGTGATCCATAAGAGATATGGTCTGCGCCGGTGTCCGCGAAAACATCAAAGGTCGTATGATAGTGATCATGGGGGGTGTAGCTCTCGTCCTGCAAATTAAACGCCGGGCTCCAAGGGAGTTCCTGCTCCGTAAGACCCAAGTGCTTAATAGGCGAGTTTACCATTTGCTGGATCTTACGGCGGTGGTTTCGCAGGTTGGTGTTGGGAGACACAGATGGCGGTGGCTTGGCAGGCTTCTTGAACTTTATCACGGGTGTTAATGGAGGCGGCAGCATGCTCACGTATTGACTGCGCAGAGGGGAGGATCCGATGATAGGGTTGGGGTTTTTGCGGGTGGTTGGCTGGCCAGGACTAATGTCATGAGAGGAGCTGCGCATGCGCGCAATCTCTTCTTCAGCCCGGCCTCGCTTGATGCGCGGGGGCTCGATATCCAAATCGGAGGTCAAGATGTGACCGGCCTTGTTTGGCCTTAAGGCCGACGATTCCAAGGACGAGAAGTAGCCACTATCGTTCATTGTAATGGACTTGCGCTTGCGCGGGCGAGGCGCCGGGGTAGGGCCAGATTGAGTAGGTGTGGGAGGAGTACCTTGACGGGCGAAGCGAGGAGGAGCAATGGGAGGAGATGAGCGAATAGTCTGAGGGGGTGAGGAACGAGGGACTGCATGTGCGCCAGAAACTGGAACAACATCGTCTGCATCATCTTGGAGGGCCGGGTCAGATGCAGGCAGAGTCGCA